CACAGACAGCTGAGCTGTGTCTGCTCCCTGGCCCTGTGGGGAAACACAGGCTGTCTGGCTCTATTTCTCCTCCTGCCTTCCTGAGCAGGTCTTTGTGCCTTGTGGATTTTGCTTGGCATCTCTGCAGCTCATGCTTTCATCCTGAGATCCCTGTTCTCTGCATCAGACCCTTCCCCAACCACAAAGCTGTTGGATGTGTGCAGCACACGTAGCCACAGTGTGATTTGTGCCTCTGTGGAGATTCCTGCAAGCTTTTGAGGCTGATTTTGCTGATTTGATGATGTGTGCAGTTTTGAGAATCACAAGGGAGCTGCCTGCTTTTATGGCTGATTGGAAACTGATGATCCAGGGTGTTGGTACCACTGTGGGACTGGCAGACCCCCAGGTACCATTCCTGTGTTTTGTACCATCTGCTTAACATGATCATGGAAGAAGGAAGAGCTAAATATAAAGTACCTCCATCCTCAGTTATATGCTGTGTGTGCATTTTGTCTGCTAGGTATTTAAAACATGATGCATGGTAGGTAGTATGACAGAAAAGCAACACAACCTTATATTAGGAAGTGATTTGAATGTCTGGAAATTCCAGCCCTGGATGAAGGCTGAGTGTAGTAACAAATCAGTGCCCATGTTCTCCTTGCAGAGAAGTGTAAATATTCTTAATCAGAAAAGCACACGTGTTTTCCTGAGAGTTGTTTTCATTTGATAACAGGTCCAGTGTTGGGACATGGTGAGAATGCTATGTGCTTCTTTCATGTCCAGCCTCTTGGAGTGTAGCCTTGTTTCTTGCTTGAAGATCACCACTGCTTAAGAGAATGATACCTCTCTTCCTTCTTTTCCCCTTCTCAACCTCCCCTGAGCTGCTCCAGCTCTGGTTTGGTTGTTTGCATCTCTCCCCCATAGCTCAGGACTGCTGCTCACCTGATCACAAGTGCTTTTCTGGTGAAACAGATTAACTGCAAGGATGTACTGGTTATTTTTGCTTTTGACATCTGGATATAAGTAATTGAGGTTTCTTATTAACACTTTATTGGAAATTCTGTTGTTTTGTTTTGGTTTTTTTTTGGACCCCTGTGTCTGCTCCTGACGGACCAGTCTTGCCTTTGGTTGTGGACGTCGTGGCTAATCATTAAGCAAGACTCAGTATTTGGTGCACGTGTGCATTTAGGCTAGAAGTCCTTTTATGTTAGTGACTCAGTGAACTTAATTGCAGTCTTTCAATTTATAGATGCCTAAAATCTTTCCAGTGAAGTTGCAGATGGCTGGGAGCTCTGCACCCATGGGCAGCTCCCATGTGTTGACTCAGGCTTCTTAAATCACTTTCTGTGATTCAGCAGGTCACTCCTTAGAAACCACTGGCCTGCTGGGCTGAAGTGACTGTCCCTGGGCTCTCAGCTGTTGCCAGCATGGAAACTGGTTGGTCTCCTCTTGGGAAGTGGGATTGAGGAAGCCTGCTCCTCTCTGAGCACCGTCAGCCGCTGAGTTGCTGCTGGCACTGCACACAAGAGCAGTTTATGTTAAATGTGACTGATGTTGAAATAAACCACACCTCAGTTCTCAAGTAAGAGTGACCTTTGGCAAGTCTGCATCAAAATAAATAAGGTGTGATTTTAGTTACTTTGAGTTGAGTTTCCTTGGAGATAGGCCCTTAGGAACGCCTGCCGCCAGTTCCTGTGATGTTTGCTGGCTTAGCGTAAACAAAACTAAGAAAATTCCTCTCTTCTCCACAAAAGCATGAAATTTCACAGAAGTGCAATATGCATTACAGTTTGCCTTGTTCCTGATGTGCTCTTAAAGAGATGCTGAGAGGTTGCATGGAGACTGTGGGTCAGATTTTGCTTGTTGTTTTGACTCTTTTTGCCGTGGGCTTTCTTGAACACAGCTGAAACTTCCTTGGAAAACAAGGTGACCTCTTTCTGCATTTATGGAGGGGAATATCATATTGCAGGAATACATGTCTGCTCCCCTGAGATGACCCCCATCTGATTGGGGACCCCTGAGTGGCTGAAGTCAGCTGTTGTAGAACACAGCAGACCAAGGGCTGTGCTCAGTTACACCAGGGTCAGATGCAGGGCAAATTGAATTTTTTGGAGACAGCTGGTTCCCAGAAATAAACTTCTTTTTAAGTGACCTGTGGTCCATTTAAAATCAGATACCAGATCTGCCCCAATTTTTTGTCTGGGTTAACTTTTTGGGCTGGAAACCTTTCTGCCCTTGGAAGGGAGCTAAATGGTTTGTTCTGCCTTTAGAATCTGTTAATCTTTAAATGAGCCTCCATGATGTGCTGTAAAAAGCTAAAGCAAACACTGCTGCACCAGTTTATCAGCATTCCCTTGTATCTCATTGGGAACAGTGGCATCCACAATTTTGAGCAGCAGAGGGATCACAGGGATGACAGACCATGTCTGTGCTGGGCAGGCTTTGCATGGTTGCCTGTGCTGGGTTGTCTTTGACTCCAGTGGCATGAAGCACAGCACACAAATGCCCATGGACAGGGACAGGGGATGGTCGTCCCCCTCTGCTGTGACAGTGGTCACAAGGGTCTTCAGGGTGAGAGAGAGAGACGAGAATATTGAATCCATGTTCAGAAGGCTTGATTTATTATTTTATGATATATATATATTACATTATGACTATACTAAAAAGAAATAGAAAGAAAAGTTCTCAGAAGGCTAGCTAAGCTAAGAATAGAAAAGAGTGAAAAACAAAGGGCTGTGTCTCAGCAGAGAGCAAAACCCAGCTCTGCTTTGAGTGGTCAGTAAATCCAAACATCCACAGGAGACCAATCACGGATCTACCTGTTGCATTCCACAGCAGCAGATAACCATTGTTTACACTTTGTTGCTGAAACTTCTCAGCTTCAGCAGGAAAAATCCTAACGAAAGGATTTTAATGAGAAGATGTCTGTGACACTCTGCTGTGTAGGTGAGGTGTGGTGATCCCTCCAGGAGCCCTGTCCATACAGTGCTCAAACAGCCAGACTGCTGTGGGGACAGGCTCTGGGCTCACATCCTCCAAAGGGTGTGAGGGACCATGTGACAGATCAGGAACAACCCCAGCTTGTGGAGCATCAGCTGCTGTGGTACCTGAGGATGGAGACACTGCTGTCCTCAGAGCCATATGCTGAGGTACAGGGCCTGGGCAGTGTCCCTCAGCTGTGCTCACCTGGACCATCCTTACCTTGCACTGCACACACCTGCCACAGCCACTTGGGTTATTGAAAATGGGCTGAGGAGCTGCATCTGGTGTGGATAATAGGAGAGAGAAGCAGTGCCTTCACTGCAAATGCTTAACATCTGCCCTGCCGTGAGGTCAGGGCTCAAACATCAGGTGTGGGGATGGCATGGGGGTGAGGGGTTTGTGTGTGCCCCCCGTGTGTGCCCCTCTGTGTTGCTTCTCCTGTTTAGCGCTCAGCAGAGGCACAGGTGGGGTGTCCCCAGCCACATTGTCTCTGCCTGTCCCACCTCTGTTTGTGCCTTTGGGGGGTGATTGCTGCATGAGCAGCATCAGTTGGGCAGCAAAGCATGAAGTGCTTCCTTGGAAGTCCAGCAGCATGTGGATAGCTGTATTTGTGAGGGAGCTGGAGGCAGGGAGTCACTTGCTGCCTCTGCTTGGGGTGACATGTCATGAATAGTCTGAGGGACGTTGCAAGGTGGAAGGGTAATCTTCTGGCCAGGTATGTGCCTGCTTTATATTGGTACTTGAGGGTTATTCTGGAGGATGTGTCTCCTGGGCTGATGGATGCTCTGCAGGGGAAGGTGATCCCATTTCTCAGGTGTTGTGGTACTTCCCATGCATTTGATATTGGCAGAGCCAGAAGAAATTCCTGCAAATAGTAGCACTTTGTGTGAAAAAAGCCTCTTTTGTTTTCACCAAGGAATCTTTGCCTCTGCATGCTTGCAAGAAGCCAGATAATGGCTTGCTGGGAGCGGTGCTGTGGAAACCAGTGTGTCTGTGTGTCTATACTTGGCAAAAGGAAAGGATTTCCAGCAAGAACTTGTTGGTTGGTGCCCAGGAGGATGAGGATTAGCTGACTTGGAGCCTGGCTGGTCTCCCTGCTCTCCCCTCCCCTGGCCTGAGGTACCAGGGAGGTCTCAGTGCTGTGTGTACGTGCTGATGGGGTGACTGCTTCCAGTGTCTGCCTGAGGTCAACTGCAGCAAGGATTCAAGTTACGAGAGGCAGCAGGTCTAAAAACAGACAGTCTGGTGTCTTTATAGCTGAAACACACCATATTTCAAAATTATTCATAGTTCTTGTCCTAGCACTTCTTTCAGAAGTCTGACATGATGCCTGCTCAAGTGTCACACTCTGTTTTGAAGATAAGGTGCATTACTTGTGCATTGTGACAAAGCCAGTGGCACTAGATCACTGTTAAGTTCAGTGTACTCAAACCCAGTTTACAATTTAAATTTTCTTGGGGTTGCTTTCTTTCTCATTCCTGGTTTACTAACCTCTCTCTAGCTTGAAACACATCCTAAAATTTAAATCAATTCCAGGACATAATCCTGGGAACAGTATAAATTTTTGGGAACAAGTTTGGTTTGTAACTCAAGAGAATGTTTTTTTTTTTCTCTTTGAAAAGTAGGAAGAAATGATCCCAAGTAGGAGCATCCCTAGTGTTGAGGCCATTGGCCTCAGCAGTTGAAAAATTGAGATCTTCTAGCTGATGCTGGCTCAGATCCTGGCCCCCAGGCTTTCAGTTTGACTGATTTTGTTCAGTGTGTATTGATATAATTTATTGAAATTGTGGCATAGTCTTGACAGCCTTCAGCAATTTTTTAAAATACTTTTTCTTTCCCTTCTCCGTGAAAACAGTGTATTGTCTTTAAACTGCAAACAACCATGGAAGCATTTACAGCTTATCCTTCCATTATTTAGAGCAGTAAATAGTATTTAATCCTCCCTGCTTTCCCTGCTGTCCCCCTACCCCCATGAGGGCAGTTTGCTGTCTCAGTGTTGCTCTGGTGACCAGTGTCTCGTTTTGTGCTCCCGTTGCCAGTCCCGCAGCGTGGATAAGCAGCACGCCGTCATCAACTATGACAAGGACAAGGATGAGCACTGGGTGAAGGATCTCGGCAGCTTAAACGGGGTAAGTACCAAAGCTCCCAGCTGGCAGGGCTGGCCTGGTGCTGTGCTGAGTCTGCAGGCTCTCATGTGCTCACTCAGTCCTGCTCTCAGACCCTTTTGGGTCACTGCAGCTGTTGGCACGAGTTAAGCCAAACATGCATCATTATTTGCAAGGCCTGAGGTGGAGGTCGTGTAGCATCTCATCTTGGGAGGGGAAAGCTTTGGTGAATGTTGTATTGCTTTTTCCCCCTCTCTGCTGGTGTCCTTGCAGAATGCTTCAGGGCTCACAGAAATTATAAAGCCTCTTGCAAAAGGGGAGGAAATAAATTCAGTTTCGTGTTGGGGATGTTAACTTTAAACTGGTGGAGATTCTGGAGCAGCTGTTCAGCATGAGCAGGGTGACCTTTTGGTGGTTTCATTGTCAGTGCATGGAGTGATTTATGGGGTGATGAGACATTTAATTTCATTGGGGAGAAACTACTTAAAACCACCTCTTTTTTTTTTTTTTAATAATAAAAATTGCTTTTTTGCCTGCCTTGAACCTGGTTTGCATGAAGACGGAGGAATACTGTGAGCACAGAAGCAGGAACTGAGCCTGACTGAATCTTAACCCTTGCTCTGCTTCAACTTATTCAGGTGTTAGACACCTGAATTCTGTGATATTTAAATACACCATTGTTGTTAAAAATGTCCAAATGTCATAGCATGCCTCTGTTTCGGTGGTTTCTTCATACAAGTGGTGCTGTTCCTCTGCTGGAGCAGGCCTAAGCTAGATTCACATAATTGTCTTCCCAGTGGGGGTTTTACTGCAGCCATTGTTTCATTGTTTTGGACATAGAAGCCCTCCACCATCACAGCCACAAAACCACAAGATGAGCCCAGAAACTTGTACAAAAACAGTGGCTAAAGCAGCCCTCAACCATTCTGCCTGCTCTGGCATCTGAACGCAGCAAAAATGAGTGCTAATCCTTCTCAGCCTAATAGCTGAAGGCACGGAGCCCTGCTGAAATGGGAATATTTCCAGTAACTGGTCTGGACTCTAGCTGGATCCCTGGTTCAAAAGCTGTGGTATTTAACTCATGGTGGCAAAACAGCAGCTAAAGATTCTGCTAGCAAGGGAGGGAGTACTTGTACTACTAATTATGTTCTATCTTCACATGCTGAAGCATAAGAATTTACATTATTTTAATAGTAAACTTATGCTTAAGAGGCCGTGGAGTAAAAGGGAGTTGCAGCAGTGCCTGTTTCTGCAGCTGATCAAACACTTCTCTTGAAAAAATCTGTTGTGGCCAAAACAAATTTTGCATGCAAGAAACATACCTTTATTTGAAAATTGTCACAAAACCTTGTTTTCCCCCCTGAAACTAGAGAAATCACTTTTGAGCAGCTTGATTTTAAATCCATTTTCAGAATTTCCTTTTATTTTGTATTTGAGTAGTCAGCAATGCATTATATGGCTTTGCTGGATAATCTGGTTTATATTAATTGTCAAAGTGTTTTATATTGTTTTTATTATAATGTTCAGGTAATTCTGCTGTCTCTATTCAGAGGTTTTTGTTTTTAAGGGTAGCATTTTTATCCAGATTAAGAATTTTACTGAAGTTACTTAATCTCAAGTAAACATGGACAAATAGTTAACTATCAAAATGGGCTCTTGCAGACTTCTTGAAGAAAATTCAGCAAACAATTGTTCCTGTTCCAGATGTGACTGTTGTGGGTTTTTTAAATATTAAAAACTTCAATGCAAATTGGAATTCTGTGCCTTTTAACTAGCTTCACTGTTTTTATTCTGAAATTACAGGCCTGTTTCCCAGCTCCTCTGTAAATTGCCAGGAAACTGGGGGCTGTTGTCTGCTGAGATTTTAGTTTCCTGCTCTACCATTTATTTTTCCTCTGTGGTTAATACTAGGTCTTATCATGCATGTTTGGCTTGGCTGAGGTGAGAAGACAGAAGGAAAAGACTGTGCTGCAGTCACGAAAACATGTAAATTCATTTTGTAGTTTAGTTTTGTTTCCTCAGCTGCATTTGCATTAGTGGCACAAAGCCCCAGCAGCAGGTTCCTGGTCTGAGAGGCTGGGTGAATCCCACTTTGCCAAGCAGGGTAACTCCTGGTGTCTGACTGCCTCAAATCCAGCTGTTGGAGTGGGTTCGGCCCCTTCTTATTTTTGTTTGGCCCAGCTGATTGCAAAAGTACATGGGTTTATTTGTGAAAGATGTCCGTTCTTGCTTGATTTGATCCTCAGTTGGTCTGGGAGAATTTTGTTCATAGTGGGTCCCCTCAGGAATCTCAGACATCAAAGACATTTATTCACAGCTGTGAAATACATGTCTTGCACCTTTAGAAGGATGTTAGTTCCTTTCAGCCTCAGTTAACTGCCTGGAGCATGGGAAAAGGGGTGGGTGAAATTTTAGCACGAGGGGTTTGGTTATCTCGGACAGAGTGGCCTCAGGTGTCATGGTGATGCTGCTTCAAATTTTTTTCCCATTTCCCTGTGCATTTTCATTTCCCCTTCCTCTGTGATAGGCTTTGCTTGTTGAATTATCAGGCCTTGGGGCTGACAGTTTGCCATCCAGCAGAAAGCTGATTCCTAACTCAGTAATTAAGGGCATGAGTTGCAACCGTTTGCTGGTTGAGACAGATGTAGGAGAACCAAGAGCATTTGAAGTTCCTAACTTCAGGCACCTCATTTACCTGCTAAGGTCAGGGACTGAAATTGCATTTGCACTAGGTGCAAAGGAAATCTCCCTAAAGGTCCCTTGACAGCACCTTGCTTTGAAGCATAATTGGGGTGCTCTGACTTGCCCATGGGAGCTACTTGCTGGTGTTGGTTTTTCCAGGGAACTTAGCTCCTAGCTCCTGCCTTGGTGCTGGCACACTCTGAGTAAGAGTGTGGACATGGATGCCCTCCAGGAGCACCATCCCTCTGAGATCCACCACCCTGGTACCCTCAGTCCAAGCCCATTCCTGTGTTTCTGTCCTGCAGACGTTTGTCAATGATGTGAGGATTCCTGACCAGAAGTACATCACCCTGAAACTGAACGATGTCATTCGCTTCGGCTACGATATCCTTTCTGGAGAGCATGGGGACCCAGGCTCTGCTTGGGTTTTGTGCTGCTGGCTGCATGGAGAGGTACCAGGGCTAATTGTGTCTCCTGAGTAAGGTGTTTGTTTTGCCTCTTGGAGCCTTTGGAGCCTCATGAGCTCGTGTTTCTCCACCATCAACCTGATTCAGAGCACATTAATCATGATGCCTGCTTTTTCAGATGCCTGGACTTTGGATCAGGCTCTGCACTGGCAGTGCTGACTGTGGAAATGCCTCTTCAGTCTCTTCCTCCTAAGGAAGGGTTGTGTTTTTTTCTTTTTATTTGGGTGGTACCAGCTGGGAGCAAACATAGTTCATATATTTTTGTATGAACTAATATCTTCCTATTTATTTTTTTTTTTTCATTCAATTTGCCTTGTTTTATTCGTCATTTCACCCAGATGCTTTCTTTCAGACAATTTTCAGGCCTTCAGCCTTCAACATTTAGCTGTGGAGCTTGTGGCCAGACCTTGACTGTGTATTGATTAAAGTTTGCCTGTGCAAATTGGTTCTGCCGTAAAATGCAGGAGTAAATCTTTAGCAATTGCACATTTCACCTCTAGCAAGGGAAGCTAGGTTGCAGTTATTGCTTTATTTACAGACCACAAATCCTGCCAGTGTCTGCTAAAACACCTTTGCTTTCATCCCTTTGCTTTTTTACCCTGATGTGGCAGTATGGCTGGCTATAAGAATAGATGTTGACATGCCTTTCTGAGCCTGAAGAGCAATTGTGCTAAGTAGAGGCTCCTATTGCTGTCTTTTCATGTAATCTAATACTTTTTTCATTTTTTTTTCAGTTGCTTCTATCTGCCAAACTTTGCCCACTCAAGCTGAATTTAGAAGTAGCAAGTGTCTTCTCCAGGGGTTTTTTTTTTTCTTTTCTGGGGAGATGTCAATTAAAACAGTCCAGACATTTCTGAGAATAGAGGCAGAGACTAAGTTTTACCATTTGGTGGGGGAAAATGTTTGGCTGGAAAACTCTTGTGCATCCTTGACCCCAAGGCCACATTCTTCCGCCTTTTGCTGTCCCCATGATAATCCATTTGTGCTTGGCCATGCTTTAGCCCTTGAAATCCTCCAAACCTTTAGCCTTGCTGGTCTCCCAGGGATCTGGTACTTCAGCTCTCAGCAGTGACAGTGCAGGAGCACTCACTGTTGCCACCAGGATTGCTTAAACTTGTGTGTGCCATTCTGGATCTGCAGGAAAAGAGAGTTTTCTGGGCCCTGGATCATAATTTGGGTCTTGGTCACTCTCCTTTGGGATCCTGTCATTAAAGGTGTTGTCTTGCTGCACATGTGATGAAATCTTTTACAGGCAACCTCAGTTGAAGCTTTTCTTGACTTTGCAAATGTTTGGTTTTTTAATGTAGCTGCTTGTGGATGTTCTGGTCTCTTGGTGTGTGAAGAAATGCAGAGAAGACTTGCTGTGAACTCCAGTCCTGGAAAGGCAAAAATCAGTGCCTGGAGCATGGGTGGGTTTTAGTGGCTGCAATACCAGTTTAAACTTTTTACAGAAAACAATTCTCAGCAAGGAGCAGCTGAGTTTAAGTATTTAGTCCTGCGGCCTTTCATGGATATTCAAATGAAATGAATGATTATACTTATGAGTTGTAGAATTTATTGCCCTCAACAGGAAAATTTTAAAGACTGTAGGTTTTAGGGTAAAGAGATGTACTGTGCCTATGGCAGCTATAAGGTGTTTCTCTGCTTTGCTGTTTTGTGCCGCTCTGTTTAGCAGAGGTTTCTGTGCACACTGCAGTCAGCCTGGTGTGGATGGCAGCATCTCCTGAGGTCCTGGAGTCACTGTGTCCCATTGCATGAGAGCATTTCTCTTTTCCATTTACAGTTTCACTTACAGGCTCTGCAGAGTTTCCCTGCTGGGCCAGTATCACTGGGTTTATTTTTAGTCTAACATTTTCCATCTTTCCTTTTTCCTCCTCTTTGCTTTCTGCTGTGCTGATTGGGTTGTTCATGATGACATTCCAGATGCCAGCTTTTTTCTTTTTTTTTTTTTTTTTTTTTTTAATACAGCATTGCTGAGGATTATTGCCTGGGCTCAACCATGTGAATGCCTCCCTCCCTAAGAGGTCACAGCAGCTCATGACCTGATTTACTTTTCATGTAGAAAACTGCAGTGACTGAAAGGCCTTGCCAGGGCAAGAGAGCCCCATAGTCGCAAGGGTTTGAGCCAGGAGCTGAACTCTGCTGCTCCCTTACCCAGCATGTGAGTCTGGCCCATCTTGGCCAGGATGCTGCTGGTCTGCCTGAAGCCACCAGCCAGGTGGAGAGGATCAGGGTGTGAGCTGAGCTGGGGCTCTGGCTGCTCCCCCAGGTCCTGCACAGAGTTGCTGGTGCTCCTCCAGGTTTCTCCTGCTCAGGTTCCCCTGTCTGCTGCCCCTCAGCTGTCCTGGGTCTGCCCAGTAAATGAGATTGTGCACAGCAAAGACCATGCTGGGCTGCAGCACAGGCAGCTTTTACTACCCTGTGTATTTTAAGACTTTCTGGTTTTATGATCCTGTTTTCTTTCTGTGACTAAATGTTAAATTTCTTTGTCCATTCAAGTCCTTTGTATTTTCCTTAATGTATTTTCTGTACATTCGAATATGTATGTCCTGGAACAAATTCAACACAAAGTCCCAGAAGAAGCATTAAAGGTAAGAGTGGCTGGATGCAGTGCACTTTAAAAAAAAACCCTTTTAAATACTCTAGTGATGGTCAAGCAGAGTGAAATATTAAAATAATCTTGATGGCAGTGAAATGTTTCAATATGTGAGGCTCTCCTTGGATTTGGACTTAATGAAACCCTCCTTTGAGGAGAGATACATTTCCCAGTTATCTCAACTCTGATCTCCTATCCCTGTGCTAACATGTAGATCAAGTTCTGTATGTTCATGACTGCCTAGAAATAAAAGGTTACTTAAAGCTGTAACATGTTAAAGAATAACCAGCACATGAACTTGTGGGTGAAGCACAGCAGAACTTTTTTCTTCCCAGAAGTGGAGCACAGATGTCTTTTTCTGAGCACGGTGACTTATGCCAGCTCCACCACACCTCCTCAATCAGGCTGAAGTTTGCTTAATTTATTCATGGGTATCATCTCATTTTTGCCTTCAAGCTCCCAATTTTTACTTACTGAGCAGTTGGTCCTCTTAGGAGTGAGGTGTTTTTAAAACATTGTTCAGTAGCAGGTAAGAAATATTCAAGGCAGAATAAGCCTTTATCTAAGGCAGAAAAGCAACCCCCTCTGGGCAAGGAAGCTGTAATGTTCAGCTGTGGGACTGGGCTATCAGTGCCATGCATCAGCTCTTGGCTAGCAGATGCTGCTTTCCTAGCCCTGGTTCCATGTTTAGGACTTGGCAAGAATAGGAAATTTAACAGCTAGAATTGGGCAAATGATTCATTGAACTTACTCAGGGATAATCTGGATGGGTTCACCCTTTTATTAATTTACTTGTAATAAACCAGCTTCTAAATAGCTGATTTACTGTGTTAATATGGAACCTGTTTTAAGGTAGAATCACTTTCCTAGCTGGGGAGAGGGTTTGGAAAAAATAATTAAAATAGATTCCAATTGCCTTTGCTGAAAAACTGAGATAATGCAGATGGGTGCCCTGAAATAATTTATAATATTCCTTTAAGAACAAAGGAGATTTCAGGATTTGAATCCTGAGTGGAGAATAGCCTGAGCTCTGATTCTTCTCAGTCTAGTTTTTAAAGGATTTTGCTAATTAGTTGTTTTGCAGAGCTAAGTCACAGTGACCTTCTTGTGTACTAGAATTCTCACTTAATGGCTTCCAAATGAGGTACTTCTGTTCTGTAGCTTCTTCCCAGGTGTGCATGCTTTTTGTTGAAGGGCACAGCTGCAGTGGAGTTTTGGGTGATGTGTTGGTGGGGCAGAGGTTTTCAGTGCTGTTTGTGCCTCTGCAGCATGAGAAGTACACCAGCCAGCTGCAGATGAACTACAAAGGCCCGGCCATGAAGAGGGCGGAGCAGCCCATGGAGCACAGCGTCTACACAGAGTCCCCACAAGCCAAGCTGGAGAAAGGAGAGAGGAAAGCAATTACAGGTACCTGCTTGGGAACCAGTTCATCTGGATTCTGAGCAAAGTGCAGCTGGAGCCCTGTGCTGGGTTGTGATTCTGACAGTAGAGTCTTGTGGGTTGCATTTGGGAGCAGTTCTGGAAGGATCATCTTTCTAAACTCCTGGATTATTCCAGACTCTGGGTTTTTGGAGATTCAGTCTCAAAAAAAATCAGCTGGTGTGATGGCTCCTACATGCCTTGTCGCTGTGTGTGTTCTGGAAAACCTGTGGGCAGAGCAGGTTTGGTAAGTTCTCTGGCACCTGTCTGGTCTATTTTTAATTTCCTGATCGTGAGCTGGTGTTTGAACAGAGGGTGACTCAGAGTAGAAATGTATAGCTGCTGTGGCATGGTGCTGGCAGGCAAAGAAGCAGCAAGCCATTTCTTTCACAAAGCCTGGATGGTTTTAAATGGCTGTATTTCCTAACGTGCCAACGTGTGGGATTGAAGCTGACTGCCAAACTGAGAGATGTTTGCTTCAGGTTCACTGTTCCCCGGCTTCAAACTTTTTCTATTTGAGAAATTCCTTCTCTCCTCCATTTTGTGAACAACTGCTGCCTGCCTTTAGAGATGCTTTGTCAAATTTGGTTTCTCTGTGTTCCCCATTATGGTTTGCTGGGACCTTCCCAGCAGCCTTGTCTCACCCAATTCAGCCAAATTCCTGCCTCCTGTGTGTGCTCTCCTGACAGGTCTCTTGGCCCAGTTCTGGTCAGGTAATCAGTTCATGGTTTTCTGGAGCTTGCTGGTGCATGGGAGGAGCAAATGTGGTTCTGAAGCATACTGGTGACATGACCACCAGTGGTGGTTTTGTCACTTCAGGATGGCAGAGCAATTGGAAGGCTTTAGGGTTTAGCAGGGGGAGTTGCCCACTCTGTTGGAGAAAGAATCAGAGAGGAGAATGGAGGGAAGGGGATGGCAAGCAAAAGAGTGAGGTAAACATCTTGGGTGAGTTTGCCTAGAGACAGGTATGGCAGCTTTCTAGAAAAGTGTACAACTTTGGGTAGATCTGTTAAGGCTTCATGATAACTAATTGGAATGGGCTGACTGACCATCATCTCCCATGTATTGTCCTTCTGAAAATCCCCCTAAGTTGGCACAGTGCATTAAAACAGTGAAATGTTCCTCCCTGGTCTCCTTGCTGCCTCCAGCTGTATGGGGGAGCACTCCCATTTTCTGCACCAGAAAACCTTTCTTTGTGTTGCTTTGGCTGTGGCTGTGTTTGGGACTGAGCCTGACAAGTGTGAATGTAGAGGGATGGAATTGTGGATGATTAGATGTGACACTGGGGAGGGTGAGAAGAGGTGAACCCCACCGGGGGAAGAGCCCTCCACTGCCTTTCAAGGGGCAGGAGGCTCTTGGAAAGCTTTGCCAGTAACTGGAACCACTTTGTGTTTGCTGCTGCCTGGTTCCATGAACACTCAGTTTTTTATTCTTGCCACCTTCCAAAATACACTCTCATTGATTTTAACCTACATAGCATAAGCAGTGGATATTTGGAACACCTTCAAAGTCAGGACGTGGAGTGACTCTTCAGCAAGGTGACCCGTTTTTCTGGCCTGTGATTTGCAGACCTGCATTTTGTTTCTGTCATCTTCAGTGGGCACAGACCAGAGGTCTGAGGCAAAACAGGCTCTGTGTTCTTGCTGGGGACCAGCACTGAAGTATGTCACGTGCAGTGGGACTGATGGGCAGAGCTAAAAAAATCTGTGAAATGCTGCTAACCCCACTGAACTATCGAGGAAATCAGGACTTTTTGTTTGAAGTATTTTGCTGGATTGGACTGAAGCCTGTGGAAACAAGGGCCTGAGCATTAAATCAGTCCCTGGCTCTCCCAAAAGCATCTCTGTCACGTGAGCAGAATGATCAGTGGATCCCTTTCTCATCTGCGAGGTGACTAATTCACCTTGTCCTCAGCTGCACACATGCACTGTTCCTCTCGGCTGCCGGGAGGACTGGCAGCAGTTTGAAATGATTAGTGAAAAGAAGAGTTGTAGTGTTCTTAAGGGGAGTGGGCTTGCTTAGTGGCAGCAGAAAGAGGCTTTAGGGAAAGAGCTGTTTTGCTAAGCCTGTAGGTATTTAGGAATTTGCATTGACTAATTAAAGCAAGGTCTGGGCTGACAAAAGCCTTTAGAAGGATCGGTTCCCAGGGCCCGGGTGGAAAAGAGGCAGAGGGAATGCAAGCTTTCAGGGAAGAGGTTTAGCAAAACAATGTGAACAATTAGAGCTGCTTAGAAATGGGAGGAGGTGAGGGGCCGAGGATAAAGAAATCCAGGGGAGTGGATGGGAAACAGTCAGTTCAGTCTTTATGCTGTTGAACTTGCAGTTTTGGGTGTATGTTGCCTGTAAGCAGAAAATCATCAGACTGTGAAATGTTTGAAGCAAGGAGCTTGGTTAATTCTATAGCTTGGAGATGGATATGAATAAAAGTGTCCACAGCTCAGCTAGTTAGTGCTAAAAATAGCTATTAGCTCTCATGTCTAAAGCCTTAAGTTATCAGGAAGCCAGGTAGAGCCTTGAACTGAGTAGATTTCAAGACAGTCACAATCCCTATTCCCATCTGTTGCTACCTGAGTTGAGGTACTTGATGAGATAAGCTGCTTTGTGGTCTTCTGTTCTCAGCACATGGTTAAATCCTAGGCTGATCTTAATTTTTTTGTTTTTTCAAAGCTGCCACAGCCTGATGGGACTGGATAATCCTGAATCTGATGACTAACCCTTGAATAACTGCTGCAGGCCTGAGTTTCCAGGGGTGGAGGCTGCTTGCAGGGAAATGGGCATCATCACTTGCAGGAGTGGGACCAATTGCAGGAGCTTCTCCTAGCTGTGAAATAGGTTTGCTCACCAGGTCAGCGTCCATGTCATTAGTGAAGTCCTCTCAGCAGAGTGGACAACTTGAAAGTCTTGCTGATGTCCAGGGCTGAGGTCAGCAGGCAGCATGGATGGAGGCAGTGGGAGCTGTGCCCAGCTGTGAAGTGGTTTCCATGGTCTTTGGCTGCTTTCCCCATGAGATCATGGCAGTAGCTATTTAGACACACAGCTCTGCCCTAGCCTTTAATTTAAGGGAATGGTTTAGATCTGCTTTTTTGCCTGAACTAGAGTGGTGGTAACTGCAGCATGTTTAAGATTTGACCATGTAAGTGATACAAGTACATTTGTGATCATCAGCCTGATTTGAAAGTCCCTGGGATCTGTGTATGTTCACAGCAGATAGAAAAGACCAGGGCCCAGATTAACCATGCACATAAGAAATAAATTGTGTAGCAAAGAGTCAGAGAACTGCTTAATGATTATTCCTGCTAGGTCTGAATCCTCTATTTTGGAGAGGAGTGAAAAAGCAGAGATGTAAGGAATTAATTTTAAAATGCTGTAGCTAGATCATCTTTTTTTTTTTTTCCCCAAGGCCTCTGCTGTAAGAAACCTACTCTGCATCTTCTAGAGATGGACATTATTGTTATTAATAATGAATCAAAAACAGTTTGACTTAAAGGAAGCTGGATTTCTCATGCTTTTGTTATGACTTGCAGTAGCAAGCTTCAAAGCTGTGTGTGCTTCTGTGAGCAAAGAAATGTGCTGTTGCTGACTGTCTCTCTCATAATTGTGAAGTTTTGTGAAGATTCAGGCAAAGCACAGTGCTCAGTCCTGTCCTGACCACAGGGGACACCTTCAAGGGAAATCAGACCCCTCTGTTTAGTGGGAGCTGTGTGCTTGTCTTGAAAGCTCTTCTTCCTGCTTGATGATGGAAAGCAGCTTTAACACAGTCTTTCTCCTTTGCCTTTCATCACCTGGAGTGCATTTGTGGTTGTGGCCTTGTGTTCTGTGTGATTCACTTCTCCATAAATACGCCCTTTGTATTGGCACGTCTCATTCTCTCTTTTGGTGCCTCTCCTTCAGATGATCAATAGTTCTGTATTAATTTAACAGGCCACAGTTTTTCAGACTGTTAAGCAAATGGACTTCCCTTGTTCTGTGCTAAAACAGCCTTCATTTTTCCTTTTGAGTGACTGCCCCAAAGACTGAAATCCAGGAGCAGAACACGTGTATGTCAGTGGTCTTCCCTGCATTACAGCATCGCTGGTAGCTCAGTATTTGTCTGGCTGAATGCTTGTGCTGACCTCAATTCAGTTATCTAAAAGGATGGTTTTCGGGCTGCCTGCCTGAATTGATGAGCCAAGAAATATGTCTAAATGAATTGGCACCATCTGGGCAGCCTGGCACGGAGTGGAGAGAGGTGGTAACGAGCTGCCATCAATTGGAGGAAGTCTCATGTCATTAAAATGACTGAGCAGCTCATTTTCATTGGTGTTCCTCCCCTCACTGCTGACTTGAGCAAGCCCAGAGTTTCTCTGCTCTTGCAAGAGCATCCATCTTACGCTAAAACAGAGCAGACAGGAGGTGGCTTCAGGGTGCTTTGCATGTCTCAGGACACAGGCAGACATGCTGCTCTGGATGCTGCAGGTCCAGGTTGAGGTTGCTACCTAAAATGGATCCCAGCTGGTGAGGAGCAAAGCCGCTGGCACAACTGCATGTGTAGCTGCTCCCTGGCCCACTTCTGTCACAGCCATCTGTTTATCTGCCTTCCCCTCATGCTTTTCCCCCCTCCCCTCCCCTTTTTCTACAATATTGTTGTGTTAGAGCTGGAGCTGGGAGAGGTGTCAGTTGTGCTGGCAAATTAGAAGGGACAGAAGCTTCTGACATGAGCAGGGCAGCAAATTCATGCAGCTCTTTGTGCTGGTTTTGGCTGGGGTAGAGTTAATTCTCTTCCCAGTGCCTGGTATGGAGCTGTGTTTTGGATTTTTGCAGAACACAGAGTTGTTAATACAGAGATGTTTTTGTTATTGCTGAGCAGGGCTTACACAGAGCCAAGGCCCTTTCTGCTCTCTGTGCTGCCATGCTGGAGAGGAGATTGGGGCTGCCTGGGAGGAGACACAGCCAGGACAGGTGACCCAGAGGGACCACAGGGATAGTCCAGATCATATCACATGCTCAGTATATAATGTATAGAAGAAGGAGGAAGTGGGAGGGGATGTTTGGAGTGATGTTTGTCTTCCCAAGTCACTGTTATGTGTAATGGAGTCCTGATTTCCTGGAGATGGCTGAGCACCTGCCTGCCCATGGGAAGTGGTGAAGGAGCTCCTTGTTTGGCTTTGCTTCTGTGCATGGCTTTTGCTTTTCTTACTAAACTCTGTATCTCAATCCATGACTATTCTACCTTTTACCCTTCTGATTCTCTCCCTGATTCCACTGATGGGAGAGTGAGTGAGTGGCTGTGTGGAGCTTGGCTGCTGGCTGGGGTTAAACCACAACACTTCTGAAGTCAGAGAAATTTTACTCTGGTTCAGGATCTGTCTGTTTTCAGCAATAGCCAAGAATGACACTGAGTGTGTCACTTGACAATGTTACTCAAAATGGAAATTAATATGAATGCTCAGGGGAAGTATTAATTGCTCTTAAAATATTGAAAGTGCCCCTGAATAGCAAGATACTGACTCCTCAGCTTTCCACCTGTGCTATTTGCAGTTTTAAAATGAAGTTCCTGTTCATTGGCAAAGTTGGGAAAGGAGTGAAATGCCACACACACAGAAGTGCAGCTTTGTCACAGATGCTGTAACAGGCATTTCAGGTGGTGCCATGTGAGCTCTGTGTCATGGGGCATGAGGAACCTTCTGCTGCTGTGCAGTGAGTGCAGTGCAGCATCTTCCACCTGAGGGCCCCAGATCTGTGCACTCTGGCCAGCCTGGAACACTCTTTTTAGGTGCTCCTAGAGCTGCGCTGGGGTTTTGACTTTGTGCTAGCTTTTGTCAGAGGGACAGTTAGGGCAATTTCCAAGTACTCATTAGGGCCCAGGGAAATTTGAGACAGCAGAGGAACTGGATCATCATTCTTTATAAATCCTTTCTTTTCTCCCTTCAGCTTCAGTTGTAATCCCAAAGTTCCTCATCAACAGAAGAGGTCTGATCAAAAGTCTGACTTATTCCTCTGGCTGCCTTTTCCCTGTAGTAGAAAAGTTGCTTGCCAGCAAAGGCAGGAGCTTTTTTTTTTAAGGTCTGTTTGTATTCGGATGGGACACAGATCTTAGAGCAGTTTCTGGGAAGACTTCTGTCCTGCAGGATGAGTGTGAGCTCTCTTAGCTCTCTTCTGCCCCTCTGGACACACAATTGTCTTGGAATAGATGACTGGCATCTTCTGGACTAGAGGGCCTTTGGAATCCCTTTGGGGCTGGGATGTGCTGGAGAGATGAGCTGTTAATGAGCTGCAACTCCTTGCAAGATGCAAGCAGTAACAGCATCCATCCTTGGGAAAGGTGCTGCTTGTGCAGCAGTGGAGTGCAGGTGGTCTTTGCATTTCATCTATGGGGTAGTTGATCCCTTTAGGCACAAATTACCTCAGACATCAGTGGCTCTTGCTAATGGATTTATGTTAAAGTGCTGATCTCCCTCCCCGGGCTTCCCCCAGATAGCTGCCTCTTGGCCATCAACCCTAAGGTCTGTACTGCAGGCCACAGGGTAATAATCCATGCTGTGCCCAAAGTGCCTGACACTGGTGGAACAGATCTGCATGGGTGGGGTGGGGTCTAGTGGGCAAGTTAGAGCATGAAAAGAGGATGGTAGGTTTCTGCTGGGCTGTGTGACAGCAGCTCTGAGCCTAGGAGAAACCAAACCCTGCACTGGAGTAGGGTTCACTGACAACCTTGTGGATAGGTTTTTTATTATTTTTTCCCCCCCTGCCATGAGTGGTTTACCCATCAGTTATGAAACACATTGCTTGGCAATTCCAATTTATCATGGTGAGAAATGCTTCCTCCTTTGAACTTTCAAAGGCCACCCACGTAATAGCAGCATGGTTTATCTTCCATGCACTCTAGGCAGGGAGGAGAGCAATACTTTCAGCCTCTTTTGATCCTCAGTGAGAAGGGAGGCTGTGTGGTTATCTTTGAAACACGAAGAACATCTCTAGAAAAGGGCCTGTGGGCTGCATCTGTAAAGCAAAATTTTTGCCTGTGGACTGTCAGTGTATGAGCTTATATATCTGGAATGATCCTAGGACAGAAATATCTGAAGTGGCCACTGGATCTGTGTAGCTTTAGAAACAACAGCATAAAATCAGGCTGCTTTTTAAATTTGAGTTATTTAATTCCCCTTCCTCCCCTGACTTCCCTTATGCAAACAACTGCTTTCTGTCATGTCCCTACTAAATCAGAGAGTGCAAAATTGCAGGGCTGTTTGAGAGCTGCTTTGCACAGAGCAGTGTGTGGCTTGAAAGCCACAAGCTGAGCAGCAGCTGGCAGTAGAAGCCCAGCTAAGGCTCTGGAGCTGGAGCCAGGGTTTCAAGACGTGACCAGCTACAGCTGCTGTGAGCAGAGGCAGAAACAGCCTAACAAAGCTGGATCTTAACCTCAGCCCCTGACCTATCCTGGTGTTTCTATCCCCTCTAGATGAAAGAACAAAAGCTATTTTATTTGCTTCTCTTGAACTATGAAAAAACTGTAGTATTAACTGTACCACAGGCAAATTGGGTGTATTCTTTTTGTTTGTTGCATAAACAGCAGCAGCCCAAGGCACTGCCATAACACAGCCTTGTTTTGTGGGATGCAGAATGAGGAGCAGTGGATCAGCTCCACTGAGTGGGTGCCAGTTGTTGCAGTGAAGCCCTGATCTTGCAGTGAGTGCTCACTGAACAGAGAAATAATGTAATCCTGGCTCTTCTAGAGGAAATTCTCCATGAGAAAAACCTCTGTCCTACAATGACAATGCAAAGCAACTCATTTGGTTTACAATAAATAAGCTGTAGAGAGCAAGACTTTACTACTTCTTTATGAAAGTGTTAGGAGATGGTTTTACTATTTTTCCTAAGTTTGTAATGCTTCAAAAATTTCCTGTTGTGGAATGTGTGTCACTTACAGTGGGAGTGGTAAATAGTGCAAAATATACCTAGCCTGGACACATCGAAGAATGTGGGACCAAAAAGGGTAGAGCTAAAGTCTTCCCAATGAAGGTGAGGAAAAAAGATTTTCACCTGAGTTGCAGGTGAGTTGAAGACAGTTTTGTGGTTAGTGTTTTGTAGTCTGTCCTGCCAAAAATCTTCTACTTATTGTGTATAGTAAGGCAAGAAAGGGACAAAAGTCAGTATCTGGGAAACACAGCTATGAAAGACAATGAAAGGAGGTGAAGTTAGTATCTTGCAATAGAATGTAAAAAGGAAAAAGGGTGAAACGAAGAAAAGCCTGAACATATTTTTATGTATAATTTGCTGTTGTTACAGCTGTGGTGTAGCAGGTTCATGGTCTCATCTGGCCCTGCTGTTTTCTCCCTTTTGCTGTGCAGTTGAACCGGTAAGTTAGTATTGTCTGTGTTAAAATATTTGCTTATCCTCTTCCTAGAAACGAATACTTACCGCACCCCTCTCTATGGGCAGCCCTCCTGGTGGGGGGAAGATGATGCAAACAACAAGGAGGAGAGAAGGCAAGAGGAGCATTACTCAGGTAATGGAGGTGAGGTGGGGTGGGAGAAGATACGGGACACAAAATTTTGGCACGCTTTTGATATTTACTGTTTGAAGCCGTCCTCTTTCAAGACTTGTAATTACTACTTCTTTTTTTGTGCTTGTATTTGCACATTTCTGTGTGTAGGTTGCTGCAGCTGAAACTGGAATAAGGGGGAATTAATATGTTTTCCCTGAAACATTTGACCATTAGAAACAGCAGTTGTGGAGTAAATCACTAAGTTTTTTTTAGTTAGTTGTGTACCTGTATCTGTTTCTCACCTCATCATCCTTGGGAGCCATTTGGTCTTAACACTCCTGTTGTCAATCTGTGTGTATGGAAGAGGCATCTTGTTTTCACTTGTGCAGTAAACCTGATGTTTCCATCAAGCATGTGCTCTACTGCACAAAGAACTGTTTTATTTCAATGCACACACAGTGTATCTAATCTCTAGCAGAAAGGGGTTGTAATTAGTAGCCCTTCCAAGAAGTTGAAACAAGTGAATTAAATAGTACTGAAAAAATGCTATTTTATCCTTTTTTTCCCCCACTTTTGTAGAGAGATCAAAAGAGGTAACCCAACATGAAGAGGAAATGAATGGGAATATTTCTACCTATAGAGATGCCCAAGAACAATCTGTGTTTGCTTTCCGGAGAGAGCCAAGTTATTTTGAGATTCCAACTAAAGAATTTCAGCAGCCATCAAAATCTCCAGAAACACAGGTCCATGAGATCCCAACAAAAGATGTTGATGCTGTGGTAGCCCCTGTGGTACAGAGTCATGCCTCTTTCACCATTGAATTTGATGATGGTACACCTGGTAAAATAAAGATAAAAGACCATGTAACAAAATTTTCACTTAGACAGAGAAGACCCTACAGTAAGGAGCCAGCTCACACAGAAATGATGTCGGCAGAGAGCAAAGTGGCTGACTGGCTTGTCCAGAATGACCCAAGCCTGATGAGAAGGCAGTCTGCAGGAGATGATGTTTACAGTACCAAGAGTGACCTGCCAATTCATGTAAGGACGCTCAAAGGTGAGTAACTGTCTTGTCATGTGGACATAGCTCTCTGTTGGCCATGCAAAATGCAGCCTTTCATAATAAAATATGAAAACCATTCTCCTGTCAGGGAGAACTGGACTTAATTATCTCTGGTCCAAATTTGCAAGATGAAGAATATTACTTTAATGACTGTTGATATTTTGAATGCATCCAGCATGCTCTTCACCTGGGCCTGAAGTCATGTGTGATGTTGGCTTGGGGACACTAATGTGACTCCTCTGCATCTATAATGCCAGCTCAGCAGTAATTGGTTGAAAAAAAGATTTTGGTTTTTAAATGTCCAAAATAATTTCCATATGGTCAGACAGGCTGATAAACACAGATATTTCAGTGAATTTGGTTCTCTTGGCTACTCCTAGCTGATGGAATGGCTTTTCTTTTTAACTGTAGTCCACAGGAGTCTGAGCATTATTATCCTGCTGCCTTAAGTGTGATCATCTGGTAACGGTCAGAGCCAGTTGGTTGGATGACAGAAAGTGCTGACAGAGACAATACTGGCAGAGTTGAGATACACTGATCCCTAGTAGAGGAAATTGTTGTGCTTGTAGGAAAAGGTTTCTTCTAACCCAAAGCTTTTCTGAAATCCTGCTCTGCTCAAAAACGTCAGATTTAGTGAACCTCTGTCTTGTTAAGTGTCTCACTTGTGAGGAATTCTTGGGGGATTTTCAAAGATCTGAAGTGAAGTTTGGAGCTCAGTTCTTAGAGCAGCTTGTGGGACTTACATGATTCTGATGCAGCTTGGAATACATTCTGCAAGATTTATGGTTGCTTGGGTGTCTCTCTTGGGCCATCCACTGAACAGCTTGGAGGAGACCATTGATTCCTGCATTCTCACTGCCTTGCCTCTGGAAGAGCTATTGTTTTGAACTGCAGCTTGAGCTGATGAAGTCAAATTGAAGGCTACCAGACCTACTTGTGCTTGAGTTCCTACTTAAATAAGAGCTATGCCTTGTTTTCTCTTGAAGGAATATTTGCTTTGACCTTCTTGCAAAAAAAAAACCGAAAACTCATCATAATATGAAGAGTTTTATGTATTGCACCTCCAAATTGCTGGTTTTGGTGCATATTTTTGGGAACCCTGTAGGATCATAAAGGTCTTCTATTCAGCTATAGGGTTTCACATGGCATAGAAATTGAACTACTTTGTTGGCCATTGCTTGGTTCTAGTTCTTCCCAATAAGGGACAGCATTGAGGTGCCCTGTTTCGTTATTTAGGGTCTTATTTTCAGTGTACTGTGACTGTGTGATGAAAGGGTTTGTGCTGGGATTTTTTATGTTGTTGTCATACTGATTTTTGTTGACTTACTGGAGAACATTGTCAGGGATAGAAATGTGCTTCAGTGGTTTTGCTCTTCCTCTTGGCGAAAACTTGAGAGCTGGGCAGCTGTTGCTGTTGTGATGCACAGGAGCACTAGAGACTGGCTGCATTTGCCTCTGTGCAGTCCATAAGACGTGGAAAGAAGCTGAGGTAATTCAGGGTGCAATTTGCATATAAAGAAATCAACACTGGACATTTGATTAAAACATGGAGTGCTGATGGCCTGAGGAGTTGATCCTCCTGCTTTGGCAGGTGTCATTTATCTACGATAGCTGTGCAACGTGTTCTTCTGGCAGGGCTAATGTTGAAGGTGTCTTGGAGGCTGCTGCTGGCTGCCTACCAGATTTGGGTCTCCAGGATCAGAAATGCCCTCCATTGGGGCTATCTAAGTAGCATTCATTCACTTCCAGCAACAATGTGGTGAATGTAAAGTCCAGTATCAAGACTACAGGGTGTTCAGGTCTTAGCAGCTTGAGGGGATGTGCATGATGTTCTGCTGGGGCATCTGTGAGCATGGTGCATGTTTTCCTTGTGTCCTCACCGTTTTGCATCCGTCAGAGCTCTTAGTCAAGACCTTTAATTTAAGAACTTTCCCTTCCAAGGGTGAAGCTTATCAGCCCTCAGGGCACAATGCAAAGTTTGCTGGCTTTCTTCATCAGTGTATTAGCAAACTCTTCATAGAATTGACTCCTGGGTTGAATGGACCTTGCATTAAATTCTAATCTTTTGCAGTTAACTTGATGTAATAAATGGTCTTCACCCGTGAGTCTGGAGAACTTGCCAAGTTGGTTTGAGCAGTTTTCCTTCAAACACGTGGTGTTTTAGCCAGTATATCTTGCTACATATTACAGTCTAGAGCGCAGAGACCTCTTTCCCCGTTCTCCCGATGACAGGTTCCTGGTCGTTGACTGAATCGTGTTGTGTGCCTTCACACCTGTTTCCTTCTCCAAAAAAAGGTTTGTTTTTGTTTTACTTTTAACTTTTTTTTTATTTTTGACTTTTTGTTTTACTTCAGCTTACTTTCTGAGAGTCCTGAGCTAAGGTGCTGAGAGACAGGCAGGCACTGATACATAGAGACAGTTGTAAAGATGGTTGTTGCTAACATAAATGAAAATATTTATAAACTTAGTTTAAGCTTAGTGAGCTCTTAACTAATGATTTAACCTTTGCTTGGCTGCTGATAGGATGGTGTAACTCATGGGGGTGTCATGGTGTGATTCTTAAATCTCCAAGAAGAGTAAAGAATCCTGCAAATCCACTTTTCTGTTAGCTTCTGTTTTATCTCCCCTTGTAGAAGAGGGTGACTTGGGTGCTCAGAGATGCATGTACTTGTAATGCAGTGATCTGTCTGGTCTTTCATCGTGGGGATTTGGTTTCATGGTATGCACTGTGAGGGTTTTATTTCCTGATCCTGCAGAGATATTTCTGCTCTGTAAAAGAGAAAACCCAGTGAGGTGGTCTTGGACTACAGTAATTGGATAGAATGGCAAAATAATCTCATCATTTTTATTTGAATTGAAAAAGTAAAGAAACAAAACGTTAGGTATGTAAACAAATCACCACCAGAATCAGAAAAAAATCAGAAATCCATGAGGTTGAAAGTGCTTCTGGAATTCTTTTTAAATAAAAATAAAAATAAGGCTGAAAGTACTTATTGAATTCTTTAAAAATAAATAATTAACTTGGTATCCAACCAGTGGTGAAAAGTGGGGTCAGGAGAGAGCTGCCTTCTCTTAATTTCTTGTGCTGGGGATGTAATCCCTGTACCACACAGATGTCTTTGGAGTTTTTTAATCTTACAGAATGCTTTCCTTGTAACTGCAATTATAAATTTCATCTGGGAGGTTATGACAGGCCCACAACCTCTGAGAGTACGAAGGTCAAATCCACATACCTTGTTTCCAGGCAACAGGCACGAGGACGGGACGCAGAGCGACACCGAAGACCCCAAGGCAGAGAAGGAGGCGCCGGCGGCGGGCGGGGAGCGTCCCGCGGAGCAGACGAGGCTGCAGCGCCAGATGAGGCGCGACCCCCACGAGATGCTGCACAACAAGCAGGCCTTCGTCATCGAGTTCTTTGAGGACACGCCGCGCAAGAAGCGCTCCCAGTCCTTCACGCACAGCGCCCACTCATCCCAGAGCGACACGGATCCGGGCATGAAGAGCAAGGTGGAAAAGCGCAAGAACGCGCTGCCGGCGGAGAAGCCGGGAAATTCAGCGCTGCCGTCCCACCTCACGGCCCAGGCAGGCAAAGCCAGCAACAGCTCCTGCGGGACCCAAAGAGCCAGCTCCTTCAAGAGGGACAAGACGGAGGATCGGATGAGCTCTTCGTCCTCCTCTGCTCCCAGAGTCAAAAGTTATGGGAGCGTTGGGAGGAAGTCGAAAATGGCTCAGGATTTTATGGCTGAGTACTTGCGTGAGACTGCTCAGTCTGGGAAGCCAAATGCCGAGAAAGCAGCCCCTGTGCCCATGCCCACAGCTCCACGTGTGGTTATATCCTCAGAACCAGAGCCTGCCTCTGCTCCACCTCCAGAGGTGAAGTCTGCCCAGGGCAGGAGGAATGATGAGGAGGACAGTGTAAGTGAGACGGGCACGTACACCATTGAGACAGAGTCGCAGGACAAAGAGGTGGAGGAAGCCCGAAAAATGATAGATCAGGTAAATGCTGCTTTTCTGTGCTTGGCCAGTGAGCTGAGGGCTGAAGGCTTGGAGGGCTTAAATTAACTGTTGCCATGAAGGGATGCAATTGAGTGCAGCAGGGCATTATAGTTAGGGGTAGAAAAATCATCCTGGGTGATGTGTGCTAAGGATAGGCCTCAATGAACAGTGATGCCTGTCTTTAAGAAATCCCATCAAAACAACAAAATTACAAACAAACAAAAAACTGCAGAGTAAAAGAAGGGAAAATATGCCCACGGCAGAGAGCTGCTTGCTTAAAAAATGGAATTTGGAAGCAAAAGGGAAAGAGTGGGTTTGCCATCTGTTTAGAGGAAAGGCAACACCTGAATAAAGATCAGGCTGATCCTGCTGACAGCTGTGGTTGGGAGCAGCTCTGCTCTCTAGGACTGCTCCCAAGCCTCTGCCTTGGCATTGCATCACCTCCTGCCCACTGTTATAAAGTGGGAGCTGCAGCCCATGACTGATGCATCATCCCATGGTAGGCCACAGGAAATGCCAAGGGCTGGTGCTTACAAGCCTTAGTGGCAGATGTTTCTGTATTTGGCTGTGCCTGATTAGAAAGGCAGTGTTTGCTGTCAGGGCAAGCAGCAGCTGGCTGAGATAGCAAAGGGTGTGATCTAGGGCACAGGCAATCCCAGATGGATCTGTACTTGTTTGGATTTTGCAGTGTGAATGATTGCATAAAAAATAAACTCCACAGATGAGGAAGGCTTAAGAAGAACCCACCCAACTAACCAACCGCAGGGCAAACGAAAGTTTGGCTGATTTTCAGGTTTAACTCTCATCTGTGGTCTATTATGAAAACAAAACTGGCAGGTTGTTAGGAAGATCTAGTGAAATGTAGTCAGGAGGATGGCAAGGTTTAAAGGAAGCCTTAATTGAACCTGGCTTTAGAGCTTTGTATACAGTGTTTATGAGCCTGGATCTAGCTTCTCTCTTTTGTTTTTGATTACATTTGTTCCTTCCATCTTGTTTGAAATGTGATCGGAAGCTTTCAGGGCATGGCATTTAGGTCACAACAAGGTCCTAGTCCTGACAATAGATGACTAATTGTTCTGGTGGGGAATATTAGGGAAAATGCCACAGAAATACAAGTGTTTCTGGGGAGTAGTCTTGGCAGCCATGTAACTGGCAGACAAACTGGCCAGCTTCTGGGCCAGCTGCGCCATAGACTTGGTGCAGTGCAGGCCTGCCACTTGTGAAACAGCTGATAACTGAACCTCAGTGCTTCTGTCCAGGAAGAAAGAACATGAATTCTGGACTAGGTTCTAAGGTGTTTCTGTTCTTTGTTCCTCCACCATTGCAAGCACATTTTTTTAACAGCAGTGAGAGTGGAGATCTTTATGGCCGTCTCCGTGCAGCCACGACACCCTCTGTGGTGGTGTCCTTCTCTTCTTGCAGTCAAGTGAGAGGAACAAGCCCTTCTGAGGCATGAGTCTTCATCACCCCCCATAGAAGGCCTGCTTATCTTCAGGAGGAATCTGTGCAAGGAGCTCAAACATTCACCCATCTCAGAGGTGCATCATGTGGCAGTGCAGGGCTGCTTTGCTCAGCCCACTCACAGCTACAGTCTGTGAAAGGCACTGGGGATGGAGCTTTCCCATTTTCTCTGACTAAATCTTCATGAATGGGCTGGTAAATAGCTTTTCCAACACTCATCCTAAATTTCTCTGGGCTGAAAAGGGACTCCTTTTCAGTGAAAGTTACTGCTGTTAAACACAGCACCTCTAAATAATGAGGGAGAGAGGAAAGGTGGGTGTGAGTGGAATTCTATGATTATGTATATTTAAAGCTGCTGCTATGGAGTGCAGAAGAAAATAATTTACATAGTTTGCATGGAAGCATTGGCAAGTGTTTCTGGCCCCTTGGCATCATAGTTTGTGTGTGACTAATGTTTCACAGATTTTCATAGATTTTGGCTAATGTTTTTCTGTTTCCTTGCATTTTAATAATCCCATGCAAACATCTTTTCAGGTTTTTGGCGTTCTTGAATCGCCTGAATTTTCCAGAATCTCTTCAACCTTTAGACCAGTAATTAAAGGTGAAAAAGATGACGCCAGTTCTCAGCATCTAATCAGTGAAAATGGCACTAGTCAGAAGTCACCCTTGCTCCAGGCTCTTTCCTCAAAAGTTGTGAATGGGTCTCAGGCTGAGGCACAGGTATGAGCAGTCCAGGTGGATTTCCTGGAATGGTGGAGGTGTAGATGGGTTTTCTGTCTGCATGTAAATGTGATGTGTAGCTTGATTTCTATTTTAAACAGACCGAGTGATTCCGTGAGAGAGGAGAGATTTTGTGGCTGGGATTTTGTGTCCAAACCCTCCTTCTGACCTCATTTTCCCCACCTTGTTGTAGATGTCTGCAGCAGCTCAGGGGAGTCAGAAGTGGGTGTCAAGGTGGGCGAGCCTTGCGGACAGTTACTCTGACTCTGGATTTGCCTCTGGGCCGGGTGATGGAAGTGTAGGTAAGTCTCATCCAGCACTGTGGTTTGAGGGTATCTGAATCTAAACCAGGATGATCGGAAAAGCAGAAATTAAGGGCATCTCTGCATCTGGCTGTAGCTTGTTTTCTGTTTTTGCTGCAGTGGTTGGAGATGAGAAGCACAGAGTGAGTAGTTCCCAGTGGACTGAAGATAGAGAGAGCCTCTGCTTTGCATTTTGGAGTTATTCAAGAGGTTCTTAAATGTTAGGTTTGACATGACTAGGGGGAACCTGAGAAGGAGAAAGCTTGTAAGGGCTTTGGGTGTTAACCAGCCCCAAGCTGTGATTCCTTAGACTGCCATATGATGCCAGATGAGAACCCTTTGCGCATAGCCTTGGAGTTAGTTCCTGACTTGCATATTTTTGGATGCTTCTGCTGTGTCTGGCTGTGCTGAGAATTCAGGCTGTTCTGGGATTTGCTGTTGAGTGGCCAGTTTAAAGGGTGGAGATCAGCATAGAAAACTAGATGTGGTGGGGGAGAAACGATGGGAGTCTGGTAACCTCCAGCTTCCTAACTTGGAAGACACCTTACAGACCCTGTGGTTCTCTTGGTGTGTGAGAAAAGGAGAAAAGCACTTTGTTGGCTTTTGCAAATGTTTTCAACTTTTTTTTTTGCTTGTTATTACTTGTCATACCTTCTTGCCATCGACAGCTAAAAGATCAGAAGGAACTAAAGATTAGAAGGAATCTTTGTTTCAGAGATCATTGCTACTGTTTTCACACCATGTAGGATACCTAACTCCTGGAGGACTTGTAATATTACCATAGCCAAATAACCAGTGATCCTGGTATTTAAAGGTGTTATCAGATATGGAGGCCTGGCCAGAAGCATGGGAGAAATAGGAACACTCTTTCTGTGGAGTGTTAGTGTTGCTGCTGATAAGCCCACACAAGCTGGGGCAGGGAGCTCTAATTCAGAGCCTCTTGATTATCACAGAGTCTTTCTCCTGGGACTTTGCTCTGGGATATGAGTGTAGGAGAACTTGTACTGTGAAAAACACAGTCTATTTAGTCAAATGGGCAATGTTGTTTTGAATGGCACTTAAAACACTGCATCACTGATGTCTGATGGCTTTTCATCTCATTCCTGTGGCCTGATTGATGCTAGATGCCAGCGATGTCATTATACTCCATAGTGCTTGTACTGAGGGGTGTATTATGGGAGAATGAATCTGACATACTACCTTGAGAAGGGAAGGTGTTGAGCAGTGTGATTCAGCAAAGGAATCAAGTTTAATGTCTGTATTGATAAACCTGAGAGAGCAGATACCAACCAGGCCCTGCTGATGTTCAGATTACATAAAACCTTAGTTCTAAGCACACCTTGTGAGTGCTTTTGTGGACTTGCGCTTTATAGGATCAATCTCTTCCTAAACAAAGAAACAAATAAATGGCACGGTTTTACACTAATTGATTCTTTTCCTCTTAAGTCTCTTCAGAAAGTGGGGTGCTCCCAAAACCTGGAGAACCAGAAAACTCTGTGCCCTCGAGAACAAGGCGCCTTCTTCCCCAGCTCCCTCCAAGTGATAAATCAGACAGCCCCACTCCCGCAGTCCTGGTGTGCCAGGAGTCCTATTCAGAGGTTACCAAGAGAACCATCGTGAAGGATGGCTGCGTGGAAGCCTGTGGCGATTCCAGCAGCCACCTCTTCATCCAGGAGGACCTGGATCCGGATAGCCTCAGTGATGCCAGCAGATCTGACGATGGCTTCAGCATGGAAAAAGGCAAGAAATACAAAGAGAACAGCAAAATGCTAGAGCAGATGAGGGAAGACAATAGATCAGAGAGTCGGCAGCCAGGAGCCACCCGGATCTCTCACGTGAGAGCTGTGAGTGAGCCAGTTTCTACTTCCTTCTACATTGGTGATGACAGCAATGATGCAGAGGTTCCCTCCAAGCTCTCCATGAGTATATCCCATGCTCGAGCAGACAAGGACAGCAAGGATCCGGAGTTTTCCTTCAAGTGTGCTGGCACACCAGTTTCTGGAAAGCCACCGGTCAAAGATGTCAGTGCTTATGTAAACACGGCTGGAAAAGTTGTCATTTCCCTTCATCAGAGTCTTCCTCAAGATCAAGAAAACATGTCAGGAAAGGAAACGGCATCTTTTGTTAGACAGGAAAGTTTTACCAAAGATAAATCAAGCAGTGGTGTTCCTCAGAATAAACTCCCACATATTTCAAGTCACCCTCTGCTTAAAGATTTAGAGGCTCTTCGGTCAACTCGTATGGACTTTGGTCAGGACACTCATCTTCTGCTTAAGGACACTGAAACTGCCTTGGCAGCGCTGGAAGCCAAATTGCTTGGTCAAAGCCAACAGCTGGAGTCGTCAGAAACTGCTGGTCAGCTGGAGGACTCCTTGTCAGGGGACTCAGATGTAGACACAGCCAGCACAGTCAGCTTGGTGAGCGGCAAAAACGTCCCAGCAAGTGCCCCGAAACGCAAAGCGGTTGTGAGCTTGCAGAAGGAGAAATCTTCCTCGACACCATCCATCCAGGACCAGTGTGGGCAGCCCAGCGCTCGGGACAGGCTGACAGAGAAGCAGAAAACACAAGCACCAGAGGCACCCAACCGAGCAGAGGCTGCCAAACGCTTCCAGATGAAGCGGAGCGCTGGGACTCGAGGGTCACTCGACTTCACAGACGACGAGAGAAGTTCAAACTCACCCTACCTGCCAGTCCCAGATGCGGTTGTGTCTGACCACGAGCACTCGGTAACCCGGCCTGTTCCCAGGAGGAAACCTTTCACTCAGCCCACCAAGGAGGACCAGAGCAAAACGACCTCGAACGTGCAGAAAATCCAGCAGGTTCTCACTCGGTCCAACAGTTTATCCACCCCCCGGCCCACGAGGGCCTCAAAGCTGCGCCGCGCCCGGCTGGGAGATGCTTCGGACAACGAATGTGTGGATGCTGACAAAGCAACCTCCAACTCTGATGCCACTGCTCAGGGCACCAAGCAGCCCACAGAGACGAAGAAGCTGTCCCGGCTGGACATCCTGGCCATGCCCAGGAAACGGGCAGGATCATTCACAGTGCCCAGTGACTCGGAGACGGCGCAGGCGAGGACGGGCTTTTCGGGCCGCAGCGCCGAGTCCTATCGCAAGACAGGCGTGTCGGAGGTGAGAGCTGCGGCCAGGAAAACGGCAGCTGCTGCCTCTGCCAAGCAGCCTTTCAGCAGGACTCGTTCAAGCAGTGTCAAGTATTCCTCCTCGTCATCCTGTAAGTGCTCCTGCTTTATGTTTCTCCCCTCTTCCCCTGTTTCTGACCTACAGGCTGCACGTGGTTGTCGGCGATTAGTATCGCAGTAGTAGAGGTGCTGCCTTGGTGAGTACAAAAGTCTGCATTTATGAGCAGCGCAGATGTTGAGATTTCATGTGGATTTGGAGACAGCAGAGCACTCTTATACTCAGTGAGATGGTATTGTGGTTATGTCTGTGAGAATACTCCAAATAGGTACTCCAGTGGTTTGTTTCTTGAACAACCAGTTGCCATTTGACAGTTGGCCATATTTTTTTTTAAAGATAGAATTTAATGCCTTTCTAGTGCTGCAAAAAATTCTGAGCTCTTTTACTTGTAAAATTCAAAGTTTTCTCCTAGAGAGCCTATAACGGTGTTGGTGACAGCTGATGTCCAAGGTGGCAGGTTTGAAGGCATCTGAAACTGAAGAACAAAAAATATGTCCCTGTGTTGTGAAAGCTGTTCCCTTGTTGTCCTGAAAATACAAATACAGAGCTGGACACTGCACGTTGATTACCTCATGAGATCGACACTTCTATGTATTTTCACTGACTTTGGCCACAGCTAAGGCAGGTTCAGAGTTGGGGTTCCCATGAGGCAGAGGTAGGAATGTAGGAATTACATTGCCCTATAGTTGAGCACTCAATAGACCCTTGAAAAATCAGCATTTGTCATATTGAAATTAGCCTTCAATTAAGAGGTGGGGACAATTCAGATGACAACTTTGGGATGGTAATTAATTATGGGAGATTGTTCCTGAAACCTTTGGTTTAAGTTCAGGACAATGCCTGTAGTCCTTGAGAAGCAACAGATGTGGCAAAGCAAATGTGTTTGCTTAGGATTTTAGGAATGATTGGTAGCCAGAGGGACAGGAAGAACCCCTTTGGCTGGATTTCTCAGTAGAATGCTATTTTCAGCAGTTTCATGTTTTTGTAAGGGGTCTTGGAGTTCTGGATGTGTCCTTTAATATATTTTCATACAGCTGAGTATTTATCTCCCTTGCAGTATTAATTTTTATTGCATGCTAAAAATGTTATTTGCTGCTTGTTTTGGATTGTTTTAGTACATTCAGCTTCACCTTTAATTTTAGTGATTTTTTTCCTTACACACTTGTATATGCATGTAAATCAGAATGTGATTAAGCTAAAACAGTATGTACAGTCTCTGCTCTTGTCTTTTTTTGAGATGATGCTATTGTTAACTTCTTGTTAATGCTGATAAACAAATTTAAGGCAAGATAATGTGGTCAGTTTTCCAAACAGGAGGTGCTCTTTGCACTCCCTCTGCCTTTGGACCACAGGCTTCAAATCATTCGGAGAAAAATGATAAGTGTTGGCCAGTTCTTTATTTAAATGAATTGGTTTTTGATTTCCACACCTCTGTAGCAGCATGCTAACACCTTTCCTTGTCCATAGTTGCAGCAGATGATGCTAATCCTTCCTCTGAATTAGTCACTCTTAAAATACTAACCTCCTAATTCTTTGATAGGATTGTGAACCTTGTGCAAGCTCTGAGTACACGCTGGTGTATTTCGAGCTTCATTGTGCTTGCTGTTGTGTGATCCATGCTCCTGTACTAATGCTGGTGTAGACATAGCAAATCAGCAGCTAGAACTCCCTTCCTGCAACCTGAGTGACATGTTGTGAAACTGGACTCTTGCACTGTGCCATCAAGACTTTTTTTAGCACGATACAACAACCCTTGAAAGCTTTGAGTGTCAGGCCTAGGGGATAGGGAGGCAGATGTTGCTGATTTATTCCAGGAGTTCTTCGTGTTTAGCTAACCACAGGAGTTCCAACTCTCCCAGTGGGAGAAAGTTAATCTCACTAGTGGAGGAACAGCATGAACTGTCTGCCCATGAGACAAGAAATGCCGGTATATTGTTGGGCCATCTGAAGTAGCTTTCTGTGAAAGTCACAGATAAGATCAGAATTACCCAAGTTACCAGTTCTGAGAGCTAAAGGCCTGTCTCCCATGCTCCTCTGTGTGCACAATTTGTTTACTCAGGGTAATTTAAATGATACTGAGGGAGCTGATTCTGATTTCCCTTAGCATACAGAGATAGAAAATGAGTCTCATCATTTTAAAATTGCTGTTCAGTGACAGGGTGACCTCTTCATTCTAAAACTGCATTAAAAAAAGAGACGCAACTCTATGAATTGAATATGAGCAAATTTATTTTTATTACATATATAAATATCCTAAGCCAAGGCATTGTTGTAGCTACGGGTGAGATAGCAATGTCTAGGAATTCTTCTTTCACTATACAGTAATTATCTATAGTTTCTACCTGCATCTTACACACCAAATTAGTTGGTTTTGTTTGTATGGTGTATGATGCTGACTTAATTCACAGGTAGTGTTTCAGTGTTAGGATTGTCTTGGTAACACAGTGAAGTTTTTCAGTGTTGTAATTCCAAATAACTCGTCTGGTTCTGTGTTTGGTGGGTCTTCATTCTCCAGGGGTGGACAGAAGGGAATGAAGCAGTACCTGTAGAGAGTATAGTGAGGCAGCAAACATTGGGAGCCCAGTTTTCAAACAAGGACGCCTTGACATTTCCCATGCAAGGAAGACCCGGGTGTCCACAGATCTGCAGAACAAGTTGGGAAAAGTGAGCAGCTTCCACTTGGCTCCAGGGCTTGGAGCCAGTCCTGACTGTGAACACTTCCTTGTAGAGTGTCATTAATGGTGAATTGTGAGGCAGGAGGTGAACACAGGGTGTGGACTCTTGCAAATAACACCAAGCACCAACAGTCTACTCTTCACTCCAAAACCCCTCCTTCTGCTTGTACTTGAAGCTAATTAGAAAGGTATCTGCAGGCTTGAAAATTGGGCTCTCTTCAGAAAAGGACTTCTGTGGGACTATGAGGAGTCTGAAATGTGTGCTACTTACACACAGAGCTTCTGTGCATGGAAAGCCAAGACTGTGGTAGTAATTTACTACAGTGGAGGTGTTAACACAGTCATTATGATTTTCCATTGGAATTTTCCACTCCAAATTTGTACAGTGAATGGGAGCCATAGAGGGGCTCAACTTTGAAATAAGCTCAGAAAATGTGGTATTTTAACTTAAGATCTGCACAGAAACTCTACTTTCCTTGTGCTCTTGGGCTAGTTTTGTGTTACCTTTCAGCCTTTTGTAGTTACTCTTGACTACTGTCCTCGGTCTGAAACCAATTCATTTTTTATAAGCATCAAGGCGGAGACCACAGGGTTCAGATTACACTTCCACTTCGGAGGAGGAATATGGCTCAAATCACAGCTCCCCTAAACACAAACGCTCCCATACTTCAACAGCCACACAAACACCGAGGATACGTGGCTCTGGGCTGGGCAAGCAGAAGCACAACGGCAGAGAAACGGATGAGGATGAAGATTTTGATGACAACCCTGACCCCTACGGCTTCATTGCTCAAACAGCAGAGATAGCAGAAATAGCCAGGTGAGGTGGGGCTTTATCTGTTAACCCACGAGTTGAAAATGGGTTGTTCTCTCCTTGGTGTTCAAATCAAACCCAGGTGTGGGGGTAGTGTTGTTTGTGTGCCCACATATCCTTTATATATGAACATTGACTTGGAAGGGTTTCATGAGCCTTTACAGCCTGGATGTGCTGGTTGTACCTTGTGTCTACAGAAGGCCATGGTGCAGGGCATTGTCTCTTGGTTTGTTTCTTGTTCAAGCTGTGGGAAATCTAATTGTTTATACCTGCATAACTCTGCTCTCTGCTGGAAGTCACAGTATGCGTGTGTATGTATGGTGTGGTTAGTGTGAACTCTCTTAATTCTCTGCAGAGGAAGTCAAATGGATTAGCAAAGACTGAATATGTAAACTGTTGAAGCTGCTTTGCCTGAAGCTGGTCAGGGAGCAGTAAGAAATAGCTGCAGGGCAGAAACCTCTTTGCTTAGCACAACTGAATCTGAACCTGTCTAGACCTTGTATATAAATGAATCGTTGCTTAGCTTGATGTCCCTGGATACGGTGCTTGCTGTGTACTGGTGGTCTGTTGGTTGCCTGGAGGGCTTCAGCAATAAAGCAAATAGATTCTTTTTTTAAACAGTGGCATTTGAGGTTTGTCATCTCTAATATGCAACTGTGTTATGCCAACTTTCCAGAAATACTGGTCTTCCATTGTACTGGCCATACTTGAAATACTTTTGCCTGAGGAAGCTGCCTTGTGTCTGCTTTTGGCCACATCACCCTCGCCGCTGCCGCGCTCACCTCGAAAGGGCTTTTCTTGCTGAAAGTTGCTGTCAAGCTGCTAGAAAGTGTGTCAGCCTTTAAAGCAGGCTGCTCTACCTGTGCTGCACAGTGTGTGTGTGTGTGTGTGTGTGAGATGCCAGCTTCCCTCCCAGCAGCACTCCCAGCACCGGGGAGCTGGGGCTCTCAGCAGCTATAAATACAGGGTTGCGTCAGCCTCGTCTGGCAGGGCTCTGTCACAGAGTCTGCCTGCTAATTGCAGCTCTGGTTTCCCTTGCTGCTCCCGAATTAACTGGGAGGGGTTTAGAGGAGTCAGGGAGAGTTAAAAGGGAAAATGCCACTTGTTTACAGTAGTGAGTCACATAATGGAAGTGTTTGGTGACAGCTCTATCCAAACCAGCACAGAGAGGGGTTACCTTGTGCAGGCAGCTCAGTCTGCATTTTATTAGTTCAAGTGTGCATTTTCTTTCCAAGGAAATGTTTTGATGAACTGACAGTTTTATCACATTGCCTGTTTCCCTTGTGGGTGCCTTCCAACTTGGAATATTCCATAATAACATGGGGTTTTTTCTTGGGTGGGGTGTTTTGGTGTTTTTTTTGGTAGGCTGTTTTGGTTTTTTTCATTAAAAGAAGACAGTTGTTTCAAATGAATCTAGCTGTAAGATTATATTTTCTCATGGAAGTTTTCCTTAAAATTACCACAGCAGCTACTTCTGGTCTGAAGGAGTTTTATTAAAGCTCTACTACAAACAATCCAGAGACTTAGGAACTGTTTTTGAGCTCTAAAGCAGATAGAGCAAGGTCCTGCCAACACTGAATGTTAACTGGACACCTGTCAAGGGGCTTGAAGTTTCAAGATTTGGTTTCTGAAAACCAGATCCCTCTAACGTATGCCATGCTTATCCTCATAATCCCTCAGCTCTTGTGGAGAATGTGGAGGCATATTGTGATTTTCAGTCTACAGACCACAAGGAAAATGCAAGAGGAATTGAGGTTTTTTCTTTCAGTAAAAAAAAAAAAAAGTTTTTTCCCCTGTATGTACTTTTTAATGGAAAACAAGACCCAGGAAGAAAAATTAACTGTACTGTGTTAAGAAAACAAACAAACAAGAGAAAGAAGTAGAGTGAATAGGTGGGGGAGCAATAGCATAAATTTTTTTTATGAATTGTCTCTACTTTCTGGCAATGTGTAGTCACTAGAATTTGCTTTATATCAGTTCTCCACTTTGAAGCTGGATTCAGGAGGGAAGGAGATTAACTTTTTATGCAGCTAGAACGTTCCTCAGCACCCTGCCAAGGCAGCCCAAAAAGCCCTGCTTGCCCTAGCCTCTGCAGAGTTTATAGTTTCCACAAACCTTTTGTGGCTCCTTTTTTATATGTGATGAACGTGAGGAGTGTTGCATTCTGTGTGCTGATGGTTCTGCTTCGTTGCCCGTGCTTCAGGCTCAGCCAGACCTTGGTGAAGGATGTGGCCATCCTTGCTCGGGAGATTCACGACGTTGCTGGAGATGGGGACTCCCAGAGCTCCTCGGGGACAGGACCCAGCCCCTGCCTCAGCTCTGTGCCCAACACTCCAGCTTCCACCATATCTGCCAGAGAGGAGGTAAGGTGGGATCACTGGCATCTCTGCCCCTCGGTGCTAGTGAGTGCCTGGGACATGGGAGACCAGGGCAGCGTCCCCAGTTGCTGCAGCACTGAAAAACCTTCATTCCTTGTCCTCCTAAAAAGCCCCACTAGAAAGACCAACTGCAGCACTGAAAACCTTCATTCCTTGTCTTCCTAAAAAGCACCACCAGAAAGACCATCTGCAGCCTGTTTAGGGTGCTCTTTATTTTCTCCTCTCTGCCACAGCCAGAATCATATAATTTCCCAAGGGTTCTGTTTGGATGCTGGTCCCTGAAATTTGCATCTGAGGAACAGGATGGAGAGGATGTGTTGTGCTGCTGTGCTGGGGAGCCAGAGCCTTCCTCTTTGTTTCACAGAAGGCACTGACCGTGTGTGCTGGCTGCACTCTCTGTGTCAGCTGTGTTTTTGTCTTCTGCTGTGTCCTTTCTGCCAGGACTGTTGAAATGCTGTGCAGGTGTTGCTGGAATCCCTTCCCTCCATCTGAGTATTGATGGAGGAGGGCAAGGACTCTGGGAGCTGGGCAGGGAGGCAGGCAGGTAGCTTGGGAAGTGCTGTCCCCCAGCCCTTCAGTGAAGTTGTGGCTTCCTCCCAAACTGCTTAGCTCAGTTTGTCCACACTAGGCTGGGAAGGAGAGGCAATTTCTTAATTTGTTTCACCAGTGCTGTAGCACAGGGACCAGCTCAGCTCAAATTTTGCTGCAAGGTCACCAGGAGGCTTCAGATGCTGAAGCAAAATTGCCTTTGCTACTGTTTAAATCCAAATTCCCTCCTGTGTACCGCCAGTGTGGGCTTAAAAAATACACAGCTCTCTGCTGCTCAGATGGTTCCCCTGGCCCCGTGTTGTCTTTGACTGCTGTGAGAATTGCAGACCCATCCTAGGCAGGGTTCAAAGCTGAGACCAAGCCTGTTACTCTGCCAAGAGGGTCCTTGGAGGCCCCGTGATCCTGCTGTGGTCAGCACTAGATCAAGTTTAGGGAAATACCCAGAAGATCAGGCGAGCGTGGCTGTGGTTGTGCTAAACTGAGATCAGCTGCAGCCTGCTCAGGGAGGGGTTTGTCCTGGGGCCTTTTGGAGCCAAAGTGCACAAATGTTTCACAATAACTGCAGGCTCTGAGATAAAGTGTTTTATTGCTTTGTTTCCTTCCAAGTGCCACACCTGCCAGGCTGCCTTTTGTATTATTCTTTTCAAGCAGTAAAGGTGACATGCCTACTGTACTTGTGACTTGCAAATGAAACATTTTACTGGGCTCCCACTTGCTTACAGGAAAGCAGGGGAGGAAGAGCAGCATCCCTGCTTTTTTTTGGGGTGCCACTGAAGGGTTCAGCCATAACTCAGCTCTTACAGAGGGGGCTGCTAGAGGGGGACACCTGGAGAACAGTGTTTCTGCTCTGTGCAAAATGACAGGTGATGAATAGCAGAATCACAAACCCAGGATTGCTCAGACCTGGATGAGGGTTTCACTGTGGCTTTGCAGTGCTGCTGTGTGGGACATGCCAGCCAGTCCCTCACAACAGTCAGGAGAGCAAATTCAGGACTGTCACACTGTAGGGAACTCCTGGCAGTGCCCCCTGCCAGAGCAGTTTTTGAGATCTTACAGTGGTGTGAAGGATGAAGCACTGATATTAATCAGTGAAGACAGATCAGGAGCCATAACCTTTGGTGTGTTCAGGTAGTGGCTGAAAACACTCTAAAGGCTTCTAATGAGGCTTCCTCTGAGCAGGAGTGGATATCAGCATGGTTTCAGCAGGGCCAGCATCTGGCAGGCCATTTGAGTACACCCAAAATGCCAAAGTGCATTGGTGTTGATGCCTGACATGATTGATAGCCAGGAGCAGGTTCCATCAGCAGGGCTTTCTGCTGGCAGTGCTGAGATGTGGAGCCAGATCCTGAATAGCTTTCAATCCTAAAGAGTGCAGCTTGGGGGTCTTGTTATGAATGCCAACAGTATAAACTGATGTGAGTTTAGTAAACAGACACCTCATCTTTGGCACTGGACCAGATTCAGCACCAGTGCACTGCCATGCCTGCTTCCCCCAGTCTGAGTGTTGTTGAAACTGTGCTGAATTAATAATTTTGGCTTGATGCAGAGAAGCTGCTGGGAAATTTCTGAAGATCAGTGTGTGTGATGCTAAGCACTGTGAATTTTGTGTTTATCAAACAACTTTATATTAAATATTCTTGGAAAGGACATGTGGTGAGAAATAGCTACCATGGTTATAATAGTAATATATTGAAAGATCTGATAGAAGGAATTATGTGAATAAGAAAAATTTTCTGTGTGTGGGTGTCTCTTATGCTGCAATGGCTTATGCAGTGTTGTATTTCATTCTGCATTTTAGTACTAAATATTTATATCTATTCCAAAAAAGTGGGGGAAAATGCAGGAAAAATAAGTACTGATACTGGAATCACTTTTGAGTGTTTAATGCTGTACCAGAAACATCATCTGGGACCAGTGTGTGGTTGGCATTTCTCAGCCTCAAATGAACTGCTTTTTAAATTAGTTTCATTAAGAAGCTTAGTTAAAGTTTAAATGAGGAGTATCTCCTTATAAGTTAAGGTGGAGCCTTAGATTTAAACCTTATTCTTCACTTTCTGTTCTGCCAGGTTCAGTGCTGGCTTGGATGTTTGCAAAGGAGGCTTTCCATTTCCCCAGTGTATGTTTGGGGTGGTTTTGTTTTTCTAGGCTCAGCTGTATAGTTTATGATAAGATAGATTCTTGGAATACAGAGCTGAGTACTGCTACAAATTAAGCAAATTTAAAAAAAAAAAACAACAAAACAGAACAAAAGAGTTCAGCAAGGATGAAACCTTAATATTTCCTGTTTACCAAAGCCTTGGGTTGTTTGGGATGCCTTGCTTTGGGGATGTGTAGGTTTTGTAGGACCCAGCTTTCTGCAGAACTTGGCCATCTAACTTAAACCTCAGCTGCTGCAAACACAGTCCGGTTGGGTCATCCCAAATCACTGGCTACTTCTGCAAATTTTAGCCCTGCATAAAATTCTTTTGGCAGGTCTTTTAAAAAAAAAAGTTGATAACGATGTAACAAAACCTGAACAGCCTGATTAAGTTTGTTAAATTGTTGTGTAGCGTACTCAGTATGAGTGTTGGTACAACAAGAGGAAGTGCTTACAGAAAATGTGAGAACAGAACAGGTCATGTACAGAATCTGGGATGGTGGAGCAGGTGCTGTCCTTGCCTTGTTTTCAGCTGGTTGTGCTGAGACCTGCTCACTGTAGGAATATCTCATTCCCTTCTGACACTTTTACTGCTGCAGTCAGCCTAACTTACTGTTTCTGCCCTTTGTGAAAGGAGGCTTATTAGCTAAATATTTTGGCTGTTCTGCCCCTGTGCTGTAATATCTCACACCTGCTGCCTGTGTATAACCCAAGTGCTGCTGCATAGTGTGGGGAGCCTGGCCCTTGGATGGCACACAGTTTCCTCACAAGGAGCTGTGTGCTTTGCCAGCCAAAGAGCCTCTTGGGCTGGGTGTTCATCCCTTTCCCAGAGCACTCTGGATTTCACTCAGCACAGTCCAGTTTGGATAACTGGGAATCTGCCTGAGGCCACCTCAGCAGAGCTGGCTGCTGACAGGATCTCCGTGGGCTTCAGTGCATGATGGGGGGTGGGCACCAAGTGCTGGTCCTCAGGAATGTGCTTTTGGGAATGTCAACCCCAAATAACCCCAAACCCTGTGTTCTCTTTGATACTTGCTGTCACAGTCATTCACTAGCATTGATCTCTTTGTTTCTGTTTTAACACAGATTGCTCGTAGATCTTTTCGGCTGGCATATCCATCTCAGGTGCACTTTCCATCCCATTATTTTTGTATCTGTCTTGTCACTGTTATTTTCTTCCCCTTCTTTTAAAGGTTTTGTCAGTAAACCCAACAAGAGTAACTGTCTTGTCGTTTCTGTTCTTCTTGTTAATTATTTGCTTTTTTAGTGGTTTTGTATTGCTTTTTCATCTCTTTCATGTGTTACTAAATGGTTTCTGGTTAATTTGAGTGTGTCTTTAATGTTGCATTGATGTATTAAGACATAAGATATGGGAAAACAGGGTCCTTTTGAGTTTTAGCTAAATTCAAAAAAGACAAAGATTTACTTTTCCATACATGCTCAAGACTCAAAGTTTTAAAGTAGAATACTCCACAGAGTTTTGTGGTATGACTCCAGTGGGCAGGCACTTGCAGGATTGGGGTCTAATAATTCGCTTACGAGCCCATACCTGTCTGAACAAGACTTAAGTGAATCAGTGTTCCTCTAAATCTGCAATACCTGCAGTGAGTGCCTGTGAGCCTGCTTTCCCTACTAATTTTTAATGACTCATTACTCATTATTTCCAAGTTGGTGCAGCACATTCCAGAAGCAAGTCTGAACTACCAGAAAGTGCCTCCGGGATCAGTGGAACTGAAGGATTTCGACCAAAATATGAATGATAATAGAGAAGAGGATCCCTCAAGAAAAACAAGGACAAGAAACCGTGAGGAGGCAGGCCACCTTTTTCTTTACTTTATATATGACATGGTTTTAAGCTGCTGTATGTCTTCTTGTTCTTTGCAAGCTGCCAAAGGAGGCTGCTCAAAAAAACCCCAAACCCACACTTCTCAGCAGCCCTGATGTGTGGGTATAAAACAGTGTTTTAAAAGAAAACAGAGGAACAGAACCACCCATCTTGCCAGTAGTGACTGGAAGTTTCCCATCTTGTGTAAAATGCCAGTAAAACCTGAGGCTTGGTCTCCTGTTTTTGGGAGCACACATTCAGTGTCAGAGCCTTCTTAGGCTGTTTCACTGCTGTCTTAGAGAAGAGCTCAAACATCTCAACTTTGAAATCTGAAGCACTGATAGTTTAATGGCACTGTTCTGCAGCTGGCATCCTGGTTAGAGCTGCTCGTGGAGCAGCAGTGGCAGGATCTGGACCTTGGGAGGGGTGTGTGACTGGTGGCACAGCTGGGCTGCAGTCTGAGCATTGCTCCCTCCCATGTTACATGCAGGGTGACCTGCAAATCACTGGGGTGATGCTAAAGGCTGGGAAAGCCTGGCCTGCACTGGAGGCTGGGGATGGTGTTGGGATGAGGGGTGATGGTGCCAGGAAGAGGAGGAGAAAGCTGCTGATCCAGCACTGGCTGTTGCTCCTGCCTGCTGTGGTGGGAAGGAAGAGCTGGGCAGAGGCTTCAGGGGGGCAGAGGGGCAGAGCTGGCTCCTGCACAGCCAGTCTGGAGGTGGAGTGTGACTCACACAGGGACTGTGGGCTGAGCCACTGGAACTGATCCTGTCCTGTAGCTGCTTTGAATCAGTTCCTTCCTCTCCTGTAGAGAAGTGCCAAGGCTGGATAAAGGGTGCAGCTTCAGAGTGCCCCCAGCTTGGTGTGGGCTTTCCTGGCAGAAGCCTGGAGGCTCTGCTGAGCCACAGGACTTGAATATTTGGGGTTTGATAGTATTTTATTAAATCAGAATATAACATGGTGGGATACCTGGCTGTGAAGGTGATTTGAACTTATATGTGTCATGTTAGGTAGTTTCAACTGTTTGTGGGGCTTCTTGCATTCTGATTTGACTTTTGGGTTTTTTGGGGTTTTTTGTGTGTGTGGAAAGTCCTAAGTGCTGTTCTTTCAGAAATGCTTAAATGCTTATGTTACTGCAAACAGCTCTGTCTCTAGCAAAAGTCTGAACAAGTTGGTATTAACTTTTTTGCCAAAGTGCTGCAATAAAGCCTCACATCATCTTAATCTCCCCTGAACTTCAAGTATCATCCACACAAAGATGTTTCAGTGGGGATGATTTACTGTACAAAAAATTCCTGTTTTGTAATATGCTGCTTTTGCTAAAAGTTTTCCAATCTGTCCTCATATTTTAGGTAATCTTTGACAATCTGATGTTGAACCCAGTGTCCCAGTTATCACATACAATCCGTGAAAATACAGAAAACCTCGCTGAAAAAATGAAGTAAGTAACTTCTTATCCCTGGCCTGAAATATTGACTTGCTGGTGAGTTTGTTGGCTTGCTACTTGTGGAAGATATTGTACTGTTGTCTTGAAAGTTCTGTAATCTAGATGCAGGAAATCTACATGTAGGAAATAGTGTGTGTGCAGTGAACCAGAGGTAATATGATTATTTGCTATCACTTTTCCTCATATCTTTGGCCTTTGGAATTTGGATGCTGGATTTGCCTGTTGATGCCTTGGTTTTGAAATGCTGCCTGTGCAGAAGATAGAGCAGAAAACTGGTGGATTGTCTCTTTTTACAAGGCTCTTGTAAATATGCAATATGTTACCAAGCTTGTGAAATCTTTTCAAAGTTTGTTGTTGCTCTAGAGACATCAGAGGGAAGGACTTTGGATTGTTCCTAAATCAGCTGAAAGTTGCTTTATCCAGCTTCTAATCCACTAATCTCTTTTGTTGCCACATCTTGTGATAATTAAGTCTTTTAAACAAGCAGTTTTTTGATGGCAATTTTAAGATCTCCTCTACTTTTGTATTACAGGATTCTGTTTCAAAACTCAGAAAGGACCTGGGAGGAAATGGAGGCCAAAATCAATTCAGAAAATGAAGTGCCAATTCTGAAAACATCAAACAAAGTAAGTCCATGCAAACAAGTGAAATACTAAAGACTTGATCCATGAAAGCTTTGTAAGAAACCAAACCAACAATGTCTGACCCTTCTCAAATCCATTTCTGGAATTTCTGGTCCATTTTCATGTGTTGAACTGCTGGATTTTGTTACTGTTTGAAGTGTCACAGAGTGAGTTCCTTCTGTGGTTTTGTTTCACCAAACCCTTTCCCTGTTCCTTTGCAAATGATCTTCAAAGCCTGGGTTTTTTAACAGGTGTAGAAGTTCAGGGTCATTAGGCCTCATTTAAACATTTACCAGAGGGTCACCTGCCATGTGGTTCCACAGCTTCAGTTGCAGACAGGTGTTCCTCACGAATGTTTGTTTTCCTCACCTGGAACTGTTTGATATTAGGGCAGTAAAAATCCACCTCAGGGTGCATTCACTCACGTGATTCAGCCTCTCAAGATGGTGCTTGTGTTCTCATGGCCTTTCACTGTCCTTGGAGGGGATTGTCAGTAAGGATTTAAGGGCAGTAGTAGACCCAGTGAATATGATTAATGCTAAACAACCTCGTGCTAGACCTGTGCAGCAGTATAAATGTGGCCAAATACCCTGTCTGGTCTAGGAGTTGAGTTTATAAATATCTTTGTGTATTTCATGCTAAGGAGGAGTGTTTGTACAGGTGTAGCATTTCATAAAAGCCCCTCTGGCTATGAATATGAAAATGCTGTAGCAGCTCTTGGTGACACAGTGCAGAGCAGGCTCCCTGTGCACTGACCAAATGCCCCTCAGTACAGCTTTACTGGTAAATGAGCAAGGTTGGGCCTGACCTTGAATCTTCTTGATCAGATAATGCAGAAGCAGTAAGACTTGATTTCTGTGTCGGTCGAGTACTTTGTTGCTTAATTTTCCATTCTGATGCTTTTGTTTCTAGGAAATCAGTTCTATCCTGAAGGAGCTCAGGCGAGTTCAAAAACAGCTTGAAGGTTGGTTATCTAAAATGTTCCTGTTGTCTCTCAAATGCCAGTAGAGTTGCACAAAATAAAGTATTGTTGGCCTGATTTGTCAGTGAAAGCTGAGAAAGGATGCAGAAGTTCAGGCTGTTACCACAGTGCTGTCTGATGAATGCATAGGGAATTAACAGGAGATTTATCTTACACTGCCTGTTTTGAGGAAAAATTTTACTATTGAAATGTAGAAGCTGTTGCTATGGAAATGCTTTTTTTGTGGTAATTAGCATATTCCCATAAGATAAAATGGTGCAGGACTGGTCTGATGAAATAGTATTTAGCAGCTCTTTCAGCCAGTAAAGCTGTGCTTTTTGGACTTGAATTTTGCACATAGATCTCTGCACTAGGAAAAACAAGACAAGCTCTTGCATCATCTAAAAGTGTAATAAAGACATGTAAAAACATCCAGGCATCATTCTGGGCTCCTGCTAAAAGCTTGCCATTTGGCTGCTCTAGTTTGTCTTTTCCAATTTAACCAGAAAGTTGAGAGTCCACATCTCTTGAGTCTGGGAGAGGTTTTGCTTGTTAAAGCTGTTTAGACCTGAAGGTATTAATGAGCAAAATAACCTGACTAAGATGAACAGAAGTACTGCTTACAGTTCTACTGCTTTCAAAATGAGGGTAGCAAACTTCTGTTTGGAAACTTTGCTGAGTGCTGCTAATGAGTTTATGTCTCTTTTTTATTTTTCCCCTAGTCATAAATGCCATCATTGACCCTACTGGAAACTTGGATATAGTCGCCAGTAACAAAGCATCTTCTGCTGCTAAACAATCTACAGCCACTAAAGTCAGGACTGCTAACAATTCTGGGTCCACACTGGAGACTTTGTCCCTACCACAGATGAGGAACTACGCTCAGAAATCGAACTGTGGGTCTTCTAGCTTGCAAGATTCGAATTTCATTCCAGATGGAGAGAAATATGTGATCTGATACAATATTTTGTATTGCTGTTATACTGTAATCTACTGTTGCATTAGTATTGTGTATGAGTGGTTTGTGGACAGTTTGTGTGGAGCAGTTCTTTAGATTGCTAACATGTTGCACAAAAAAGAAAAATCTATGCTGTGAGGGTGAATGGAAAGTCTGTGTATGCCTTTTAAACAAGACTAGCACTGTGGAGCAGCACATACTCAGCACAGAGGCAATCTGATTTTTACTAAATTACTCATTTATTTATTCTTCCAGTGTGCCATAAGAAAACAGGCTTTGCATATTTTCCATTCAATACTGCTGAGGCTAAAGTGCTCTTGCATTGGCCTGTTTATAACTATTAAGTTGTAATGAGGCTCAATTTGAAAAAAAAAAAACACACCTTTTTGGTACTATATTTGTTTGGGTTTTATTTGGTTGAATTTTTTTGAAGTGTACAAGTGAAGCATTACAACTCTGTTGGAATCAACTTGCAAATCCAACAGAACAATTGTGCAATATCATGGGTTTCTGAGAGAAACCCTTACTTGCAGTTGTGTAAGATTTCCTTTCAGCAGTCATAAAAAAGAAGCCACACTGAAGTTGTGCATCTGTTTTTCAGTCCAAAAACGAAAACAAGACAGAATAAACCCTTTTTTTTTTCTCTTGGGAAAGTATAAAAGTTAATAATGGTATGAATGTAAAGACTACCGATACACCTACTATTTTTGATTATCTTTCAGACCCAAAGTTTGGGGTAGGTGCAAAATTTAGCTTGCCACATTTTCATGATTTTGGTACAAATGCTGTCTTTAAGCTGCTTTTCTTTTTTAATTTAAATATACAGTCTTTTCGTAATGAGCTACAAATGCTCTTGGCTGGGCCAAAGACTAAGATGTTTGCAATTACCTAATTGCAAAGAAAACCATCTGTTCCAATGGCTCGTGGAATAAACTCAATTACACAGTTGCTGTGAACTAGTGCAATCACTTGACAGCACTGAAAAAATAATGGCTTCAATGTAGCTCCACCTTTATGGCTAATTCTGTTAAGAATTTTTTTTTCAATGCAAAAGTGCTTTTGAAGGCCACCATTGTGGTGTTCCTCAGAAACTATTCAACAATATCAAGCACTTGTGTAGGAACGTTTGGGATTTTTGTCTCTGGATTTAATTTTTGGTCCATTATAATCCTAGAAACACTAAGGATTGTGTACAGTAGTTCGAGCAATTTCTTATTTAACAAAAGTTGGGGTTTATATTCTGTCTTTGTGTTAAACTGCAAAACACTAAGCAATTTTTCTTGCTTTAAGAACAAAAATTTTGGTTTTGAGGGGATCTCTTCCAGATGTGTTTGCTCCCAGTTTTTTCTGTCTTGTATCGATTCCTTTTTCATTCTTCCAGGTCAACAAACAGTAATCAGGTAAAGAAATTCTTTTGTAGCTGTGGAGGATACATTTACTGGGAAAGGTGAGCAGATGAGTTCCACTTTGCCCTCATACAGTATGTAGTTTAACCAGTGAAAATGGTTTCCCAAGCTTGACTGCTTCTTGTGTGCTGACTCTATATTTTGGGGTGAGTAGTGGATTCCTTAGTTAGCTTCAGTAGTTACCTGAGCTTTTCTGCTAGGATGTTGTAACTGTGGGAACCTGTTAAAATAATTTACATAAATAGGGATGCTCACAAAGTGTTTAACCTTACTAGTGAAGAAGGTGATTGCTTTCCTGGTGGAACCAGGAAATTTAATCAATTTCAGCAGAGACAGGATCAGTCCCAAAATGGGAGTATGTCAACACGTCATTAGTTTATTTTTGAGCCTGCAAGATGCTGGCTGGTAAATAGTAGGTGCAGATATCCTTCCAAGATTTCCAGTAGGCTATAAGCTCATCTGCTTGTGTGGAGATGCCCTTCCATGAAGAAATCTGCCAGATACATGAATGCAGAATAAAAAGAATTTGCCCTTGATGTTGTTCTGCCTGTAATATACGCACTATCTGAATGTGTTAATTCAGTTGTTGATTCTGATCTGTCTTTTCTTGAAATACCTGACTGTGTCCTTGGTGAATATCATAAGTGGTGGTATCATTCCTGACATATGAAACACAATTTTTCAAGCCCTTCTTAGTTAGGGTTTGAACTGACCAGGTGCTACCCCAACTCACTAGGAGTCAAAGGACCTTCACAGATAAGGTGTTGCTGTTAGTTTCAGTTTTGCTGTAGAAACAAGTGAATTACTAACACATAAATCTGACTTCTCTGATTATTTGTTATTTCCACATCTTCTTGGCTATGCGCAAGTGTATTCTGTTTCTCTGCAATGTGTCCTTGATGGGACTTCTGTTTACTTTCACTTGAAAATTGCTTGATTCTTCTTTGATTCTTGAACACATCAGGGAGGGATTTTTCTCCCTTGGTTGCTCTGTTCTGAGCTAGAGAGAGCAAGCCCACAGACACCTTGCATCAATTAAATCAACCTGCAAAATACAGTACCTCTTCAAGTGACTAATGAGGATGCAACAATCAGTGTCTCTCGATAATTTGGAAATGAGTGTGTGAAGGCAGGGAGGATGCACAGCTTGATCTGTTTTATTTGTGACTCAGCCAAACTGTAAAATGCTTCTGTGTCCTGACAATGCTCATTCTTGCATCTTTGCATTTGAAAAGGTTTTGCTAGTCAACGATGAAACGCAACATATTTTCTCTTGTGTTCACTGCTTCTGCCGCACTGTGGTTTGCACTTGTCTGCTCCAGATAAGCCAAAGAGCTACCCACTCCTTTGCTGATTGTTGGTTCTTACAAGCAGTACTGTATGCAGCCATGGAACCATGCCTGTGTGACTCCAGTGTGACCCTGCCCCATGTGTAGGGGTGTCTCTGGGGGGCCCAGGGTCAGTGCACGAGATTCCTGCTGCTCCTGTGAGCTGGGGATGGCCCTGCACTGAGCTTGGCAGGGCTGGCACTGCCCTGTGTGTCACTCCTGGGCCACTGCTTTTGTGTGTTTTGTGTTTGACTAAAGCAATGTAACCAAGGGTGGGATTTTTGAAGTCCTGGGGGAAGCAAGTGCTCAGGTCCTTTTGGGGTTTCCATAACGCTTCAGGTGCTTGATGCCCTGAGCACCTTCCAAAATCCCAGCCCTCAGCTCTTCCACTATACTTGAAAACTTTTCAGTTCGACGCTTTCAAATGTAAAATCCTGTTACTCTGTTCTGATGGGGTGAATGTAAATTCCTGTGAGGGTGTGTAGGAGCTTTGGGAGCGAGGACCCAGCTGGATCTGTGGTGGTGTCATGTTGTGGTCATGCTCCAGGAGGAAAGAACCTCTGCATCATCTTTGAGTATTTTAATAAAGGTACAATTAGTGGAATGTTTACATACAGCCTACTGACAAAAAAGGAGACAAAAAGAAAAAGATAAAAAGGTGTGTAAAGTATTTAAGTGCAAGACTCTACTAGTTTTTTCTTGTTTTGCAGATCACACTAGCTATTTTTGAAGTTGGTAAATCTGTATAACTTTTGCAAAGACCAGACAGAACTACCTGTTCACTTTCAATGTGCCCCGTGCTGAATTGTGCCTATTTCACTCTCTGCTGTTGTTATGCTGCTGATTCTGCTGTTCTGAACTGTTCACTGGATCATTCCATTTGCATGCAACACAAATGCAAGCTGAGCTGTCTGAGAGTAAAGCTGAAACACGTTTGTATAACTTGAATCAATTAATGACTTTCTCTTTTCCACGCCCTCTCGAAATGCTGTGTATAATTTTGATTTGTTTCTTCTGCCCTGATTTCTTTCCACTTTTGGTTTGTTGTGTTTTTTTTGAACCGTAATTTATTTTTGTTTGGATTATAGGCAGTATCTGTACATTTTGTTTCAAGGTGATATTGTGGATGTCTTTAAAAAACCAAATTGTTATTTTATATAATTTTATCATAAAGTTGCTCTAATAAATCATTCTTTTATCATGTGACAGTGATGCTGCATTTTGTGCATTAATTTGGAGGAGGATGTGTGTTTGGTGGACGGATTGTTTCAACTGCCTGTTCTCACTGGTGTTAAGTGCAGTAAAATGACAGAATTGTCAGCAACTGGAGACTCAGAGCACGACTGGATCAGTCCTGTGACACCTATGGCTGGGCAGATCCCTCTCCAAAGAGCAGGAGTCCCCTTATTCCCCCAGAACCTCTGGGGTTTAAGTCCCTAAGTCCCTTTAACATGGAGGTGGCACATCTCAGTATTGTATGGTGATACTTTATTTAATTTTTAATGCTGTTATATGTCATTGTCATGATTAACATGGTGGTTGAATCCAGCCTGGAAGTGATCATTCCCCAAGAGGTATGTGATTGCAGAGACATTATTAGGCTTATTTTTTTTAGATATATATATATATATATATATATATATATATAGCTTATGTGTCTGTGAAATAGTTTTTGATGTTTTCCTTCATTCCACCAGTGTCCTCCTTCCCTCCTGCAGTTCTGTCTGAGCTTTGCATCCTTCCTGGCACTTCAGAAATAATGTTAATTCCTCCTTCTCTGCACTGCCTTGAGCCTCCCCCAGCCTGCCTGGTGCCACGTGGGACTCTGCATTAGCACAGCTCCTGTAGGAAGCAGAACACATGCAGCTGATGAAAACATGGCATTGCTTGCCAGCAATAACTAAAACAGAATGAGGAAGAAAATATTAGTCCCTAACTAGAATCACTGGGAGATTTTCCATCTCCTGGTTACCTTTCCATCAGATACTTGTATATGGAAATGTTTTACATTGAGAAGTTTTAGGGGGGGATTTTGTGTTTAAAAAACCAATAAATCTTATGTCTCTCTTAAAAAGCCTTCTGCAGCTTTGTGTGCTGTGTCTGCAGAGGTTTCTGTGTTGCAGGGCTGCATTGCACATGACAATATTGCCTCTCCCCAGGCTTCCCTGACAGTATGGAGCAGTGTTTGAGTTGGGATGCTGTGCAAAGGGCCCTTTTGAAATCAATAGTGCACCCACTTCATTAATTTTTAACTGTTTGACTGAATAAACATAAGAGGCGTTGGAACTGCAGCCAAAACTATTTGCAACATAATGAAAGCTGCTAGAATTGAAAAATAAAGGATAGATGGGAAAAGTAATGATCTCCTCTGTGCATCTTCCTGCTGAGCCTTCAGCTGCAAGCCTGGCTCTCCAACATCCTCAGCTGCTTTGGGAAATACAGCCTGATTTTCCACATGTGCACAGCAGGGAACATCAGAACGCTTTGCCTTGAGCAGGGTTTCAGGATCCTTTCTCAGAACAAAGCTTTTCATTCTTTGGAGGAGACAGGTGGCTTTTTTGGATGTTGTGTGAAGATCCAGCAGCAGACCCTCATCTGCTGGGTTCTGCAGATGTGGTGTGGGAGAGCCAGGACAGCAAGGACATCCTTGGGCTTTGAAAAGCTGTAGGAGCTTCGGGGGTAGCACAGTCAGGATGGATGGAGATGAGAGATCTCTGCAGCCAGGTGATGGAACTCGTGGTTTATTGCAAAGGGCCTGGGTGCAGGGCCCTGCTGGGATTTGGGGTTTATTGCAGAGGGCCAAGTGCAGGGCCCTGCTGGGAGCTGCAGCCACAGCTCAGAGCAGCAAAGAAAGAAGAGAGTGGGAGAGAGGATGAGAGGGTAAGAGAGTGAGAGTGTAAAGGAGTAAAAAGGGTAAGAGAGTAAAAGGGGTAAGAGTGCAAAGTTCCTGTTACAATACAATAAATCATCTTCTGTGTTGAATATTCTGGTTCTCACTAACCAATCTAGTACGAGATACAAATCCTACAGCATTTCCATACAGCCTATAAGAATCACTAGATTACCATACTGTGTTACATTTTAAATCCTAAAAACTCCGCTTTGGGCCCCTTCTGCCAAGCTGTAGGGTCTGCTCTGACCCTTGGCTCTGTCTGCAAGCAGAGGGTCTTGTTTCATCAAAAGGAGATTACCTTCAGCCAGCCACACCATTGTTTTCCAGTTGTTCAGTAACTAAGGGATCTCAAAGCTTGCTTTCATTTCAATCTCCCTTACAGTTTCCATATTCTCAAAATCTTTTGCCAGACAATCATATTTATAAGGTATTCCTGTTTCATCTTCCCCAACAAAGAGCAAAGCCCTGCTGGTCTCAGCTGAGATGGGGCTGGTTGGGGCAGCAGTGTGCGTGCAGAGGTGCTGCTTTCCTCAGTGGGGTGCAGCCCTTTGGATGCAACCCTGCAAAGACTCTGAGCACCTGCACACTCCTGCACACTCCCCTGTGCAGTTACTGCAGTGGGCTGGCTGCTGAGCTCTGTGAGTGATGTGGGCTGAGAAAGAGAAGCCAAGAACAATGAGTATAAGACAGTAGCACTCATTAGGACTCTACCCTGATTAAGCCCTTCTCTCCTCAGAACAGAAAATACTGGAAATATTGTACTTGCCAAAAGAGTTGGTGCCAGAAAGGGTTTGTTCAACACTAAATGCTTCTGTCAACATTCAAATCACAGGAAGGAAAACACCTACCAAAACCCACAAAATACAGCATCCACCTGGCACTTGCAGACACTTCCCAAACAGGAGATCCAGAGGCCTGGGTGAGGTTTTGTTTCAGCAACAGCAATAACCACAGAGATAAGAGGAGTATAATTTTTATAGTAGAAAATACATTCAACACAGCACACACTGAAGTATTTTCCTAATACCTGCAAGTCATCTTTCCCAGGTGTGACTGGAGGGTGAGTGCTGCAAAAGATGAATGACAAGACTGAGACAGCAAAGGACTCTGCAATCTCTTGTGTTATATGAATCACAGTTTTACTTGTTTTCCCCTGAATTTTTTTTCTGAACAAAACATGGCTGGCAGGCATAGCATATTTAATCTCAGGCTGAATAAAATTATTCCAAATAAGTTTATATATATATATATATATATATATATATATATATATGTGTGTGTGTGTGTGTGTATATATATATATATATGTGTGTGTGTGTGTATATATATGTATTTGAAGTTAAATGTTTCAAGTCCATGATCAGATATCATAGTGAATTTACTGAATATTTTAAAAAGTGGAAACTGAGTAAATCTTTAAAAATACTTCCAAACAAATCACAATTTTATTTTAGACTTTGAAATTTTCCCATGGTTTGTCAGCTGAATCACTTCCCAGTTCTAAACCTGAAATAATTTCTTTTGGTTCCCCACCCCCCCCCCCCCCCCCCCCCCCCTTCCCCAGCTAATTTAAGTATACAATCTTCTGGTACAAAGTATAAATAGAGCACTTTTCTTTTCAGACCTTGACTACTCCTGCCTCCCATCCTTCTGTCAGCAGTTGGTATTTGGAGCCCAGCCTCGTTCTCATGAAACAGAAAGTGGAGTTTTGTAGTAATCTCTGCAGTGGTTTTGATGTTTTTGTCTATAATTACCTCTCAGATGAGGATGCATTAAACTGGCAGTTTCTTCTTAGCAAACCTCCCACACAGGCAGAAAAAGCTCCTCCACTGTATTTTTTAATGCGCCCTGTGGCAAACTGGAAGTCCAGGCATGATTTTTAGAGGGATTATGTTAAGCACAGAGTGCCACCCAACCATACAGCAAGAGGTGCATTTATTCTGTGTGGGATGGTGGCAAGTCAGCCAGAGCAACTGGTGGAAGGAGCCTTGTCTGAGAGATGGGGAAGAGGAAGAAGAAATAAAATTTCCTGTTTGCTCTAAAACTTGCTATTTTTGTTTCCTTTCCTCCCCCCAGCTGCATGAATTGGTCAAACAGAACCGTATTCTACCCATAAAACCTCTTCCATCCTGAAGCTGTCACAGCTACAACACTGCTGGCAAGATGAGAAATGCAGAATGGGTGGGCTGCTATGTGAGGTCAGAGGAGAAGGAAACCAGGATTGTGCAAGCTGGAGTGGAGGAGGACAGTGGAATTTATCAGTGCTGCAAGTGGCTAGAGAGCTGACAAAGAGGGGAAATACAGAGCATTCCTTTCCCTGGGAGCTGCTCTTCCTCTGATACAACCCTCTTAAACTGAACTTGTGATACTGGAGGGATAAATGATGAATCCTGAATTTGGTAAAAAGGTGCTGCTGCCCTGTGTGGTTTGATCCTGAATTCAGTGGGAGCTTTTGTGACTTATCTGACTGACACAGCTCATGCCAGGATTTCAGTCCTGCACACAAGCGGGAGCTTAGCTGAAATATTTGGTTGGAATGCTCAGCCTCTGAAGTCATCTGAGAGCCAGGGACACTTCCTGGGGGTGATTTGGGCCTTTGGCAGGGGTGGCTTTCTGGAGCTCTTTTCACTGGCTGCAGATCCTGCCTCCAGCTTTCTGTAACACGGATTTGTGACCGCGTTCACAGGGGTCTCAGGTTGAGGGAAGAGATGAGGATCTGACTCCATGTTTCAGAAGGCTTGATTTATTATTTTATGATATATATTACATTAAAACTATACTAAAATTATAGAAGAAAGGATTTCATCAGAAGGCTAGCTAAGAATAGAATAGGAAACAATGATAACAAAGGTTTGTGGCTTGGGCTCTGTGTCTGAGCCAGCTGACTGTGATTGGCCATTAATTAGAAACAACCACATGAGACCAATCACAGATGCACCTGTTGCATTCCACAGCAGCAGATAATCATTGTTTACATTTTGTTCCTGAGGCCTCTCAGCTCCTCAGGAGGAAAAATCCTAAGGAAAGGTTTTTTCATAAAAGATGTCTGTGACATGGATCTACAGGGACAGCAGCAGCCTTTGCTTTGTTTTTTGCTTTGTTTTTAAGTCCTGTTGTAAATCCAGAGATTTGGGATGGCTCCCATGGTAAGTGATCTGTGCACTGCAGTAAATTCAGGAGTGAGGTGGCTGGGCAGAGAGGTTCCTATTTGCCCACTAATTACTTTTTGGGCTTCTTTGAGTTCACACTTGTGTTTTGGTCTTGAGGGAAGCAGAGGACTCATGGCACTTGCAGTTTTCCATGGAAAGCCCTCTTTCTGTTGTACCAGACCTATCCTCTGGCTCCTTATTTTTTCCCTCTTCAGCAGCTTAGTACAAGGTGTGCTAAAGCTTCGTGTTCCACTGACTCCCTACAGCATCCTTCCTCTGGTACTGCACTGGGGAACTGCACCCTTGGGTTCAGTAGGAACAAGTGGCTGCCTGGAGGAAAACAGCATCACTCCCAGAAGGATTTGTGTTGGCTGAGGTGCAGCCTTTGGATTTTTATAGAAGGCATAATTTCTTAGAAGCTGCCCCAAAGTCAGTGTCAGATATAACCCCTGAACAGCATCACTGCAAATTCCAAATGCCACATGTTCAAGATGAGGGCTGCATTGTTTCAAAGGAGCTGCCTTGCTCCCTTGTGTTTGTCCAACCACGACTGTGCTCTCAAAAAAAAACTTTGTAGAGAGTTTGTTTTGGAAGGTTTGTTTGCCTAAAATGAAGTTTCTGGTTAAGAATAGTGCAGTGAAAATAGAGCCATGTTTGGGCTTCTAACAGCACCAAAGCTGAGCAGCCCTTCCAAGCAGTGTCTTCTCATGCTGATGTGGACTCTGACTTTCCACCACTGAGTGGGAGCTGTGCCATCCAACAGAGCAAGTTATGGCAAACATGTGAAGATCAGGACCCAGAGTTTAAGAACTGGGTCACAACAACTGGAGGATAACTCAGCACCCTGTCAGTACACATTGTGAGACTCAGTGTCTGAGAGGAAGTGATCTACAGCAGGAGGGGAAAAAACCAGAAGAACCCTAAACAAATGTGCTGACAGAGCATGAGTGTTGCCTTTTGTACACAAGGCTGGGAGTAACATCAGAATTCAGGGGGGACATCCACACAGGAGGAGACCTTCCAGGATGGTAAGTGCCTTTGTCTTCATCTTGAGGGAGTTGGGGGTGGTCATGGAGAGATGAATGCACCTTGTTCATCTGAGGATCTTCAGACAGTTCCTGGGGAGGATTTGGTACAGTGAAAAATCACATTCTTGTTTTTGGAATTCAAAGTCTGACACAATTTGTTGCTGGTGAAGAAAAGAGATATTTCAGAGGCAAGGAGAAAGCAAACTTAATGTTATAAACAGCAGAGTCCTGTGGGTACTCAGCAGACTGGCATCAGCTGGTGCCCCAGCCTGTGCAGCAATGCTAAGTAGTGCTTATATTTATTGCTCTTGGATGAACTTCATTCAGTCATTGAAAATGGCAGGTGGTAGAGCCCTGAAAACTTCAAGGGAGCTGTAGTTAATTTCTGACTAGATTTCTTAGGAATTCTGGTTGTTTCTGTGATGTTTCCATTCTTGAAAATTAAACTGTTTTAGAGCAGTTCTCACAAATTCTGTACAGCAGGTGGGACTTCAACTCATCACCAGACAAAAACATCAGGAAGGGCTTTGTTTGAACAGAATGGTAGATAATTCTATCACAGCACATACAAAATCTGTTCACCTTCGTATTTTGAGAAAAACGCTGCTTTTGGAAGACATTTTGCAACTGTTGCTGAAAAAGAGAAGTGAAACAAGTTGCTTCTGGTAAGCTCCATCCATCTGAGGCCATCACGTGGCTCTCATAGCACTGACACCTGCAGTTTCCTACCAAGACACTGCCTGGGTCACCTCATGGGGCTTCAGGAGCCAGAGGGACAAGGGAGCCAGAGGGACAAGGAGCCAGAGGGATAAGGAGCCAGAGGGACAAGGGAGCCAGAGGGACAAGGGAGCCAGAGGGACAAGGAGCCAGAGGGACAAGGGAGCCAGAGGGACAAGGGTGACAGAGGGACAAGGGAGCCAGAGGGACAAGGAGCCAGAGGGACAAGGGAGCCAGAGGGACAAGGGTGACAGAGGGACAAGGAGCCAGAGGGACAAGGGTGACAGAGGGACACCTCTCAGCTCCAGTCCTGTGATGAGAAGCACTCCTGGTGCTTGTTCCTGGCCAGCCCAGCTATTGGGACAGCTGTGCCAAAGCCACAAGCTGTGCAGTGTGACCTGCAGCCTCAGTGGGCTCTCCTGGCCCAGCCTGAAGGGCTGCTGCTGTTTGTCAGATGCCTTTCTTCTCCTCCTTTAAAATACCTCTGCCTCACTTTCTACCCAGCTCTTTCACATCTTCACTCTTGCTCTCTCTTCCCTTCCTTCCCACTAAGATTTCTGGGTTGCAATGTGACCACTTCCTCTCATGTGTGTTGCTGTCACACCTTTCTCTGTGTCGTGGGTAGATCCCCCATCTGTTTGGGCTGTCAGCTCTTTGGGGTAAGGCAGTGGGTCTTTATTTTGTGCTGAAAATATGAACTGGGATTTCAGAGCTGTGGGAATGGCCAACTGTCCTTCACTGCTGGCAGCCGCTCCATTTCTCCAGGGCTGGCAGAGTGGATGTGTACCTGCCAGCATTTGTAACTATTTCTAGTGGAAAAGCTTGCAGCTGAGCCTGGGGCAGCAAAAGGAAGTGACAGTGAAAAGTGTGAGTAAAACTGCTTTGGGAAGTGGGCCCTGCTACAGTGATTGCAGCTGATGACAACAAGCAGGCCCTGAAATGGAAAAAGGGCTTTCTTCTCTGCAGCTCCAGTATGCTTTTAAGCAGGACTGTTTGTACCTTTTCCATCTTTGTCGTTCTCTCTTGTCTGCTGTTTTACCACAGGCCCTCCCTTTCCACATCCCTCTCTGCATTCCCCAAGTCACTGTTTCAGACCCATCTCCCTTGTCTTCCCGTCCATCCTCCACCTCTTTGGTTCAGCCCCACCAGTTCCTGTGACTCAAGGAAGCCTTTGGGGCTGTGTCCAACCCCTGCCTGTTCCCTGCAGCCACAGCATCCACACAGAAAGGAGGAGTGGGCAGGAGCTGGAAGCAGCAGGGAAGGTGCAGGGAATGCTGCTTTGCTGCTGGGGGAGGCAGACACTGTGAGCCCACCCAGTTCAGGTGACAGCAGCTGTGACACATGGCAAGATGGATGGGACAAGCCTGGCAGGATCCTTCCTACATAAACCTTGTTTGAGTGTGGCCACCCACAGAGCAGCTCCACACCCAGAACCGCTGCAGCAGGTTCATCCTCCAGGCCACAAAGCCCAGGGGCTCGGGGGTCAGAGCAGGCATGCAGGGACTGAACAGGTGGAGGTATCATCTGGTGGCACCTTCTGAGATCTGCTGTACCCCAGGATCTGCTTCTTGCTTCTCAGAATGAAAAGTGTCATCAGGCTCCTGTTGTGTAAACTCACCTCTGCCAGTGCAGGGATGATTCATGACCCACTGGGCATGTGTCAAGTTTTTGAGGAGGTAAAATAGGCCAGTGCCAACTCCCCCTGTCTGGCCATCTGCTGTCATATTGGCATATTTTGGTATTTGCTCTTATGGTTGCCTCTGCTGGTGGTAACAAAAGATTGGAGAAATACTGCCTGAGAAGGATAAGAAGATAACTTATTTTCTACACCCGTGACTGCAACAGGGGAGTTTGTATTTCAGCCTAGTCCCTGTCCCCTTAAGAGAGTCACTTCTGGAAGAGATGCTGGCATTGAAGACAAGAGGCAGAGGAAGAGAGCAGAAGCCTGACAGAGTCACATGCAGGATGAGGCTGATGCTCTGCACACCATCACCCACTGCTTCTGCACTTAATTACTGCTTGTTGGCAAACATGTTCTCTTGCAACAGGACAAAAGTGGGTGTTGAAGGATGGCTGCAAGAGGCAGTGATGCAGCTGTTTACACATTATTTACTGCAGGGATTTTTGTGTGTAGAGAGCACTGGGGGAAAACAGTGGGGACACGTCTCTCTGTCACTTTGGAATCTGTTAATGTCACTCAAGAGCCATAATACCGGAGGATGATGCACACATCCATGCTCAAATCTCAGAGCTCTGTGTAAAGCAGTGGCACTAACCTGCACTTTTTGTCTGTAATTGGCTGTACACAAATGTTGTCATAAAGCTTTATTTTTCCCCTTGCATACATTTCTGTTTTTCAGATTGTGAAAAAAGCATTAAAAACATCCCTGATGTTTGATGAGTCCTCCAACATGAAATTAGGCGTGAACAATCAAAAAGACGTCAAAACGGTAATTATTGGGATGCACCACATTTGCTTACAAGGACTGAGATTGTGCTGACATTTCTGAAAAGAAATAACAGGTTGAGAATTATTTTATTGGCCATTTTAGAAAACTGTGTAGGTTTCAATCCCATTTGTAAACAAGTGAGTGACAAAACCCTCATTGATTTATCCGGTAGACTGATCAAACCTTGCCCAGAGGGAGCAATGTGGAGATAAATCCTGCAGCTCCGTCTGGCTCAGGACAAGGAAACCACACTTGTACAAACAGCCTCACCTCCACCTCTGGCACAGTGTTTATTCATGTATTCGTTTATTCAGATGGCCAGAGTACCTGGACATCACAGTGTGCAGCATGGTGGCAGCCATGATATGACTGCAAAATAGATTTCTTATCCTAGAAATAACTTCTAAAACCTAAGTCTTGCTAACAGGTTCATGTGATGAAATGGGGAACTGTTAAAAGTAGGTGAGATTATTTTTTTTTTGTGGTAGGGTGGAGAACAAGCCTAGAGGGCAAAAATTTAACTAGATAGCCTAAAGTTGATTATTTTATTCAAATCAATGCCTGAAATCTGTCAGCACTGTAGATTTTGAGAAAAGCAGAGAAGATTAAAAGCAAGAAGCTTTATCCACACAGAAACTGAAACAGAAACTTTCAGAGGCAAGTGGTTTCTGTGTGGTGTCCCCATGTGCCCTTTTGGGAGCTCAGATTTATGGCTGTGGCCTCACGACCACCCCCAGACTCAATTCTCCTGCCTGGGGGCTCAGAAGCTCAGCTCTGAAATCCATGGTGCCTATCAGAGGCTGCAGGATAGTTCCAGCTCCCACAAATTGCCATGGGGAGCCAGCCATGATAATTACTGGGGGGAAATAGGTCTGCATGTGTGGCTGGTTGTCTTTTCCTGCTGGGTACAGGGCAGCATTTAGAGCCTGGTGCTAAAATTTTCAGCATGTGAGTGGCTGGACTGCAGAGCTGAAGCTACCAGGTAGCCAGGCTACTTTTTTTTTTTTCCATCTACATTCAGGAAAAAAATTGAAAATGCAGCAAAAGGGAAATGAAACTAACTCACCATACTAGAGTGACATGGGAATTCTGTGCACATGGATAAATTAGATTTGTGTAGTTTCAATTAAGGGAGGTTTAAGACAAAACTAGAACGTGTTCAGAAACCACAAAATGTCTTTCTGCCCCTGACACTTTCTGAACTGTTTTTTCTCCCCTGACAACACAAACTTCCTTTTTATGGTAATGCTTGGCTTAATCCCACAGCTAATCTTGTGTTAGAAATTTCCTTATTTTGATTTTGGTAGAAATTTTGTTGAACATCCATTGGTCCTGTGCTAAAATAAAGCTGATCAATGTCAAATTGATCACAAAATTTTGGAAAAAACCAAGGGATTGATATGTTGGCACAAAAAAATTAAACTAGAAAATGGAACTAAAATCACAGTCTTCACATAAACCAACACCATTCCAAATTCTTTTTTCCCCCCCTAATTGCACTGTACTTGATCATATCTCTTCTCCAGAGTGTTTGTTCCACTTGATTCTCTGATTTCAAGATTTCATGAAATTTCAGGAAGGGAATGAAATTTTGCCATTTCAATGAGGATCAACTGGGCAAGCTTTGGTCCATTTCCCTGCACATTGTGTCATCTCATTGCCTTTTATTGTTTTCACTTAGTTTCAGAATTTTCTCTTTTGATTTTTAGCATTTTATTTCTTCAATTTATTCTCCTGTCTCTTTGTTTATGTTGATTCCCCAATTTTGGGGTTTTCAATGTGTAAAATTTTGGCAACTTCTGGTCCTTCTCACTGCACCTCATTTGAGTTTAAAGGGACCTTTTAAAGGTCATCTAATCCAAATCCCCTGCAGAGAGAAGGGCCATCTTCGACTGGACCAGGCTGCTCAGGGACCTGTCCAAGCAGACCTTGAACGGTTCCTCACTTTCAGTGCTGCCCCTGAGAACATTGTCTGGAGTAGCTGCAAGCAGATCTCCCATTCAGAGATTGCGATTTATTCACCTGCACAGGCAGTCATCCATTGGTTGGTGCATCAATGCCTTGGCGATCACTTAAATCTTCGCCTCTGTGGGTTCTGTTCCAGTTTCAAATCTTGGGGGCAATTCTGACGCTTGGTCTGGTCCTGGTGGCTTTTTACTTCCTGAGCATGGACAGCACAGCTGATGGTAATGGAGAAAAAGCCGCAATTGTCAGCATTTACAGAAATGTGGAGGAGGAAGGACTGTACAGGGATCTCCCAGAGGAAGAAGGACTCTATGGGGATCTCCCAGGAACCACCAACAGATGCAATGACTCCTGCAGGTGAGTCGGGTTAGACGGCACATGGAGAAATCATCACCAGAGGAAGGAATAGCTACAGTACTGATAATATCAGCATGGGTTTTATTCTCTTCTCACTGTATCATAAGTGATGAAGCACCACTAATTTGGGAGGAGTGCTAATTTGGGGATGCTGTTTAGGCACTGGGTAATTGGCAGCTGCCTGCTGTGAGGGGCAATGTCACAGCTCTGCTCTCAGTTCTGTGCCTGGAATGTTCATCCCAGCTCCATTCCTCCTCTGCCCCCTGCAGCCACCCTCCTTTTGTGGCAGCAGTGTCACCAGCTGGCAGAGCAGCCTTTCTCAGAGGCTGGAGGGGCAGGGAATGTCTGTGCTGCTTCACCTCTAGGGTGAAGAGGGTACCCTAGCAACACACAGCTATGGGGGCTTGCTTTTCTCCACATCTTAGGCAGAGTAAAATAAAAAGCTCAGAATGGCTACTGAGAAACCATTCTGCTGAATTTGGGAGGTCACTGTACAGCAATATAAACCTGGCTACAAAAACTAGGGGTGAGGAGAACTGCCAGCCTGTTTGTCCAGCTCATCTTGTTTGCTGTGGAGGTTGGCACCCAGCATGGCCAATTGTGCAGCCTGACAGGTCCTTGGTGTCCTGCTGGGGTCACAGCCACTTGCTTCACAACATAAAATTGCCATTGCAGCTTTGAACTTGTGGAAAATGTTCCTTATGACTTACCCTTCGAGATAAACAGCACTGCAGCCAAACCCTTGTACCAAGCCTGGACAAAACTGCTTGATCTAGCCCAAGAAAAAGTGTATGTGGCTTCTTACTATTGGTCTCTCACTGGGAAGGATATTTGTGTCAATGACTCCTCTTCCAAGCAGGTAAGGTAAAACCAGCAGCAAGCATGTCTGTGGTTGTTTTTCCTCATGTCCATGTGGTAGAGGACAGGCTGGCTGTGTGATGTCTCCCAGGCATTGCTTAACTCCTCCTGCACATCCAGGGAGGTTTTCCATGCTCTTCTGAAGCAACACTCTAGCTCTCCTCCTTTAGTCAAGTTAGGCTGAAATAAGTGAAATTTCTGACCTTCCTTGCGCCGGGGTTCTTCAAAGGAAGTACCCGTTAGTAACACTGCCCTTGCATATCTCTTACTACACCTTCTGTAACAAAATATAAAAAATAACAATTCACCACACAGGCTTGTTGTCGTATATATTACAACAGTTCTATTATCATTATATGTTGCCTTATATATCATGAGTTATTTTATCATTATGATGCAAGGATTCCATAGCATCAGAGTTTCATACCTCGATGTTTCTCGCAGGCATCTCCTCAAAGCACTGACTGTTCCTGGTCCTTGCAGCAGCCATCCAACTCCTCTGACTTCTCTCCCTCCTCTTCCCACCAATCCACTCTTTTATGCCACTAGTTCTTATTGGCTACAGGTGTTGCCTGTTATCATCAGGCCTGCTCCTGATCTTTAGTAATGGGTTCCAGCTGCAACTCATTGGGGGACAAGATTACATTCCACATTACCCATACTGTGTCCCCCTACACAGGGTGAAGATATTCTGCAGAGGTTTGAGAGGTTACTTGCACAGAATGTCTCTTTGTATATTGCAGCAAGCTCACCAACTCTGGCTACAAAATCAAGGGACCTGGAGCTTTTAGAGGAAAAAGGTAATTATTTCCCTTCAGTGATCCACTCACAGCTTCTGTATTGCAAAAAGGCATCTGTGGGAAACCTGGTTTCCAAGGCCTGTTCTGATGTAGCGCTTACATGGGTTCACAGGACAAGCACCATCTGCCCACTAGTTCATGCTTTCTTTCTGTGTTGCCATGCTCTTTAGGATCTTCTGAAAGTTTGCATTCTGCATATTGTTTTTCAAGTTACTGTGTTCCCAGGAATGAGTGCTTGTGAATTTTGGTCGTTGTTACTGCCTGTAAGAGCCAGACATGCAGATGTGTTCTGGCTGTTGAGGAACCACCTCCATGCTGTACCTAAACTCTTTTTTGCCCTCTCCATCTTTCTTCAGGGGCTCATGTGAAAAAGATTGATTTTGGACATTTGACAGGAGGAGTGCTGCATAGCAAATTTTGGATAGTAGACATGAAACACATATATATTGGTAGTGCAAACATGGACTGGAGATCTTTATCTCAGGTAAAGTCTGCTGCTGCATATTCAGAAATCTGGGGGAGAATTCATATCCTAGCAGATAACAGAGAAAAATCATAATGATGTAAAATATTGTAAGAGCAGAAGAAACAGCAAAGAAACCTGCTGTCATTACATTGCAAAGGTTCCATACTGTTGTCTTCTTAATGTCAGGGCTTTGTACCTCCTTGATGCTTCTCATAGGCAGCTCCTCCAGGCACTGACTCTTCCTTCTTCTCACAGCAGCCAACTGACTCCAGTTCCCCCTCAAACAACCACCCCACTCTTTTATAGCACTCTTCTTCTCATTGGCTACAGCTGTGGCCTGTTAAAGTCAGGCCTCCTACTAATCTTTAATAAATTAGCTCAGCTGCAGCTCTTTAGGGGTTAGATTACTTTCTATATTACCTTTATCTTCTTATATTCTATCCCGCTACAGAAACCCCTGGAGGTGGCTCCTCGTGGGGCTGGGACACAGCTTGCTCTCTTTGCAGGTGAAGGAGTTTGGTGCTGTGATGTATAACTGCAGCTGCTTGGCCCAAGACCTCTGGAAAACATTTAGTACCTACTGGGATGTTGGATATCCTAATGCTACCATCCCAGCCCCTTGGCCTCTTAATTACTCAACCGACATTAACAAACATCATCCTCTGGAAGTCGAATTTAATGGAATCTTGACAAAAACCTATTTTTCTGTAAGTATGTTTGAAAATAACACGTCAGGTTGTAAAGTGTTTAAGGATTGAGCAGGAAAGTTTCCTCAGCAGTCCTGCTTGTGTTCCAGGTGGATAATAATTTGTTCCTTATGTTTCTCTGGGACGTTCAAAGGATAGGGGTAAGCCCAGCATAAGCTGTCAAATTGTATGGCAGGAACAGTGTGCAGGTCTCTTTTAATCACCTGTAGGCTCAATACATCAATAAATATCTCACCCAGCCAGATATGGAAGGCATGAGGAAAGATGGTGATCCATCTCAAGTGCTTTGTGATATTTTAGTGAAAACTTGACAGATCTAAACATAAATGAGTTGCAGTCTGAGATTTAAAAAAAAAAATTAAAAAATTACATCACTGATCTGCATTTTCTTTTTTTATTTTTTTTCAGGCTTCCCCTCCAGCATTTTGCCCAGAAGGTCGCACCCATGACCTCCATGCTATACTCAGTATCATCAGTCAGGCACAGGAGTTTGTCTATGTTTCTGTTATGGAATATTTCCCTACCAGCCGTTTTATTCAGCCAAAAAGGTACAATTTCAATCCTGAGCAAATCAGCTACTTGTACTATATAAAGAAAAAAACAAACAAAACATATTATTCCCCTCCTTCTGCAATGGAAATATTCAGAATGGAGAGAGGCTTTGCTCTGCATTCACAACCATCCCATAGACTGTGCCTCCCAGGTACCAAGGGACAGGGTGAGAGGAAACAGCCTCAAGTTGTGCCAGGGGAGGTTTAGATTGGATATCAGGAAAAAGAAATTCATGGAAAGGGTTGTCAGGTATTGGAACAGACCACCCAGGGAAGTGGTGGAGCCACCATCCCTGGAAGTGTTTTAAAAATTCTGTGGCTATGGCACTTGAGTACATGGTTTAGCGGTGAACATGGTGCTGCTGCTGGGCTGAGAGTTAGACTTGATGACCTTAAAGGTCTTTTCTGGAGCCTGACAATTCCAGGGTTCTGTGATTCCAGTCCTGGTGCTGCAGGAAGGATGATTACCAACACCTGTGTGCTTTGCTGGTGCTCTGGGGCAGCCTCCTGTGCTCTACACACAGCAGAAAAGCTGTGACATGTCACACTAGGGACAGTCAGACCAGTGTCCTCCACAATTCAACACAGCAGCTTTATGAATTGAGAGAGGAAAGGGAACACCAGAAATTTATCTGACATCAGATTTTTCAGAGAAAACATTCCTGTGCTCTCCTTTCTTGCTCTCATTTTTCTTTCCTGCTGTCCTTTGCTTCTGAAGAGTCTTGACTTCCTGCTCTATTTCTTGCTTGATGCACTTGACCAATAGTTTAGAGGGTGGTTCTTGACTCACCTGACTTTTGCAGTGAGAGCTGAAACAGCTTCTAAAAGAAACTTCTGGGTTTTTTGTTTGTTTGGGGGTTGGTGTTTTATTGTTGCTGTTGTTGAGGGTTTTTTTTTTTGGTTGCTGTTTGGGATTTTTGTTTTGTTTTAATAATTCCATCTAAGTTCCAGCAGCAGCTTCAGAGATAAGGTGATAATGGTGATCTGGAGTAATCACAGAATCATAGAATGGTTTGGGCTACAGAACATCTCATTCCTCCCCTCCTGTGCCATGGGCAGGGACCCTTTCCACTAGACCAGGCTGCTCAAAGCCCCATCCAGCCTGGCCTTGAGCCTGAAGCACTGCCCTGGTCCAGAGACTGCCCAAGGCTCAGCAGAACTGCGCAGGCTCTGCACAGAACCCAAACCTGAGCAGCACAGAAAGTTACACAGTCATGGGGCAGCACTAAGGCCCCAAGATCCTCTTAGATAGGCTTGAATTGGGATGGTTATGTGCACCAAGTGCTCTGAATTATCTGCTCACAACATTTCTGAGTTTTCCAACCAGATCTGAGAAAGAAGTTCAAGTGAAAGAATTATGTACAAGATGTCTTGTTGAATAGGGTAAGCTCTAGGCTGCCATTCAGCCAGAATGATACCATGCATCGGGTCCCTCTGCCACAACTGTGCAAAGCCTCTGTTGTTCAGCTGAGGCAAAGGTGTGTTAGGGGAAGATTTTAGGATAATAGAGAGATGCAGATAATTCTACTGTCCAAGAAACAAAATCTCGAGACTAACCTCTACTTGGAGGATATCTTTAATAAATCAAACACCTCAGAGGAATTTCAGTTTATAGGTAATACAGTTGAGTCTCTGGGTTTCTCATCTTCTGAGAACCCACTCATCTTTCTGAGAATAAGTTCCCAGAAAGTCTCTTTTGCCCCTTAGGACTGAGTGCATTAATACTCCTTATTCTTCATCTGAAGGCTTAATCCACAGTTTGTGACATCTTGGGCTGATCAGATGCAAACAAGGGTTTGAAAGGCCCAGGGAAAGTGGCACAGGGCCTGGGGCTATCTCCACAGCAACCAGCTGTAGTGCCATGAATTGAAGCTGATTAGTTCAGGTTAGGTTCCTCCAGCAGCTGAGGCAGAGGAAACAAAGCTGCTGTCTAATGCCTGAGTGTTAATCAACTAGAAACCGATATATTTTAAAAATTGAAACCATTCAAAAATTGCATTTCAAATAGCATGGTTTTCCAAGCTTTTCAGGTTCTGTAAGTCAAGCCTGAGCCTCAGAGCACGTGGCCAGGCCATTGATTGCAATAGGATGATGCATGGGGGAGGATCAGAGAATTCAGGCCTTTGTACATAAGACCAAAAGGATTAAGTTAGGCAAATTAATTCATCATTGCTCATGGGACTGTGAGCAAATGCTGGACCTCTCTCTGTTATCAGCCCTCCAATCTGTACTAAACATGCCCCTCTCCCTCTGTGCAGCATTTGTTAGGATCTGTGCAGTGAAAACGCCGCGTGGGTGTTTGGAGTTACCAGCCCTGGGATGCACATTATCCAGCTCTTAGTGTTGTATGGCTGGGTGAAGGATGTTAAAAATGTCCCCCATAGCTACAGCCAACACAAGTGTCAGGAAAATGGATTTTCCCATGTTCAGGGAACATGGAGAGCACAGCTGTGTCCCTTACATTGGGCACACACAATGAGGAGCAGTGGAGTGGTATGGAGTCTGCCCATGCTGGCCGATGGCACAGGACCACTGCAGACACTGGAAACAGTCTCCAGGGGCCTGAAAAAGCCATATTCTGCAAAATGGTTCTTAGACTTTCCTCTGGGCTCTGCACTGCCCTTTTACTCTGTGGTGTATGAACTGGCTTTACCCTGGAGTTGCTATTGTTATCTTCAGTTTCCTAAGGAGATAAGGATAGTGGCACCACGCTGTGTGTATCTGTGTAGGGGCACTTTACTAAGCTTTAAACTTTGGGATGAATTTCACCCCAATTTGGCAGGGTCTGGAGGTCTCAAAACACGTTCTGTGAAAAGAACAGACTTGGTAGAAGGCAGAAACCTTGTTTGTACCTCCAGGGAAGCCACAAGTGCTTCACTTACTAGACATCAGAAACCCCATCTGTGCATCATCACTCCTAGATTCAGCTTAACTTCACAGCTTTCTAGTGAACTGTTTTTAAAAAACATCCCTTTTTGCCTCTTTTTCTGCAGGTACTGGCCAGCCATTGACAATGCCCTGAGACGTGCAGCTTTCAACCACCGAGCGCGGGTCCGGCTCCTGGTCAGCTGCTGGGCCTACACCGACCCAGCCATGCTGCACTACCTCAGGTCCCTGCGTGCCCTCGACAACCCACACGCCCACATCAGCGTCGACGTGGTATGGAACAAACCCCTGATTTTGGACAGGCAGCTTGAGGATATGGCCCCACACTGGTTTCTGAGAATGAGCTGCTGTTTGTGTGTACAAATGTTAGCTTCTAGAGAAGCTGGTTGTCTGATTTTGCAGTGACTGCTTCCCGGTTTTGTGAAAATAAGGCCCAATATATAATCTTTGAGGAAGCAGCTATTTCAAGCTACTAGTGATATCAGGTATGTGCCTGGCTGTGGCACTTGAGACATTATCCAGGCAGCGGCTTTTGCTGAGCTCTGTGGCAGCAACAGTTTATATGATAACTTAGTGCTCCTCTCAGAGGCCTTTTCCTGCATGGAATATGTTAAATCAGTCTAATTGATACCATTTTTTTTTAACTGAGAGCTTTGCCGTGTGCCTATACAGAAAGATCTGTTCTTGAGTACTAAATATTGCACACAGGCCATAGGCATTAGGCTGGAATGCATCAGGTGGAGTGGGGATGGTGTGGATGCTCCCAACTTGATGCAGTAATCACAACAGAGAAATACCACAGAAGAAGGAGTGGGTTTCAGAAAAAAAAAAAAATAGAAAGGAAAGTGTAGATTTTGGTAAGAGTTAACACAGAAAAGTTAGGCATTATAGTTGCCTACAGTACCCCTTGTGTCTGTGATCAGCCCATTCTCGCACAAAATAAGAGCAGCAATCAGTGGTAAATGCAATCTATTAAACAGCTGCCTAAAACTGCATTTAATTGTCTGCCCTGTAATGATAATAGCTGTGTCACTAATGGAACATTGTGAGGCAAACATTTTCTGTATCTGATCTTAATTGCTTATCCAGTTTTATGTATAGTGGAAGTATTATTTTCTAGTTTTCTTGGATAGGAGTAAAACCTCTTCTATGGTCTATTCAATGACAGAGTGCAGTATGTTCTCTTTTGTTCTTCCCACACTCTTCCATTCTTTGAAACTATAGAAAACATGCACTGTCCAATCATGATGTCTGTTCCTCACTCTAGTATTTGTGTTAATATTTTTAATTCCTCTCCCTCCAGAAACTCTTCATTGTTCCTGTTCTCAATCACACAAACATTCCTCATGGGAGAGTGAATCACAACAAATACATGGTCACTGATAAAGTAGCCTACATCGGTATGTATTCCATTATTCCAAATATTTCCAGTATCCCCAGATCTACTGGACTGAGGCTGAGATAGGACCGGCTGCAATACCAAAAATACCTCATTTTGCCATACAAAGCAAAGTCTGTCCTAGGTAAAGAAGAACAGATATGAAGGAGAGAAAATAATGTAGGTCAAGTTCAGTAAGGGATTATTTCATGTGACTGTGAGCCATTAGGAGCAGAGTGTGACAAGGCTGAGTGCACAGCCTGTGACAAGCACAGCAGGGATTTCACAGCCTGTGTGCTCACAGTAACACAGGGATATCTGGTGCTCCAGTCCATAACATTACAGTGCTTTAATAAAGAGGAAACTGCTGGGAGGAATTAATTCCATGCACTGTTTGTTGAACAGGATTCTAGGAAAGGAAATGAGAAAACAGTAATGTCAACTGTGTGCTGCTCCAGGATGGTGTTTACATTTCATTCTTTTATTAGGAACCCTCAAAAAAGGAGACATGAAAGTGCTCTGTCACTTCAGCCAGCTCATCCTCCCAGCAATACACTCCAGCAAATAGCCTCATCTTCCAACTGGCTGAGGGTTTACAGCTCCAGTTGCCTTCAATACTTTAATAACCTGTTTTATACTTAAAGGCAGATACGCAGATGATTTGTTTTCATGCCTAAGCACCTTCTGGAATTGGCAGATTTTTCTGGCTAAGGCAATCACAAGGACAAGTGTGTAAGTGATAGAATGTGCATTGTTCACAGTGCTTGATTTGGAGAGAGCCCCAGACAATGTCTGCAGCTGGATTTCCAGCTTTGCCTGGTTTAGAAGCAGGCTTTGCATGTCAAGCTCAGAACAGCTCCCGAGGGTTTATTGATCAGGAGTCCAGCTCCTCCTTTTGTTTTCCTTTAACAAGTTAAGAGAATTAAGTAAATTAAAGACTTTTTTCTTCAAACACTGAAACCCATGTCAAACACTGGCTTTTACTTCTCTTAATACTCAAATATTGCACTTTATTGCCATGTTTATGAGTCGATTTGTGCATTCTGTCACAGGCTGTAATGAATCAGAAGGTTGTGAACCTTCAGGGTTGCAGTTAATAGCAAGTTTTCAAAACCTGAGGTCTGGCATAAAAAGGAGCTGACCTGATTTTTGCTGCCTCGTTGGTCCTAATGAGATTTGCAGTCATAGAGCAAATCAACAAAGCCCAGAGATCAAACAGAACACTGGGAAATGAATGTTTTCTAATCAGCTGCTTTTCCATTGCACAGGGACTTCCAATTGGTCAGAAAATTACTTCACTGATACAGCTGGTGTGGGACTAATTATCAAACAGAATTCAACCAACCTGCAAAGAAGGCAACAACCTGTCCAGGAACAGATGAAAGATCTTTTTGAGCGAGACTGGAATTCCCAATATGCGGTGAATCTGGAAGATGTGCAGGGACAGAAAGACTGTAAATGGGATTAGATCTGAAGTGAATTGAAATGTGCACTTAAAATAGAAACAAAAAAAATGTATTTGAATCTTGTTCACATGCAAATCAAGGAACTCTCTTCTTTTTGTCTTTGTCAGAGAAATCACTTCCTCGTGGCATCCACACTGGTGGCATGAGAATTTCTGATGGTTGACTCTACCTGCAAAACCACCAGTCAGTGTGTGATGTTTGATTTTTTGGTGTGATTACCTCATTGCAGAGTTAATGAAATGCATACAATGTTGTATGACAAGCTGTCTGACATTAAAGCAAACATCAGAGACACAGATCATTATTGCTCTGCTATTTTATCTTTAGAAACTATATATTTCAACCTAAAAGTTCCATTAACAGTGTTTGCTTACATGTGTTTAAACATTTTTTAAAAACTCCTGGCCACCTTAACTTTTTAGCCATGTATAACGATCACCTACAATAGGAAGGGCAGATTTTTAAAGGCATTTAGAAATTAGAGACACAGGGATTAATGCTGGTTGAAGAAATTCGAGATTACCTGTTTCTAAGTGTTGAGGCTAGCTGCTAGAGATAAATGCCTGGGGTTTAACTTTGTGGCCTGGGATTTAACTTTGTGGCCATGTTCCGTTTTTTTTTTCCAGGCTGCTCCTTAGCTATCCCTTCAGACCTTTCCAAGATTCCTTGGAGTGTTTTATCCATCATAACAAATCAATGTTCTTGTTACTGTGGCAGATTTTCTAAAACATGTAGTTACATGTACAGATATCACAGAAATTTTGGGAGTATTCACATACATGCCAAAATACTGAGGAACATGCAGGTGCTTTTCGTGCTCTCATCCCCTATTTCCTAACAAGAGCTAGCTTGAAAATCTTTCTGAGGCGTTACATTTTCAACCAACAAAACAGTTTCCTGTAGAGGAGCGCACTCCTCTAGATGGCACTCCAAGCTGTGTTTTCTGATTTGGCAGGGATAGACATTGCAAGAGGAAGACTAAAACTTCCTTCTCTCCTACTCGGGAGCTCAAATCTGACAGTGCTGGATTAGTTGTTCAGTGGGACAGAGTTTCTGGATAAGGTGGCAGAATTTCTCTTATGGCCATATAAACCTCAGGTGGGTTAAGGTTTGGCTTGTAAAAGAAAAATGGATGTTTAGGAGAGAGCTCTTCTATTTTCTCTACTGACTTCACTATTGGTTTTCCTCTACATATGGGAAGGTGAGGGGGGAGTTTACAATTAATACAATGAACTGGATCTAAGAGGAACTTGGGAGTATTTCCCTGGTTTCTTGTGAGACTTTTGAAGCCTGTTCACACCTTGATTCTTATTTATTTGTTTTCTACTAGACATGTAAGTTATAACCAGGCTTTGAGTCTCAATTCTTTTCTATTTATGAAACAGGGTTAATAACAGTCCTTATCCATTAATCTCTTACTTATCTCTTTTGTTTAGATTGTGCTTTCTCCAAGCTAAGGACTGTACCAAATGTATCCTGGGTCCTCCAGTGGCATTTATTAGCATCATCTTTGGGCAGATTGGCTATTGGAAAAAGATTCTTAACCCAGAGGATGGTTGGGCAGTGAAAAGGCTCCCCAGGAAAGTTGTCACATCAAGAAGCATTTGAACTACACTCTTGGAGATGTGGTGTGATTCTTGGGGTTGTACTGTGTAGAGTCAGGAGCTGGACTTTGTGAGTCCCTTCTGACTCAGGATACTCTGTAATTTTCTAGTCTGACTGTAGGCTGTTTAGATTTTTGCCAGTATTGGTTTATTCATGTCTAGAAAAAGTCACTGTTTTGGCTCTTGAGCATGGATACTCTCCTCTGATCAGCTCACATCAGGTACCTGTGTGATGAGGGAGTACAAGGTGTGGGAACTGGCTCTGCTTTATTGCAGTGGCTTTCAGGAGGAGCTGCTGCACTGCTCCCCCAGCAGGATCACCTCTGGAAGCTCTTGGTTTGGTGCAGTGCCTTGTGCCTACAGTGCACATCAATGCAGGCGACAGCAAGACAGATCCCAGTTGGCTCCAGAGGTTATGAGTACTGACATGACCACAAAGTCACCTCAGACACCAGCTTCTTCCAAAACTTTAGTATTGTCTGTTCACATTTTTTCCTGCCATTACCCAGGATTTTCCTTTCCCAGTTGTTACAGATAAAACATACCTTTGTTGCTTTAATCCAGGTACTGGGAAAACCTTTCATCTACCATTTATGCCATATCAGGGTTACACTTAATTTCTTGACAGTTGTTAATATCTCCACAATCCTTAGGGGATAGCTCTTGGGCCATGGGCACTGACTCACAGTCCTCTGCTCTCTGCAGAGGCCCAGAAAAGTCAGCTTCAGTTGCAGGGTGGATTGTGGTGGTGCAGCTTCCTGAAGAGGGGAAGTGGAGAGGGAGGTACCAGTTCCTTCTTCCTGGTATCCAGTGTTAGGATGTGTGGGAATAATTCAAAGTTGCATATGGGGAGGTTCAAACTCGACACTAGGAAATATTTCCGTACCAAGAGAGAGGTCAAACACTAAACCAGGCTTGTCCTGAGAAGTGTTCAATGCCACAAGCATTTGGACAATGCCCTTAATAACCTCAATGTTTTTTCCATGTTTTGATCATCCCTTAAGTGGTTGAGCAATTGGACTGAATGATCATTGTGGGCCCCTTTCAATTAACTATTCTATCATGGTCTGTTCTATTCTAAATGTTTTTTAAGTGAAGCAGGGTTAGATAAAATATAAGGAAAAATTCTTTACTGTGATGCTGCTGAGGCCCTGGCACAGGGTGCCCAGAGCAGCTGTGGCTGCCCCATCCCTGTCAGTGTTCAAGGCCAGGCTGGACTGGGATCTGAGCAAGCTGGGCCAGTAGAAGGCATCCCTGACCATGGCAGGGGGTTAGATGGATGATCTTTAAGGTTCCTTCTATCCCCTTAACATTCTGTGATTCTGTGACAAGGAGAAATGAAGAAATTAAGAACATCTTAATCTACAGATGGTTAGACAGCCAAGTGCACTTCACTTACAATCAGTTTCCTAAGTGTTTTGCTGTGTCTGCCTTCCTGTACTAAGAAGAACATGGAGAAATATGAGAAAACTACCATAATGAAGCATGTCTACCCTTGTAATTCTGGAGAGAGAATCTTGTGACTGAAGTGGTGATTGCAGCCATCTTGGCCAAAGAGGCCACAGAGAAATTGAGTTTAAAATATCAACAGAAGGAAAAAGAACAGCAAAACTTCAACTCTGGACAGGAGGAGAGCTGACTTCAGGTTGCTCAGGAAACTAGTGAGTAAAGTGTCCTGGGAAAATGTTTTTGTATTTGAGAGGATTGTCCTGCTCTTCTCTGTGCTGGGGCAGCCTTGTCTGGAGTTCTGTGATCAGTTTTGGGTGCCACAACAAAAATAAAGGCATTAGAGAGAGTCCAAAGGAGGCCATAGGGATGATGAAGGGTCTGGAGGGGAAGCTGTATGAGGAATGGCTGAAGTCACTTGGTCTGTCCAGCCTGGCGGAGACTGAGGGGAGAGCTCAGTGTGGCCTTCAAATCCTCATGAGGGGAAGCAGAGGGGCAGGTGCCAACTTCTTCATTCTCATGGCCAGTGAAAGGACCTGAGGAAATGTCTGGAGCTGAGTCATGAGGGATTTAGGATGGATGTTAGGAAAAGATTTTTCACCTAAAGGGTGTTTGAGCACTGGGACAGACTCCCCAGTGCAGCGGTCACAGCCCCAAGCATGACAGAGTTCAAGCAGCCTTTGGACAATGCTCTCACACCCATGGAGGGAGTCTTGGGGTGTCCTGTGCAGGGCCAGGAGTGGGATTCAAGGATCCTGACAGGTTCCTTCTGATTTAACATATTCTATGATTCAACTTGGAGTGAAAAGTCTCCATTACCCTTACATTAAGGAACTGTGCTGTCATTAAGTACATGAAGTACCTGCATACTTTTACAAATTTAAGTTGGGATTTTCCAAATGAGAAATGCCAGCAACTCACGCCACTCAAGTTACTATTCATATAGTGAGTTTATTGTGAGTTAAGAATACAGACAGTGCTTTAATGGTACATGTGAAGGCTGTCACATACACACCCTGGTTTTCATAGTGCACTTGAGAGAAGCGTTAATATAAACAAAGGAGCAAATAATTATATACACCTCCTTTCCCAGAAAATCTCTGAGGCAATTTCACCAGTGTGGCAGATCTTTCTAAGCATTTAACTATCCCATAAGTATATACATTAAAATTTATTTATCCACATTTGAATAATATTCTTTGTAAGCATGTTTTATTTTGGTATCTTACAAACATGATTTAGTTACATGTTTTTTTGGTCTTGAAATTATTCTGTTGGTTTTTGCTGTTCTTTTTTTTTAAATTATTGTAAGGCTAAATATGACCTGCCACAATAATAAAAAAAAGAAAAGAGAGGAAGAGGCAAAGTATTAGTCTCTCTACACTAATATTTAATTTTTATTTTATATTTTAAAATGTTTGTGGAATATACATACTACCTTAGCTGAAATAAAGAAAAAGTATTTTAATAACAAAGCAAAAGTAGATCAGAAAGTTCCAAAATCTAAACAGGTAAGTATAGTTCTCATAATACTAGTTTAGAGCCCATTCTGGAAATAATCTGTAATCTAAACATAACTGGTGTGTTTTGAGAAGCCTCTTTAACAAGTCTTTTGGTATCGTTGAGCCTTTCAATTATTTACTTTCATGGTTCTGGTATCTACTCAGACTTTGCTCAACCTATGGGATCATCTACACCTGTCATAATTGTTGCCCTTGGGGCAGATATGAAAAAATCATTTTTATTAGTGTACAATCTAGTACATCCATGTACTTGAAAATTTGTTCAAGTGTTTACATGAATACCAACCTTGGCTTTTAATTTTCAGTAAGTAGAAAATTAGGAAAACATTCTTTTCTGTGGATGATTTTGTTTTCATTGAGGATTGAGAAAATACAACCTTCATTTGGCTGTATCTCCAACAATATTAGATTTACTATCTTTTTCTTCCTCCAACAAGATTAGTTCAGTTCTTGCTGAAGATGTCACAATAGATGAGGCCCCATCAATTTCAGCTTTTTCACCTTCTCCTATTTCTTTAGGTGATAAGCTTTCTTGTGCATCAAAAAACACATCTGGCTTATCTGTTGGGCTATCTTCATCTGAGAGTGTCCCCTCTTTATGATCCCCCTCTTCTTTGTCAACAGACTTAGCCTTTTTGGAAGGAGATGTGAAACCAAGCTTGGGAAATCTAAACCATCCAGCTTTTTCAGCCTGCTTAGAGGAATCATCTGATGTGTCAGCAGGTTTCACATCTTCTGGAACTGATTTTTTTATTTCTGCTTTTGCATCTATGCTTGTTTCATCCCCAGAAGATGAAAAGCCAATACTTGGAAGCCAAAATTTAAATCTTCCAGGAGATCTTTTACTATCAGTCTTTTCTTTCTCATTGGTTATGTCTTTTTCTTCACCTTCCACTGCTTCAACTACATCTTCTTCTTCAGAGAGAGGAGCTGCAGTTATTCCCTCTGGTGATTTATCAGGAAAACTCTCTTCAAGTTTACTGGAACCCTTTACTTCAGCAGCAGATGTTTTTAACTTTGACAGACTTACTTTTCCTCTAGATTCTTCAGACCCACGGTGTGGTTTGTGAGATAGTTTAAGCTCAGCACCGCCACTTCCCTGTGCTGCTACTCCAAAGCTTTCACCAGCACCTGTAGGTTTTCTCACTGATGCATCTCCTGTTGGAGATGGCTGCTGGACCTGCACATCTAAATCACTGTGAGATTCAGGCAACTTGGCCTTGAGCAACGAGAATCCCAAAGTAGCAGTTTTGACCTCTGATGACAGAATCTCTGACTCTTTCACTATTTCAGCAGTGTAAATCTCACACCGCTCAATAGCAACATGTTCAGGTTCTACTTTTTCACTTACTTCTTGGCCCTCTATGTAAGACCAATGAATGTCTTGCCCTGCACTTGAAAGGGAGGACTCTATGGTAGCTGTCATTTGGGCTGTTTTAATGTCAGGTTCAGTCAGTGTCATAATTTTGCTTTTTGCTTTTTGAATACCCCCCTCTACAGCTCCTGCTGTTTCTTCAGGGATAGCAGAGCTTGCTTGCAGTTGCACTATTTCAATGTCAGTACTAGAACCCTTTGGATCTGTTACTACTTTTGACAGTAAAACATCAGCCTCAATTGGGGGAGTTCTAAAAGTGAATCTTGGTATTTTTAGTTTGGGAATTCTTACAGTTACTTCTGGAACACCTTGTGTTTGGTCCACTGTTTCCCCTGTTACTCTGGCAGATGCTTCTATACAATCTAGACCTGGACTTTTCAGGCCAATTGATCCTTCTGGTTTTTGTAACTGCATTTCTGCTGTGCCTCTTTCACTTTTAGGTGCTGAATCAGCTTCGGACTTTGGCAAATCGGTATCATCTTCAAACCCCTTGATTTCAGAATGCAACATTCCAAACCTTGGAATCTTAAACTTGTATGCTTTTATTTTACTTGTTTCTGCTCTGTCTTCTACTTGCACTTCCACTCCTGCAGACACATCCTTTTCAACACTCTTCACTCGAAATTTCATTTCAGGATCTACTCCTGTAATTTTAACATCCGTCTTCAATGTTGGAAGTTCTATCTTTAGGTCTTCCATCTTAGCAGTAACATAAGTACCATCTTCTGATCCTTTTCCTGTAGACCATTCACACGTAGTCCTTTTTAATTGACTTTCTTCACCGTCTTTTCCTGTGATTTTCACCTCCCCCTTTATCTTTCCTTTTTTAATTGCTGCCTTTTTGTTTTGAATATCTAGCTCTTCCTTTGGAAGATTAACATCTATTCTCTTCTGTGTTGCATCCAGAGTAATTTCAGCTGATGACGGCTTGCATCCTACCCCTGATGTCTCTAACTTCATGGAACTTTCTACCTTTGGGACATTTATATCCTGTGATTTGCCTTTATGCTCTGGAAATGTCAGAGTACACGAAGGAAACCTATGTGTTGAACTCTTGTCTTTGTCAGTTTCTGAAGTGCTTGGGTATGATTTAGATGATTTAGACAATTCTGCTGCAGACACTGTGATTTCTGAAGTATGTCCTTCAGCACTGTGCTTAACTACATCTGCGTAAGTTTCAGGTTTTGGAATACTCACTCTACTGTCTGTTCTTTCTGTGGATAACGAAATATCACCTTCAATCTTTGGCAAGCTAATATTAGAACTCTTCACAGAATCTTCTAATTTTTGAATCCCTTCTTTTCCAATAGTAATTTCAGCAACTGCATGTGGTAATGAGAAGGTATTTTCAGGAGCACTTGTTTCAGTTTGTACTTTAACGGAGGGAATAGTTGCCTGAGCTTTTTCCATACTTCTTTCAATATCGGCATCACTTCTCTTTTCCTTTAAGGATGACCTGCCAAATCCAGGTATTCTGAATTTGGGCATTTTAAACCATCCTTGATGTTCTTCAGTCTGAACTTCTTCAGCTTTTATTTCATGTTCTTTTAATTTGATTTCCTTCTCCTCAAGACTCTCACTAACTCCCTCTGTCTTTGGTTTGGTGCTTATGGCTACTTTTGCATCTTCAATGCCACCTGTCAGAGCTTGGGGTGTTTTTATCTTACCATCAACTACTCCAGGATCTGACATATCAGATATAAGTTCTGATGCTGGAACTCCCACAGCAATGTCAGCAATTTCGTTTGTTGTTCTTAGTTGGGGCAGCTCAGCTTCTATTTTTGGAGAGCTGATCTCTGTCTCTGGGACTTTCCCTTTTGTTCGGGAGATTCCAAACTTTCCCTTCTGGAATTTGGGGATTTTAATCTTCCCTTCAGGACCTTCCAGCTTCACTTTTCTTCCATCCACAACTGATGAGCTTTCAGTTAATATATCAGGGCTCTTCAAATCAACTGAAGCTTCTCCTTTGGGGAGCTTAGTACCTGTTTTTTGAATGTTACATTCATTGGTAGAACTTATTTTTAAGTCAACCTGTTGAAAACTCCCCTCTGAGGGAGTTAAAGAAGCATCAATCTTTGCTGAGCTGACTGTTATTTCAGTTTTATAGGCCTCAGTTTCTACTCTGGAAAACTCCAGAGTGTGGACCGTAGTGTCAGCCAGTTTTATATTGATTTGTGCCCCTTCATCAGTCCCTTCAGGATGACATTTTTCTATATCAGGTATCTTAACAGAATCATCACCCTCTATTTCTCTTTTAGGAAGAGTAGCATCAGCTTCAACTTTTTGAGATTTTGGAACCTTGATCTTGGAGAGTGAAATTTTAGGCATGACAAATTGAGGCTTTTTAACTGGACTTTTTTGTTCAACTTTTCCTGCAGATATTTCCAGATCAAGGTCTGGCCCACTACCTTGATCATCAGTTGCAGATTCTTTCACTTCTGTGTCTATTCTGCTTGACATGACAGCAAGCTTTTGGTCTTCCAAATTTGCTTCAGAATCAGATTTAACACTTGCTTCCTTCTTTGGTGACCAACTGAAGGATGGAAGTTTGAATTTGGGCATTTTGAAATGTCCTTCTTTCTCTTCTCCATCTCCATCTTGCTTTATTTCCCCCTTGATCTTTACTGCTGCATCTGAATCCTGAATATCACTGTCTGTTTTTGGAATAGGAATGTCAGCTGATGGGAGGTGAACATCAGCCTCTGATGTCTTACTGTCAGTTTTGGTAATTTTGGCTTCAGGACTGTAAGTCCTTGTTTCTGTGCCACATTCTACCTTCAAGTCTGGTCCTTCAACAGCAATGTCAGATATTTCTACTGTTGCTTTTAGTTGGGGAACCTTGACTTCTGATTTGGATTGACCAACATCCTTTTCTGACCCTTTCCCTTTAGAAAGTGTAATTCCTACCTTTGGCATTTGGAATTTAGACAATTTTGGTTTCCCTTCAGAACCTTCAGCTTTTATCTCTACATCACCTACAGCAATTTCACTTGATGTTCTTTCAATACTTATGTCAGGACTCTTCACCTCAAGCGAACCTTCAGGTGTCATCTTAATCTCTGAGGTGGGGAGGCTGGCACTGGCAGCAGCTGATTTCAGTGTCAGATCATCTCCTTCACAGGTAGGAACTTTGACCTCACCTGTCGGGATGCTAATATCCATCTCTATTTTGGGAGTTTTGGCTTCTGGTTTAGAAAATTCTGAAGTTGGGACTGTAACTTTAGGCACTTTTATTCCCAGTCCTGCAACTTCTCCACTACTTCCTTTCTCAGATTTCTGAACAGAAACACCTTCTTTTTCTTGTTTGGGTCCAGAAACATCAGTTTCCACTACAGGCAGAGAGACCTGTACTTTCTGACCCTTAATTTTAGGGAATGAGATCTTTGGCATGGTAAATTGGGACTTCTTGGTTTTGGCCTTTTCACCATCTTTTTCTGTTGTATCAAATTCTTCATGAAGGTATTGATTCTCAGGAGTAGGAAAAGCTAATTCAGATCCCATGTCTCCAGACAAAGTGGGTCCTTCCACATGTTCCTCAACATGAGAAGGAGCAATAGCTTCTTTCTTTGGGGACCACCTAAATGAAGGCAGTTTGAATTTTGATGATTTAAATTTGTTTTCTTTCTCCTCAGTGCTCTTTTCTCCTGTAACTACTTCCTGTTCTGCCTTGCACTCTAAATCTGGGCCATGGATCTCTGCTTCTAAGTTCGGCAAGGAAACCTCCATGGGTGAGAGATTTGGATCCATTGTTGGTGCATCCAGAACAACTTCAAGTGAAGGCTTATGCAACTTTACACCAAGATGGGCATCAGATATTTGAGCTGGTTTTTCAATATCAGGACCGGTCATATCAGATGTTATCCTTCCCTTGGAAAGTTCAGTTTCCACGATGGAACCAATGTCACTTTCAGATGCTTTTCCCTTAGATCGAATTCTGAATTTTGGTTTTCGGAATTTAGGAATTTTAATTGTGACCTCTGTGTCAACCAAAGATATTTCAGCAGATGTGGTTTTGCCCTCTAGCTTTAAAACTCCTTGCTCCTCAGAACCATCTTCATTTAAAATTTCAAAATCTGAAAGATTTTCATCAGCAAGAGGTGCTATTTTTGATTCCGATTCGGTTAAATTAATTTGGTATTTAGTAAGAGTAATATCCCCCCTTTGTAATGAGGACTCCAGATCAATTTTAGATGAAGTCACTTCAGATTTAGAGAAACCAATGCTAGGAACATTGAATTTAGTACTTTTAGATGCACTAACCCCCTTAATATCAGAAAAACGTTTAGGTTCGACACTCTCAGAAGGAACAGAAGACGCTTCCTCAGTTGAAGGATAACAAAGAGTTTCAGAAACAGAAACATCATATCCAGATTGGCTTTGTGCATGAGGTTTGAAACTTTTAGAAAGAGAAATTTTAGGCATTTTAAACAGAGAAGATTTAGATTTACCAGCTTCCTCCTCTTTACAAGAAGAAGAATCTACAGCAACATCAAAGCTTGGTGCTTGGATCTCAGACTCAGAAAATGTTACATCCAGGATGGCAGGTCCCGAGGACAATGTCATTTGAGACTCTGGGAGGCTGACGTCCACCTCGGCGGCCACGGTGCCCTTGGCCTCTCTGCTGCTGGACCAGCCAAAGGAAGGCATGCCAAACTTGGGCATCTTGAACTTGCCGTCCTTGGTCTTGGTGACCTCCTTCTCTGGGACTTTGGCTTCTCCTTCAAGACTAAGGCTGGCCTCAGGCGCCTGCAGGTCGACGCTGGCTTGCGGAAGAGTGACATCGACGGAGGGCAGAGTGACGTCCACCTTGGGAGCTTTGATGTCAGCTTTGGGCATCTTGAGGGAGGGCTTCTCCAGCTTCACGCCAGTGCCCTCGGCTGAGGCCGTCACGGTGGCCGATGGCAGCTCAACCTCAGCGCTGGGCAGGCTGACCTCGGCTGTGGGCACCTCGGCCTTGGGGGAGGAGACTGTGAATTTGGGCTTGTCAAATTTGGGCATCTTGAGCTTGCCTTTCAGGCCCGTGCCTTCCAGCTCCAGCTTGCCCTCGGCGGAGGGAGCTTTGACATCTACGTCGGGCGCCTGGAGCTCAAGGGAGCCTTCAACGGAGGGCAGCTTGACATCGGGGGCCGTGACAGTGATGTCGGTGGCCTTGAGCTCTGCCTGCGGGAGGCTGACGTCTGCCTCCAGTTTGGGAGACTTGATGGTGGGCTTGGAGAAGACCACGCTGGGCACCTTGACTTTGGGCATGTGTATTTTCATGCCGCCGCCCTCCGCTTTGCCAGCGGCCACCTCCAGGCTGGCTTCGGCCTCGGGGCCCTGCAGGGCGACTTCGCCCTCCAGGCCTTTGGGCAGCGAGACCTCGGCCTTGGGCAGGCTGACCTGTGCCTGGGGAGCTTTGACTTTGGGCAGCTTGACGCTGGGCATCTTGACGTCGGGCATCTTGAATCGGCCTTTCTCACCCTCGGCTGCTACCGTGCCCGTCTCCACGGTCACCTCCACACCGGGCGCTTGGATATCGGCCGCGGGCAGGGTCACCTCCACTTCGGCGGTTCCGGAAGGCACCGTCACCTGAGGCTCCGGGAGGCTGACGTCCACCTCGGCAGACACGGTGCCCTTGGCCTCTCTGCTGCCGGACCAGCCAAAGGAAGGCATGCCGAACTTGGGCATCTTGAACTTGCCGTCCTTGGTCTTGGTGACCTCCTTCTCTGGGACTTTGGCTTCTCCTTCAAGACTAAGGCTGGCCTCAGGCGCCTGCAGGTCGACGCTGGCTTGCGGAAGAGTGACATCGACGGAGGGCAGAGTGACGTCCACCTTGGGAGCTTTGATGTCAGCTTTGGGCATCTTGAGGGAGGGCTTCTCCAGCTTCACGCCAGTGCCCTCGGCTGAGGCCGTCACGGTGGCCGATGGCAGCTCAACCTCAGCGCTGGGCAGGCTGACCTCGGCTGTGGGCACCTCGGCCTTGGGGGAGGAGACTGTGAATTTGGGCTTGTCAAATTTGGGCATCTTGAGCTTGCCTTTCAGGCCCGTGCCTTCCAGCTCCAGCTTGCCCTCGGCGGAGGGAGCTTTGACATCTACGTCGGGCGCCTGGAGCTCGAGGGAGCCTTCAACGGAGGGCAGCTTGACATCGGGGGCCGTGACAGTGATGTCGGTGGCCTTGAGCTCTGCCTGCGGGAGGCTGACGTCTGCCTCCAGTTTGGGAGACTTGATGGTGGGCTTGGAGAAGACCACGCTGGGCACCTTGACTTTGGGCATGTGTATTTTCATGCCGCCGCCCTCCGCTTTGCCAGCGGCCACCTCCAGGCTGGCTTCGGCCTCGGGGCCCTGCAGGGCGACTTCGCCCTCCAGGCCTTTGGGCAGCGAGACCTCGGCCTTGGGCAGGCTGACCTGTGCCTGGGGAGCTTTGACTTTGGGCAGCTTGACGCTGGGCATCTTGACGTCGGGCATCTTGAATCGGCCTTTCTCACCCTCTGCTGCTACCGTGCCCGTCTCCACGGTCACCTCCACACCGGGCGCTTGGATATCGGCCGCGGGCAGGGTCACCTCCACTTCGGCGGTTCCGGAAGGCACCGTCACCTGAGGCTCCGGGAGGCTGACGTCCACCTCGGCAGACACGGTGCCCTTGGCCTCTCTGCTGCTGGACCAGCCAAAGGAAGGCATGCCGAACTTGGGCATCTTGAACTTGCCGTCCTTGGTCTTGGTGACCTCCTTCTCTGGGACTTTGGCTTCTCCTTCAAGACTAAGGCTGGCCTCAGGCGCCTGCAGGTCAACGCTGGCTTGCGGAAGAGTGACATCGACGGAGGGCAGAGTGACGTCCACCTTGGGAGCTTTGATGTCAGCTTTGGGCATCTTGAGGGAGGGCTTCTCCAGCTTCACGCCAGTGCCCTCGGCTGAGGCCGTCACGGTGGCCGATGGCAGCTCAACCTCAGCGCTGGGCAGGCTGACCTCGGCTGTGGGCACCTCGGCCTTGGGGGAGGAGACTGTGAATTTGGGCTTGTCAAATTTGGGCATCTTGAGCTTGCCTTTCAGGCCCGTGCCTTCCAGCTCCAGCTTGCCCTCGGCGGAGGGAGCTTTGACATCTACGTCGGGCGCCTGGAGCTCAAGGGAGCCTTCAACGGAGGGCAGCTTGACATCGGGGGCCGTGACAGTGATGTCGGTGGCCTTGAGCTCTGCCTGCGGGAGGCTGACGTCTGCCTCCAGTTTGGGAGACTTGATGGTGGGCTTGGAGAAGACCACGCTGGGCACCTTGACTTTGGGCATGTGTATTTTCATGCCGCCGCCCTCCGCTTTGCCAGCGGCCACCTCCAGGCTGGCTTCGGCCTCGGGGCCCTGCAGGGCGACTTCGCCCTCCAGGCCTTTGGGCAGCGAGACCTCGGCCTTGGGCAGGCTGACCTGTGCCTGGGGAGCTTTGACTTTGGGCAGCTTGACGCTAGGCATCTTGACGTCGGGCATCTTGAATCGGCCTTTCTCACCCTCGGCTGCTACCGTGCCCGTCTCCACGGTCACCTCCACACCGGGCGCTTGGATATCGGCCGCGGGCAGGGTCACCTCCACTTCGGCGGTTCCGGAAGGCACCGTCACCTGAGGCTCCGGGAGGCTGACGTCCACCTCGGCAGACACGGTGCCCTTGGCCTCTCTGCTGCTGGACCAGCCAAAGGAAGGCATGCCGAACTTGGGCATCTTGAACTTGCCGTCCTTGGTCTTGGTGACCTCCTTCTCTGGGACTTTGGCTTCTCCTTCAAGACTAAGGCTGGCCTCAGGCGCCTGCAGGTCGACGCTGGCTTGCGGAAGAGTGACATCGACGGAGGGCAGAGTGACGTCCACCTTGGGAGCTTTGATGTCAGCTTTGGGCATCTTGAGGGAGGGCTTCTCCAGCTTCACGCCAGTGCCCTCGGCTGAGGCCGTCACGGTGGCCGATGGCAGCTCAACCTCAGCGCTGGGCAGGCTGACCTCGGCTGTGGGCACCTCGGCCTTGGGGGAGGAGACTGTGAATTTGGGCTTGTCAAATTTGGGCATCTTGAGCTTGCCTTTCAGGCCCGTGCCTTCCAGCTCCAGCTTGCCCTCGGCGGAGGGAGCTTTGACATCTACGTCGGGCGCCTGGAGCTCGAGGGAGCCTTCAACGGAGGGCAGCTTGACATCGGGGGCCGTGACAGTGATGTCGGTGGCCTTGAGCTCTGCCTGCGGGAGGCTGACGTCTGCCTCCAGTTTGGGAGACTTGATGGTGGGCTTGGAGAAGACCACGCTGGGCACCTTGACTTTGGGCATGTGTATTTTCATGCCGCCGCCCTCCGCTTTGCCAGCGGCCACCTCCAGGCTGGCTTCGGCCTCGGGGCCCTGCAGGGCGACTTCGCCCTCCAGGCCTTTGGGCAGCGAGACCTCGGCCTTGGGCAGGCTGACCTGTGCCTGGGGAGCTTTGACTTTGGGCAGCTTGACGCTGGGCATCTTGACGTCGGGCATCTTGAATCGGCCTTTCTCACCCTCTGCTGCTACCGTGCCCGTCTCCACGGTCACCTCCACACCGGGCGCTTGGATATCGGCCGCGGGCAGGGTCACCTCCACTTCGGCGGTTCCGGAAGGCACCGTCACCTGAGGCTCCGGGAGGCTGACGTCCACCTCGGCAGACACGGTGCCCTTGGCCTCTCTGCTGCTGGACCAGCCAAAGGAAGGCATGCCGAACTTGGGCATCTTGAACTTGCCGTCCTTGGTCTTGGTGACCTCCTTCTCTGGGACTTTGGCTTCTCCTTCAAGACTAAGGCTGGCCTCAGGCGCCTGCAGGTCAACGCTGGCTTGCGGAAGAGTGACATCGACGGAGGGCAGAGTGACGTCCACCTTGGGAGCTTTGATGTCAGCTTTGGGCATCTTGAGGGAGGGCTTCTCCAGCTTCACGCCAGTGCCCTCGGCTGAGGCCGTCACGGTGGCCGATGGCAGCTCAACCTCAGCGCTGGGCAGGCTGACCTCGGCTGTGGGCACCTCGGCCTTGGGGGAGGAGACTGTGAATTTGGGCTTGTCAAATTTGGGCATCTTGAGCTTGCCTTTCAGGCCCGTGCCTTCCAGCTCCAGCTTGCCCTCGGCGGAGGGAGCTTTGACATCTACGTCGGGCGCCTGGAGCTCAAGGGAGCCTTCAACGGAGGGCAGCTTGACATCGGGGGCCGTGACAGTGATGTCGGTGGCCTTGAGCTCTGCCTGCGGGAGGCTGACGTCTGCCTCCAGTTTGGGAGACTTGATGGTGGGCTTGGAGAAGACCACGCTGGGCACCTTGACTTTGGGCATGTGTATTTTCATGCCGCCGCCCTCTGCTTTGCCAGCGGCCACCTCCAGGCTGGCTTCGGCCTCGGGGCCCTGCAGGGCGACTTCGCCCTCCAGGCCTTTGGGCAGCGAGACCTCGGCCTTGGGCAGGCTGACCTGTGCCTGGGGAGCTTTGACTTTGGGCAGCTTGACGCTAGGCATCTTGACGTCGGGCATCTTGAATCGGCCTTTCTCACCCTCGGCTGCTACCGTGCCCGTCTCCACGGTCACCTCCACACCGGGCGCTTGGATATCGGCCGCGGGCAGGGTCACCTCCACTTCGGCGGTTCCGGAAGGCACCGTCACCTGAGGCTCCGGGAGGCTGACGTCCACCTCGGCAGACACGGTGCCCTTGGCCTCTCTGCTGCTGGACCAGCCAAAGGAAGGCATGCCGAACTTGGGCATCTTGAACTTGCCGTCCTTGGTCTTGGTGACCTCCTTCTCTGGGACTTTGGCTTCTCCTTCAAGACTAAGGCTGGCCTCAGGCGCCTGCAGGTCAACGCTGGCTTGCGGAAGAGTGACATCGACGGAGGGCAGAGTGACGTCCACCTTGGGAGCTTTGATGTCAGCTTTGGGCATCTTGAGGGAGGGCTTCTCCAGCTTCACGCCAGTGCCCTCGGCTGAGGCCGTCACGGTGGCCGATGGCAGCTCAACCTCAGCGCTGGGCAGGCTGACCTCGGCTGTGGGCACCTCGGCCTTGGGGGAGGAGACTGTGAATTTGGGCTTGTCAAATTTGGGCATCTTGAGCTTGCCTTTCAGGCCCGTGCCTTCCAGCTCCAGCTTGCCCTCGGCGGAGGGAGCTTTGACATCTACGTCGGGCGCCTGGAGCTCAAGGGAGCCTTCAACGGAGGGCAGCTTGACATCGGGGGCCGTGACAGTGATGTCGGTGGCCTTGAGCTCTGCCTGCGGGAGGCTGACGTCTGCCTCCAGTTTGGGAGACTTGATGGTGGGCTTGGAGAAGACCACGCTGGGCACCTTGACTTTGGGCATGTGTATTTTCATGCCGCCGCCCTCCGCTTTGCCAGCGGCCACCTCCAGGCTGGCTTCGGCCTCGGGGCCCTGCAGGGCGACTTCGCCCTCCAGGCCTTTGGGCAGTGAGACCTCGGCCTTGGGCAGGCTGACCTGTGCCTGGGGAGCTTTGACTTTGGGCAGCTTGACGCTAGGCATCTTGACGTCGGGCATCTTGAATCGGCCTTTCTCACCCTCGGCTGCTACCGTGCCCATCTCCACGGTCACCTCCACACCGGGCGCTTGGATATCGGCCGCGGGCAGGGTCACCTCCACTTCGGCGGTTCCGGAAGGCACCGTCACCTGAGGCTCCGGGAGGCTGACGTCCACCTCGGCAGACACGGTGCCCTTGGCCTCTCTGCTGCTGGACCAGCCAAAGGAAGGCATGCCGAACTTGGGCATCTTGAACTTGCCGTCCTTGGTCTTGGTGACCTCCTTCTCTGGGACTTTGGCTTCTCCTTCAAGACTAAGGCTGGCCTCAGGCGCCTGCAGGTCGACGCTGGCTTGCGGAAGAGTGACATCGACGGAGGGCAGAGTGACGTCCACCTTGGGAGCTTTGATGTCAGCTTTGGGCATCTTGAGGGAGGGCTTCTCCAGCTTCACGCCAGTGCCCTCGGCTGAGGCCGTCACGGTGGCCGATGGCAGCTCAACCTCAGCGCTGGGCAGGCTGACCTCGGCTGTGGGCACCTCAGCCTTGGGGGAGGAGACTGTGAATTTGGGCTTGTCAAATTTGGGCATCTTGAGCTTGCCTTTCAGGCCCGTGCCTTCCAGCTCCAGCTTGCCCTTGGCGGAGGGAGCTTTGACATCTACGTCGGGCGCCTGGAGCTCGAGGGAGCCTTCAACGGAGGGCAGCTTGACATCGGGGGCCGTGACAGTGATGTCGGTGGCCTTGAGCTCTGCCTGCGGGAGGCTGACGTCTGCCTCCAGTTTGGGAGACTTGATGGTGGGCTTGGAGAAGACCACGCTGGGCACCTTGACTTTGGGCATGTGTATTTTCATGCCGCCGCCCTCCGCTTTGCCAGCGGCCACCTCCAGGCTGGCTTCGGCCTCGGGGCCCTGCAGGGCGACTTCGCCCTCCAGGCCTTTGGGCAGCGAGACCTCGGCCTTGGGCAGGCTGACCTGCGCCTGGGGAGCTTTGACTTTGGGCAGCTTGACGCTGGGCATCTTGACGTCGGGCATCTTGAATCGGCCTTTCTCACCCTCTGCTGCTACCGTGCCCGTCTCCACGGTCACCTCCACACCGGGCGCTTGGATATCGGCCGCGGGCAGGGTCACCTCCACTTCGGCGGTTCCGGAAGGCACCGTCACCTGAGGCTCCGGGAGGCTGACGTCCACCTCGTCGGCCACAGTGCCCTTGGCCTCTTTGCTGCCGGACCAGCCAAAGGAAGGCATGCCGAACTTGGGCATCTTGAACTTGCCGTCCTTGGTCTTGGTGACCTCCTTCTCTGGGACTTTGGCTTCTCCTTCAAGACTAAGGCTGGCCTCAGGCGCCTGCAGGTCAACGCTGGCTTGCGGAAGAGTGACATCGACGGAGGGCAGAGTGACGTCCACCTTGGGAGCTTTGATGTCAGCTTTGGGCATCTTGAGGGAATGCTTCTCCAATTTCACGCCAGTGCCCTCGGCTGAGGCCGTCACGGTGGCCGATGGCAGCTCAACCTCAGCGCTGGGCAGGCTGACCTCGGCTGTGGGCACCTCGGCCTTGGGGGAGGAGACTGTGAATTTGGGCTTGTCAAATTTGGGCATCTTGAGCTTGCCTTTCAGGCCCGTGCCTTCCAGCTCCAGCTTGCCCTCGGCGGAGGGAGCTTTGACATCTACGTGGGGCGCCTGGAGCTCGAGGGAGCCTTCAACGGAGGGCAGCTTGACATCGGGGACTGTGACAGTGATGTCGGTGGCCTTGAGCTCTGCCTGCGGGAGGCTGACGTCTGCCTCCAGTTTGGGAGACTTGATGGTGGGCTTGGAGAAGACCATGCTGGGCACCTTGACTTTGGGCATGTGTATTTTCATGCCGCCGCCCTCCGCTTTGCCAGCGGCCACCTCCAGGCTGGCTTCGGCCTCGGGGCCCTGCAGGGCGACTTCGCCCTCCAGGCCTTTGGGGGGCAGCGAGACCTCGGCCTTGGGCAGGCTGACCTGTGCCTGGGGAGCTTTGACTTTGGGCAGCTTGACGCTGGGCATCTTGACGTCGGGCATCTTGAATCGGCCTTTCTCACCCTCGGCTGCTACCGTGCCCGTCTCCACGGTCACCTCCACACCGGGCGCTTGGATATCGGCCGCGGGCAGGGTCACCTCCACTTCGGCGGTTCCGGAAGGCACCGTCACCTGAGGCTCCGGGAGGCTGACGTCCACCTCGGCAGACACGGTGCCCTTGGCCTCTCTGCTGCCGGACCAGCCAAAGGAAGGCATGCCGAACTTGGGCATCTTGAACTTGCCGTCCTTGGTCTTGGTGACCTCCTTCTCTGGGACTTTGGCTTCTCCTTCAAGACTAAGGCTGGCCTCAGGCGCCTGCAGGTCAACGCTGGCTTGCGGAAGAGTGACATCGACGGAGGGCAGAGTGACGTCCACCTTGGGAGCTTTGATGTCAGCTTTGGGCATCTTGAGGGAGGGCTTCTCCAGCTTCACGCCAGTGCCCTCGGCTGAGGCCGTCACGGTGGCCGATGGCAGCTCAACCTCAGCGCTGGGCAGGCTGACCTCGGCTGTGGGCACCTCGGCCTTGGGGGAGGAGACTGTGAATTTGGGCTTGTCAAATTTGGGCATCTTGAGCTTGCCTTTCAGGCCCGTGCCTTCCAGCTCCAGCTTGCCCTCGGCGGAGGGAGCTTTGACATCTACGTCGGGCGCCTGGAGCTCGAGGGAGCCTTCAACGGAGGGCAGCTTGACATCGGGGGCCGTGACAGTGATGTCGGTGGCCTTGAGCTCTGCCTGCGGGAGGCTGACGTCTGCCTCCAGTTTGGGAGACTTGATGGTGGGCTTGGAGAAGACCACGCTGGGCACCTTGACTTTGGGCATGTGTATTTTCATGCCGCCGCCCTCCGCTTTGCCAGCGGCCACCTCCAGGCTGGCTTCGGCCTCGGGGCCCTGCAGGGCGACTTCGCCCTCCAGGCCTTTGGGCAGCGAGACCTCGGCCTTGGGCAGGCTGACCTGTGCCTGGGGAGCTTTGACTTTGGGCAGCTTGACGCTGGGCATCTTGACGTCGGGCATCTTGAATCGGTCTTTCTCACCCTCGGCTGCTACCGTGCCCGTCTCCACGGTCACCTCCACACCGGGCGCTTGGATATCGGCCGCGGGCAGGGTCACCTCCACTTCGGCGGTTCCGGAAGGCACCGTCACCTGAGGCTCCGGGAGGCTGACGTCCACCTCGGCGGCTACAGTGCCCTTGGCCTCTCTGCTGCCGGACCAGCCAAAGGAAGGCATGCCGAACTTGGGCATCTTGAACTTGCCGTCCTTGGTCTTGGTGACCTCCTTCTCTGGGACTTTGGCTTCTCCTTCAAGACTAAGGCTGGCCTCAGGCGCCTGCAGGTCAACGCTGGCTTGCGGAAGAGTGACATCGACGGAGGGCAGAGTGACGTCCACCTTGGGAGCTTTGATGTCAGCTTTGGGCATCTTGAGGGAATGCTTCTCCAATTTCACGCCAGTGCCCTCGGCTGAGGCCGTCACTGTGGCCGATGGCAGCTCAACCTCAGCGCTGGGCAGGCTGACCTCGGCTGTGGGCACCTCGGCCTTGGGGGAGGAGACTGTGAATTTGGGCTTGTCAAATTTGGGCATCTTGAGCTTGCCTTTCAGGCCCGTGCCTTCCAGCTCCAGCTTGCCCTCGGCGGAGGGAGCTTTGACATCTACGTCGGGCGCCTGGAGCTCAAGGGAGCCTTCAACGGAGGGCAGCTTGACATCGGGGGCCGTGACAGTGATGTCGGTGGCCTTGAGCTCTGCCTGCGGGAGGCTGACGTCTGCCTCCAGTTTGGGAGACTTGATGGTGGGCTTGGAGAAGACCACGCTGGGCACCTTGACTTTGGGCATGTGTATTTTCATGCCGCCGCCCTCCGCTTTGCCAGCGGCCACCTCCAGGCTGGCTTCGGCCTCGGGGCCCTGCAGGGCGACTTCGCCCTCCAGGCCTTTGGGCAGCGAGACCTCGGCCTTGGGCAGGCTGACCTGTGCCTGGGGAGCTTTGACTTTGGGCAGCTTGACGCTGGGCATCTTGACGTCGGGCATCTTGAATCGGCCTTTCTCACCCTCTGCTGCTACCGTGCCCGTCTCCACGGTCACCTCCACACCGGGCGCTTGGATATCGGCCGCGGGCAGGGTCACCTCCACTTCGGCGGTTCCGGAAGGCACCGTCACCTGAGGCTCCGGGAGGCTGACGTCCACCTCGGCAGACACGGTGCCCTTGGCCTCTCTGCTGCTGGACCAGCCAAAGGAAGGCATGCCGAACTTGGGCATCTTGAACTTGCCGTCCTTGGTCTTGGTGACCTCCTTCTCTGGGACTTTGGCTTCTCCTTCAAGACTAAGGCTGGCCTCAGGCGCCTGCAGGTCGACGCTGGCTTGCGGAAGAGTGACATCGACGGAGGGCAGAGTGACGTCCACCTTGGGAGCTTTGATGTCAGCTTTGGGCATCTTGAGGGAGGGCTTCTCCAGCTTCACGCCAGTGCCCTCGGCTGAGGCCGTCACGGTGGCCGATGGCAGCTCAACCTCAGCGCTGGGCAGGCTGACCTCGGCTGTGGGCACCTCGGCCTTGGGGGAGGAGACTGTGAATTTGGGCTTGTCAAATTTGGGCATCTTGAGCTTGCCTTTCAGGCCCGTGCCTTCCAGCTCCAGCTTGCCCTCGGCGGAGGGAGCTTTGACATCTACGTCGGGCGCCTGGAGCTCAAGGGAGCCTTCAACGGAGGGCAGCTTGACATCGGGGGCCGTGACAGTGATGTCGGTGGCCTTGAGCTCTGCCTGCAGGAGGCTGACGTCTGCCTCCAGTTTGGGAGACTTGATGGTGGGCTTGGAGAAGACCACGCTGGGCACCTTGACTTTGGGCATGTGTATTTTCATGCCGCCGCCCTCCGCTTTGCCAGCGGCCACCTCCAGGCTGGCTTCGGCCTCGGGGCCCTGCAGGGCGACTTCGCCCTCCAGGCCTTTGGGGGGCAGCGAGACCTCGGCCTTGGGCAGGCTGACCTGTGCCTGGGGAGCTTTGACTTTGGGCAGCTTGACGCTGGGCATCTTGACGTCGGGCATCTTGAATCGGCCTTTCTCACCCTCGGCTGCTACCGTGCCCGTCTCCATGGTCACCTCCACACCGGGCGCTTGGATATCGGCCGCGGGCAGGGTCACCTCCACTTCGGCGGTTCCGGAAGGCACCGTCACCTGAGGCTCCGGGAGGCTGACGTCCACCTCGGCAGACACGGTGCCCTTGGCCTCTCTGCTGCTGGACCAGCCAAAGGAAGGCATGCCGAACTTGGGCATCTTGAACTTGCCGTCCTTGGTCTTGGTGACCTCCTTCTCTGGGACTTTGGCTTCTCCTTCAAGACTAAGGCTGGCCTCAGGCGCCTGCAGGTCAACGCTGGCTTGCGGAAGAGTGACATCGACGGAGGGCAGAGTGACGTCCACCTTGGGAGCTTTGATGTCAGCTTTGGGCATCTTGAGGGAGGGCTTCTCCAGCTTCACGCCAGTGCCCTCGGCTGAGGCCGTCACGGTGGCCGATGGCAGCTCAACCTCAGCGCTGGGCAGGCTGACCTCGGCTGTGGGCACCTCGGCCTTGGGGGAGGAGACTGTGAATTTGGGCTTGTCAAATTTGGGCATCTTGAGCTTGCCTTTCAGGCCCGTGCCTTCCAGCTCCAGCTTGCCCTCGGCGGAGGGAGCTTTGACATCTACGTCGGGCGCCTGGAGCTCGAGGGAGCCTTCAACGGAGGGCAGCTTGACATCGGGGGCCGTGACAGTGATGTCGGTGGCCTTGAGCTCTGCCTGCGGGAGGCTGACGTCTGCCTCCAGTTTGGGAGACTTGATGGTGGGCTTGGAGAAGACCACGCTGGGCACCTTGACTTTGGGCATGTGTATTTTCATGCCGCTGCCCTCCGCTTTGCCAGCAGCCACCTCCAGGCTGGCTTCGGCCTCGGGGCCCTGCAGGGCGACTTCGCCCTCCAGGCCTTTGGGCAGCGAGACCTCGGCCTTGGGCAGGCTGACCTGTGCCTGGGGAGCTTTTACTTTGGGCAGCTTGACGCTGGGCATCTTGACGTCGGGCATCTTGAATCGGCCTTTCTCACCCTCGGCTGCTACCCTGCCCGTCTCCACGGTGACCTCCACACCAGGCGCTTGGATATCGGCCGCGGGCAGGGTCACCTCCACTTCGGCGGTTCCGGAAGGCACCGTCACCTGAGGCTCCGGGAGGCTGACGTCCACCTCGGCGGCCACAGTGCCCTTGGCCTCTCTGCTGCCGGACCAGCCAAAGGAAGGCATGCCGAACTTGGGCATCTTGAACTTGCCGTCCTTGGTCTTGGTGACCTCCTTCTCTGGGACTTTGGCTTCTCCTTCAAGACTAAGGCTGGCCTCAGGCGCCTGCAGGTCGACGCTGGCTTGTGGAAGAGTGACATCGACGGAGGGCAGAGTGACGTCCACCTTGGGAGCTTTGATGTTAGCTTTGGGCATCTTGAGGGAGGGCTTCTCCAGCTTCACGCCAGTGCCCTCGGCTGAGGCCGTCACGGTGGCCGATGGCAGCTCAACCTCAGCGCTGGGCAGGCTGACCTCGGCTGTGGGCACCTCGGCCTTGGGGGAGGAGACTGTGAATTTGGGCTTGTCAAATTTGGGCATCTTGAGCTTGCCTTTCAGGCCCGTGCCTTCCAGCTCCAGCTTGCCCTCGGCGGAGGGAGCTTTGACATCTACGTCGGGCGCCTGGAGCTCGAGGGAGCCTTCAACGGAGGGCAGCTTGACATCGGGGGCCGTGACAGTGATGTCGGTGGCCTTGAGCTCTGCCTGCGGGAGGCTGACGTCTGCCTCCAGTTTGGGAGACTTGATGGTGGGCTTGGAGAAGACCACGCTGGGCACCTTGACTTTGGGCATGTGTATTTTCATGCCGCCGCCCTCCGCTTTGCCAGCGGCCACCTCCAGGCTGGCTTCGGCCTCGGGGCCCTGCAGGGCGACTTCGCCCTCCAGGCCTTTGGGGGGCAGCGAGACCTCGGCCTTGGGCAGGCTGACCTGTGCCTGGGGAGCTTTGACTTTGGGCAGCTTGACGCTGGGCATCTTGACGTCGGGCATCTTGAATCGGCCTTTCTCACCCTCTGCTGCTACCGTGCCCGTCTCCACGGTCACCTCCACACCGGGCGCTTGGATATCGGCCGCGGGCAGGGTCACCTCCACTTCGGCGGTTCCGGAAGGCACCGTCACCTGAGGCTCCGGGAGGCTGACGTCCACCTCGGCAGACACGGTGCCCTTGGCCTCTCTGCTGCCGGACCAGCCAAAGGAAGGCATGCCGAACTTGGGCATCTTGAACTTGCCGTCCTTGGTCTTGGTGACCTCCTTCTCTGGGACTTTGGCTTCTCCTTCAAGACTAAGGCTGGCCTCAGGCGCCTGCAGGTCAACGCTGGCTTGCGGAAGAGTGACATCGACGGAGGGCAGAGTGACGTCCACCTTGGGAGCTTTGATGTCAGCTTTGGGCATCTTGAGGGAGGGCTTCTCCAGCTTCACGCCAGTGCCCTCGGCTGAGGCCGTCACGGTGGCCGATGGCAGCTCAACCTCAGCGCTGGGCAGGCTGACCTCGGCTGTGGGCACCTCGGCCTTGGGGGAGGAGACTGTGAATTTGGGCTTGTCAAATTTGGGCATCTTGAGCTTGCCTTTCAGGCCCGTGCCTTCCAGCTCCAGCTTGCCCTTGGCGGAGGGAGCTTTGACATCTACGTCGGGCGCCTGGAGCTCGAGGGAGCCTTCAACGGAGGGCAGCTTGACATCGGGGGCCGTGACAGTGATGTCGGTGGCCTTGAGCTCTGCCTGCGGGAGGCTGACGTCTGCCTCCAGTTTGGGAGACTTGATGGTGGGCTTGGAGAAGACCACGCTGGGCACCTTGACTTTGGGCATGTGTATTTTCATGCCGCCGCCCTCCGCTTTGCCAGCGGCCACCTCCAGGCTGGCTTCGGCCTCGGGGCCCTGCAGGGCGACTTCGCCCTCCAGGCCTTTGGGCAGCGAGACCTCGGCCTTGGGCAGGCTGACCTGCGCCTGGGGAGCTTTGACTTTGGGCAGCTTGACGCTGGGCATCTTGACGTCGGGCATCTTGAATCGGCCTTTCTCACCCTCTGCTGCTACCGAGCCCGTCTCCACGGTCACCTCCACACCGGGCGCTTGGATATCGGCCGCGGGCAGGGTCACCTCCACTTCGACGGTTCCGGAAGGCACCGTCACCTGAGGCTCCGGGAGGCTGATGTCCACCTCGGCAGACACGGTGCCCTTGGCCTCTCTGCTGCCGGACCAGCCAAAGGAAGGCATGCCGAACTTGGGCATCTTGAACTTGCCGTCCTTGGTCTTGGTGACCTCCTTCTCTGGGACTTTGGCTTCTCCTTCAAGACTAAGGCTGGCCTCAGGCGCCTGCAGGTCAACGCTGGCTTGCGGAAGAGTGACGTTGATGGAGGGCAGACTGATGTCCACCTTTGGTGCTTTGGTTTTAGATGGTGTGATTTCTGAAATTTCAGATTTTGATTTTTTATCTAATTCCCACTTATGTATTTCAATACTTGGTTTTGAAATCTGTACTTCTCCTTTTGTATCTTCCGGTTTTATTTCCATTTGGGAAGATTCTATAGTTGGTTTTTTCGGACTTGGCAACTCGCCTTCAGGTTTTCTTACTATATTGTGTTCATCGTTTTTTCCTGTGAACATTCCTATTTCTGTTTGAACACTTGGTAACCTAATTTTTTCTGGTGGTCCACTTACTCGAAGTCCTCCTACATTTTCCAGGGTTTGCACATTTACTTCCCTGTCAGTTATCTGTGCTTCGAGTTGGGGTGTTTCTTCCTTGGTATTTGACCAGGTAAATGTAGGGAATTTTAACTTTGGCAGTCTGAATTTGCTTTCTTTCCCCTCTATATCTTTTTCTCCTCTCTTCATTTCAATTTCTATGTTTAAGGATTTGTCATTTGCGGGCATGGCATCTTCCTCCATACTTTCCTTTTTTATGCTATCTTCTGTGTCCTCTTTGCTTTCTTCTCTTGTTATTTTCATGTCTGTTTTAGGTGCTTTGGCCACTTTGAATGATGGCATTTGTATTTTCCAAGTAGATACGTCTGATTGTGCATCTGGCAAAGCAGTTTTCACATTGAAATTCTTGCTGTCCTCTGAAGTCATATCAGCCGTTTTTTCTGGTACTGACTGTGGAACGTCACTTCCCTGTTTGGTAGTGTCAGTCTCTGTCTCTTTTCTTTTGAGCACTGAAATTCCATAATTTATTTTCTGAATATTTAGTATTTGTGTGTCTTCTTCTGCTTGTTTTTCTCCTGTTTCCAGTGTTTCAGATGTCTGTAATTCTACTTTAGCAGAGCCAACTTCAAGGCCTTTTACCTGTACAGTTCCTTTAGTACTGTGACCCATCAAGTCTATGTTAATTCCACTTTCTCCATCTTTTTTATCTGCTGTTCCCTTCTGTTTCTTTTGTCGGGATTTTGATGAGGCTTGTGGTGATTTTTTAGTTGGGCTCACTTTCAGATCAGCAGTTTCTAAACTAGGCTTTGGTATCTCTGTTGTTATGTCTGGCACTTCAGGTACATTAAATTTTGATGATGCTTCCTTGTCTTTTTTAATGCTTATTTCAACTTCAGGGCATTGTTTTACATGAGATGGAATGCCATTTTTAATTTCTTTTAAGTCTTTTGTTAAAGTTTCATGTCCCTCCCCTGTCTTCATTTCATAAGCAGGAGATGTGGTATATTCAACAGTTAAAATTTCGGGATTTTCCAGGCTTCTTTCGGAGATCAGTGTCGTTTTTATTTCTTTTTTTTGCCTCTCTTGTGGTTCTGGTTTGGACCTGTGCATTCTGAATCCAATGCTAGGGAACTTCAGCTTCCTTTGGCCTCCTTTTTTCTCTTTGGTATGGACCTCTTGTGGAAATTGAGACTCTGTGTCCGTGCTTGTAGGAGAAATATCCTGCAAAGCAGGCTCATATGCATCTGATGTACTATGAGATCTTCTGTGCCTTAATATCTTTTTATTTTTGATTGATTGAAATTTTGGCCATGATAATCGATCTTTTTTAGGTCTCTTACTTCTTCCTACTCTTTGGCTTACAATTAATGTTTCCCTGTCTTCTTCTGAAATGGATTTTCCTGAAACTTGCAGTGTTTCTTCAGGAATACTCTCACTGAGCTCATTTTCCTAAAAGAACAAATAGTATTCAGAAGATTAGCAGTAACCTAAATATAGGTGCAACAGAAAATAAAAAAACATACTTTAAAACACGTAGAAAAATGTTCTTTTTATTACTAGTATCTACTTGTTATATAAAAAAATAGTGAAGATTATAAAAATATGCAATGTCAGGCAGAAATTACATCAAACAAATGGAGTGTAATTTATTGATTTCTGAAGATATTCCTTTCAAAATATTACAGTAAACAGTGGTTTCTGTATGTATGTATGCAGGTATGTATGTATGTATCTATCTATCTATCTATCTATCTATCTATCTATCTATCCCTGTACAAATATATGTTATATATAGTATTTATCTATATGTATAGGTATATGTATATGAAGAAAATATGATCTTTAAGTTGATCGAAACCTATGAAGAGGTCTGTCAAAATATCAGTGGTTAGACACAGATTTTTTTTAATAGAAAAATCTTACAAAGAAGCTTTGAATTAAAAATTTTACTGATATTTTACATTTTGGAACATATTTATTATAAGTATTACAGAGATTACCCAAGTCTGTTCCATCAGTGGACAATCAACAATTAAAAAATGCTGACTCACTAAAGAATATTTTCACCACTTAAAACAAGATTGTGGATTTATATAAAATCCATAGTCTCACTCAAGATATTTAAAAAGCTGCAAATATTGTGTGGGATTTTTTAAAATAATGAATATTCATGCTAGTAACTTTAAACACATGTATAAGTCTTAAGAAGACACAAGCGTGTGTTTTATGATCTATTTCCACAGAGCACATTACTGTAGTATGTTACCCAAACTTTGTAAACTAATCAGAAATGTACCTGGCCTATCCTTTCCTTTTTGTGCTGGGCTGAAGAGTGTTCCAGATCTTCGTGCACGGAAATTTTTCTTTTGAGGCTGAATTGGACTCTGTAAGGCTCGGAATATTGGAGAATCTTGAGTGCATCTTCATATTTGATATTATCAAAAAATATTGTAGCACTTAGAAGCTGATCACCTGCAAGTGGAATAATACATAATTTTAATTACTTTGTGTTTTCTTATATTTTTTTTCCATTTTAGTTTTGTATATAGTACTTTCTATGTGTCTTTTCCACTGTTCCAGTGAAAACTGATGTTTTTCGATGGTATACAAAAAACATCACATTTCATTATTGTTCAAGCAAGTGATCTCAGAAATTATTAATATGGACAGGTTAAGCTCATAGATAACATTAGTTGGTTTAAAATCTACTATTTCTGATACCTAAAGAGATGGCAGATCACACAGCTACAATTCTCATTATTTAAAGATGCAGAATAAAATTTAAAAAAAATTAAAAATCAGACTTTACCTTCTTTAAGACTAAATATTTTTGAAGCAGGAGATTCCTTAAGTACTTTTTTAATAAATATTCCTTCATTTCCTCCACCTTTTACACTAAAACCACTAGCTCCAGCTTCCACTTCTGTTTTCAGGGTCACTTCCATTGTCTCCTAGAGATAGAAAAATATGCGAATTTATAATTTTTATTAATTTGCATTAAAGGGTTCTAAGTTGTTCTACAATAAAAATTTTAATCTCCTCAGGTATATTTTCAATAGCTCAAGAAAGATTATGCAAAATTGAGGATATACTTAGTGTGGGTTTGATTCTGTTCTAAATTACAATTAAGCACGTGTGTTAGGGTTATGTTGAATCAGGGTCATTGGGAAAATAGGTTATAATTTTAAAATGTGAAACATATGGAAACTTTTAGGGCTGAAAGACTGTATTTTCTGTGAAGATATTAACCACTCAAAGTCAATGGGCCAAAAAGAAAAGAAAAAAGTCAAAATAAGAGCTAATGCTGTACTGCACTCAAATCAGAGAAGGCTAAAGAAAGAATTCTAAAAAGAATTATGGAAGGACCACAAATAGGACAAATAAATGTTCCTGCCCGTGCCACAACTTGGCCATTCATGAAGTTCCTGATCAAAACAAGTCCAAAGTGACTCTTTGCCCATTTGTCCTTCCTTCTGTCCTCCCGTTCATGTCCGTGCGTTTTAACAAGCTTTACTATTTACAGGGCTCATACCTAAAACTACAGAGTGCTTTTAGACTGACCTGTGGATGACTCTGCTTTGATTTATCTGTAGAAAGTTTTTTGTTTTCTTCTTGAAGCTGAAAAACAATTTTGAATTATTTCAAGTTCAGAAGCCACGGTGATCTTAAGTACAACAAAAGTCAGTTAAAATTCCTGGTTTAGAGCAAGAAATGAGGCTGACTTTAATGGCACAGAGCAAAATCAGGATCAAGAGCCATGTACAACATGAATTATTTAACTATACTAATCCCAGCAGTAAATTAGATGCCAAGGCCTCCCTTCATTGTACCAGAATTTGCATTAAATCAGAGACCATTGTAACAAAATTTGCATTTGGTCAGAGACCAAATGTCTTAAGATATTGGGAGTCTTTCTGTGTCCTAATGTAGTATATTGTTCATCTTTCAATTTTGTAAACGTAATTTTTTTTTACTTATTCAGCTTCGGCATGAATTTTAAACTGTTGCCTACTTAACACAGCTGACTAATTAAATCTCTAACTTTGAATAACCAAGAGGTACAGGTAATTTTGAAATACTTATTAATTAGGTTCAAGCCATATATTCTAACAGGAAAAACACTACAATTTCTTTATGCTCTCTGTCTTGTGTCCTTTACACAATTAAGTCAAACGCATTTTCTCACCAAGAAACAAGAACATGGTCAGGAAGCCCAGCACAAAATAAATCCATCAATGAACAGAGATGCAGTTTTGATGGGGACAGGAAGACAATGTGGCTGCAGCCATGTCCCATTCTATGGCATTGTGGGAGCTAAAGCCTCTTGAATCAACTTGATAAAGCCATGCCTGCATGAAAATTTATTATCTTGCCTTTAAATAGTCTTCTTCTTCGGGATACTCATAAACTGGAGAGGATCCTTGTGGCCTTGGACGAATGTCTTCTACTGCCACTTCAGTAACCTGTGGAAAAGACATGAGCAGTGATAAAGGAACACTCACCATTAAACACTGACTTGTTTTTAGGACTGTTTCTCTAGCTGTCCATAGTGTCCTTCTGAGTAAAAATCTTTCCTTCGTGATGGTGGATAAAAAATAACCAATAACTCGTTTTTTAGGTCAAGAACAAATACAGTTGTCATGTTAAAGCGCTCAAACCCACAAGGGACAGAATTCTGAGAGACAAAACCCAGTGGTAAGCTTATTTTTATTTTCTTTATGTATTGTGTGTATCTGCAAACTGAACAGACTGAAAACAGACAGATCAATTAGTAATAACTGAAAAAGTTAAAAAAAAAAAATCCCTTCCCTGCTCTATTTGCACACCTCAACTTTGCATCCAATGGCTTCAAACTTTGTTGCTCTCTATAAGCAAGCAAAAGTCCCAGCAGGAATTTCTGCTGACAAGCAATTGGCATTCTTCCTTCTCCAGTCAGACAACAGGGAACCTAAACTGTCTAAATCCTTAAAGAAAAGTTACTGTAGTTAACAGCCATGTAATAGTTTGCTAAGTCTTGGTAGCAAACTTATGCCAATGAGCCATGGCAAAGAGCAGATGCTTTTACACTAAAACATCTTTCGGGGTTTTGAGCTGGCAGGACAGTCCCAGGCAAAAATACAACATTTTTAATGGGAAGGAAAACCACCAGAAAGACCTAGCCATAAACAAAATATTTAAGATCCCACTCTGCCAAACTGTCATCACAGAAAAATTCAACTCTATAAAACTCACAGAATCTTCCTCCTCTGCATCTGCATCTGCATCGGCATCAGCATCTCCCGGGGCCTCGGCCGGTCTCAGCTGCCGTCCAGGACCTGAAAGCAGCACACAGGTTGTGGTTGTTGGAGCCTCACGATCCACACAGAGCACAGAGCAGTCAGCTTGCAAGCTGAAACCCCTGCAGCAGCAGGGCTGTGCACAGGCCACTGGAAAGGCCTGCCTTAATTTAGATTCCCAGCATCACACAATGGTGTGGTTTGGAAGGGACCTTCAAGATCATCTACTTCTTCCTACTAGCCATGGGCAGGGGTTACAATCTGGTTTACTTCTAATTCCACATTTTCTCCAGGATGGGGAGTCTTTCTCTTTCACAAAAGCCTTTACATTTCTGGACATGAGTATTTCTGATATCTTTAGAAAAAGAAAAGCATTGACCATCTGCTGACCCCTGTCTCCTGCACCAGCCCCAGCTTTCCAAAGGGACTGAGCATAGCCCACAATGAAGGCTTGAAGGGATTGGAGACCAGAAAAGGGGAAGGAGAGGCGTACAGAGGGAATCTGAAGTGTTTCTCCCTGAATTGTTTTATTATTTAAAATAGCAGAATCAGTAATTAACAGTTTGCTAATTCACAATGGATTAAATTGATTGAAATCCCCCATATTGAAACTCCTCCTCACTTCTGACAAAGGTCTTAAGAACAGGAGAGTAAATATCATGAACCTTGACAGTACAAAAGACACTGTTTTCTTAGTTTTTAAAAGTATTGAGGGTACAGGTGAAGGAGATGGGCTGTCTGAATGTATGATCCCCTTGAAACGCTTTAAACGGGGCACCAAAGAATGAAAACAGCATGAATTAGAACATTTGCAGAGATCCAGCTTTAACCAGTAGAGGACAGTGTGGCTGAACTACGTATTCCCTAATGCACCAGCTATTCACACACATGCCCAAGTGCTTGTCCCAATAACTATGTCTCTTTCCTGTCTCCATGCTTGTTTTTTCCAAGCCATCAGGCTGTCTAGCTCCCCAACTCTCAGTTCTGCAGCTGCCATTACTATACATAGCTTTGGCTCTCCTAAACAGATCCTCTGGCTTAAAAATATGCTCAAAAACTGGAGAAAACAACTGACAAGAAGAACTGTGCAACTCATTGTCTGTCTCAAATGGAGAATCCTTGGGCTGGAACACAAGATTTCTGGACATTACACATTCTGTGTGCAGACAAGATGGCACAACTTAGTCATGTCTGCAATCACTGACTTACACACATTGCCAAGCCTTTGTTAAAGTGGCTGGAATTTTGCTGGTCACTCCTCATAGTCTTCTGATCTACATTTACTTCTTCCTCGATTTTTTTGAAGATGAAATTACATAGTACAGGCAAAGTTTTGCAAGAGTTATGCCCCAGTGATCAGCGATGGACCACTTTGTTAAGATGGATGGAAACAGTGTGCTTCCAGTGGGAATATCCTCTAACAGTCGGTGGGTCAGGCTTCCAAACTTGATAAAATAAAAGGCAATCCACATTAGCTATATGTAACAGCATCATAATCAGCTCTCCTGCAGCATTCCAGCCCCAGGGAATTAGGACCAACCCAGAACATATCAGGGCTGCCAGACCATTCATCCTTTAGCCTTCACAGCACTAGTCCTGACACCTACAATGGACAATTCTAGCAAGTTCTAGAAAATGGTCTTAATGCACATTTTAGCTCAGATTATTGACCTGCCTGAAATTTAGCTTGATTTTTTTTTTCAAAAGCTCTAGCATTTGTAGTCTTCAGAAGCTAAAAAATTTGAAAATTTGGCATAACCATATTAAAAAATTTAGACATGGAGTTATGAACCTGATTTTAAGCGTTTCTGCTTGAAAATTCTGGAATCCATTCATGAAGCACTTCACCAAATGTACTTTAATAAGCATCATATGAGGAGAAGAGCTGCAGGATTGATGCTCGATTGTTTAATTTGCCTAGCGCTGCTAAAGATTCAGGTGCCAACAATAAATTTTATGGCTGTTACTAAAATTCCAAGAAATAGTAAGGACTAAGTCTCGTGGCATTGCCATATTTTTCACTTGGGAGAATCCCACCCACAAGCCCTGCAGTCCAGCAGAATGACTTAACAGAAAATTGCTTGGATTGCTGGAGTGTTTGCTCTTCAGTGCAGCACTCCAGTGGTAACTACAGCATTGATCCCTGGTGGCTGCCAATAATTCTGCTACTGGAAAAGAAACAGGAAAGAATCATCTGTGGCACTTCTTAGGCTGGTTTACTCTTGTTTTACTCTGATGTAGCTTCAGTGACACTTTAACTGTCTGGAACTGGAGCAATGCAAGTACAGCACCTCTCCTAAACTGTGATAGCAGCGCCTTTTCCTAAAACAATTCAACCAACATATTACTGTCCCCAGGGCTAACAGAGAGGTGGGTGAGACTGCATGGAGGGGCATCAGACACACAGATGACCTTCTCTCCCAAAGCTTCACACTGAGGCTTTTCCATCCACCCTGATTTCCCCAAACTCTCCATAGGCTGCCCCTCTATGATAGCTAACCCATGGCATAAAAGACTCCCTGTGCCCTTGATTCCCACTGTAAACTAAGATTTACTTCTGATTATTTCTTGATTCAGAACACTTTCAAAAGAAATCTATAAAAGAGGCACTGCAGTACATCTTCAGCAAAGCTTTCTTTCTGAGTAGAAAAGCCTGTGCCAATAAACTATGATTTATATGCATGTCATTCTCATGCCCTGAATAGTAGCAATGCCAACATTTTATAGATTTTAACTTTTTTTTATGGACCCTGGACAATCAATGCTTTGTTCAAAATGTTTTCATAAACAAGATGGAATTTACATCAGTGACTACTTCTAATAGCTACTGGACTGACTTCAGAACAAGGGAATTTTTTGAAAGTAAGCAGTAGGAGTTATATAGGCTGGATCATTTTCATATCATATGACTGAAATGTGCATCTGCTTTTCAAAATGCAATTATTTTAAAATTATTTTATCTTTAGCCTAGCAACCCAGATGGACTGTTTGGGCAAAACCAGAAGGAAAAAAGTAAAAAGAGGCTATTTTTTTGGTATTCACATTCAGTGGGCAACAGTTTCCAAAATCACATTTCATACAATATAATGAATTCCAAGTATGACAGTGTCATTGAATTTAAATCAAATGTGCTTTAATGTATTGTATAAAGAGAAACCTAGTTTTAACTGGAACACTGGCATATTAAATTCCTGTGATCTGTATGCTTAAAAATTAAATTGTACATGAAAATACCAGAGATGTTAATAAAAGAAACAAAAATGTCTTTTGCTGATCATCCTAACTTCTCTGCTTCCAGACTATAGCCCTTTTTCTGCAGTTCTTAGATTTGGGCTTTTTGCTTTTTAAGATTTTGTACTAAAGTTATATTTGCATATGAATAGTGAAGTTAGGTGATCTGCTCTCATCTTTAAGTATATCACTTTTCCTTGCATCAACTTCAACATTACTTCAACAAATAATTTCTCTTAACAGACAGAAACCTGATCCATGATAAATGTCTGTCCACAGGTGAGAACTTTTATGCTTTGATCACTCACTTATTAAAAATAACACACCCTTATGCCTTTTCATTACTTTGTCACAACCTATGCCTTTTTTCATGAGGATTTTGGCATTTGCTAATTACCATTTCTAAGCTGTGACAAGAAACCAACAGTTCTCTTTGTGCAGTGTTGTGGAAATAACTCTGAGTCCATAGCCAGTTAGCAAACTTACACCTTGACATGTGGGCAAGGCTGGGACATCTTTAGATCAGGTCTTTTCTGACAGTGCAAAGCATGCTCTGGACACATAACCTCATTTGTATTATTAATAAGGAGAAGGAGGAATGAATAATTGGAAGACAAACAACAGCAGTAATAATTTAATGCCATTGTTGTTGTTGGCATGTATTTGACCCACTAAAGACTGCATACGTGTAGGTTAGCAGTTTTCATGGTGCTCCCTCATGGGTTTATGTCTTGCTGTAAACAAAGCTGTGCATGGCTGCTGTCAAGGACAGCTTCAGCTGGCTCCCGTACCAGAGCTCTCTTCCTGCAGCCATCAGCCCCTGTACCTGCACGTCTGTCTGTCCCTCTGCCCCCAGGCACCCTGTCACACAGGGCTGTTACTCCTCATGCATGAATGGCTGGTAACTGCTAATGCATTTCTCCAGAAAGTGTCTTGTTTCCAAAACAAAATTCCTCTCTCCAGATGGATGGTGTGCCTGACTTTCCCCCCCACAGCTTGTTCTCCCTCTCCTGCAGGTATCACAATTACTGGGATTCCTTTTCCTCCCTCAGAGCTCTCACAGCTCCTGAGCAGTGCTACTGTGAGGTCCTGCAGCTCCTTCTGATTCAGTTCTTGTAGTTGAAATAGGGAATACTTAGAATGACTAGAATGTTTTAAATTGCAGGTCCCAGTTCAGGAAAGCACTTGATAACAGGAACACTATGCACATGCCTGACATTAATCTTGGCCTCTCGAGAGCACTTTTTCAGATAGGTAAGCTCACCTGACTCCCAAGCAAGTAATGCTGGAGGGAAATGATCCTGCAAGCATCAGCTGCAAAGATAAGAATCTGAAAGTGTCTGCAAATAAACCTTGCTATGCATATGCTTGTTCCTAAAGGAAGCTGCCATGAGGTTTAAACATGGTTATAGCACAGGATCTTGCACAGCCTGTGCAGGCTCCACCATGACCTCGAGAAGGTTTGTGGCACTTCCAGTCAACAGCTCCAGCGATGTTGGGGAAAACCACCAGCAAAAAAAAATCAAGAGCTTCATCTTCTACAGCGATTTCCTAGTGCATTCCAGAGACCTGGATTCATTCCATTGTCCTGCAAGATCCCACGGACTGAGTTACAGCAACTGCTGGGCAGGGCTCCGGGGCACGGCTGGAGTGCAGCAGGAATGCTCGGCTGTCACTTTATCCAGGCAGGCTCCATGGCCATGGATGGGGACACCCGGCTGTCACTCTGTCCAACAGGCTCCATGGCCATGCATGGGGACACTCAGCTGTCACTCTATCCAGAAGGCTCCATGGCCATGGATGGGGAC